GACTCGAGGATATGCTTGAATACTAAATGAAATGTAGAGATGTAGCACTTTTATGGCCGCAAAATTGAATGACTAATAAAAAACAAAGTGAGGAAGCTGCTTTAGATTGCCCCCAGCGAGATTTTAAAATCGTGGCATGGCTTTACCTAAGAAAAACAAAATAAATGCTGCAGAGATGTTACGCCGTGATACTTCCCACGTATAGAATTACTACTGAGTAACACTTCAATACCAAACATAAAATAAAGAATTACTAGAAAATAAAATTAGTAACTTTTAGACTTTTGTTGAAAAAACAAGCGACCCAAGAAAATTTTCAGGCAACCAACCCATAGGCTGGGAAACACAGTTGTAAGCTACCACTGATATTGCATATCAATCTATTATGGTTGTTCACAGAAACACAAATAAATATCTGAGGACGAGGGTCGCTCTCAGGAAAAGGCATAACCTAATGTGCAATTTCAAAAAGGCGCTTTCTTGGGAAAAACTTGCTTTCCTGGAATTTAATTTGGGTTTAACGAATTGGCTACTTCCATCCTTCATTTGAATAAACCAGAGTGCGACCAGCGTTAATGAGAAATTTGTATTCTTACGTATATTGACATAGACTTTGAATATGCCTTTGACAAATCGGAAAATTTCCTATTGGAATACTGTTTTACTGAAAATGTTTTATATTGTGTGTGTGTGTTACGTGTCGAATTTCTGTCATTGTTTTATTGCGGTTAACGCCGATTAAAAAAACTGTCATTCAATTGTTGCGCTATTCACGCTTGAATGATTTTATGACATAAAATGGAGAAAGATTATTCATATTAGTACAATACGCCTATCAATCAGTGTTAGCGGACAAAAAAATTAAGCTCATAGCAGTTTTCTTCATGCGCCCAAAACGGTATAACTGAAATGCAATTTATGGGCAATACCAATTTACTTTGACATTTTGTTGTCGTCATATCTTTTGTTTTGACGATGGGAAGGGATGGTCGTTTTCGCATTCGGAAATAACTTATTCTGCTGAATTTTAAATTATTTATAGGAAGACATTCATAAATAATGCAACATCCGCGAAGAAAGAAGCGGACTTTTAAGTAATGCATAATGCAGCTGTTGTGTGGGGTATAATTTTACTATAAGTTTTCAGTAGAACATGTAGGGCTTGATAAGTTATTGTTAAGTAAAAGTCGGAGTTTAATGTATGTTTATGTTTAACCATGTAGCATTCAACAGATTTTCCTCGCACATTAAGCATGTAGTAAGAGCAAGCCTTGTGCATAATACTCTTGATTGATTGCTTTTGCATCTACGCTAAAATTTAATTGCTACCTATCTTCAACCCAATAATTCATGCTTATGGCGTTTGGGGACCATTAATTCATCATTTTACTAAGCTGCTCGATCAATTCAAAATGTATCGGAATTTTTTGTCGTGGTATTCATAAAATACAAACTGGGGACTTTGTTTTTGCACAGGTCGCAACATTTGAATTGCAAGCCCAACCGTGAAAGTCATTGACAATATTTTTTATATTCAGTGTTATCGGATGAATTTGCCAACAACCTCATTGTACATAAGAACCAACCGACTCACTGAGAACATTTAAAAATTTTATATGTTTATTATGTATGAATGTGTACATATTGTGCCCCAACATACAAGAATTTCGTACGAAGTTTCGATTTTTATTGCTCAAAATAGTCTTACCACACACACCTCGTTATACCTTCTAGCTGTTTCATACCAGTACCATGAATTATTTCCTATTTTGTTAATTCAAAATTTGCAATTCATGGTTTGGATGTACATCTAGATCAGTTTTAAATATTTGAAATTTATGTTATTCATACCCCTTTACCGTTGAACTTTGAAAAAGTTCGCTCGAGCAGTGAATATTCAATTATACACTCCATCGCATAAGCACAGTGAATATAATATTCGCATTATACAAATGGCAATGAACTATGAATAATTCGCCCTCGAAAGACTTGTCAATCGATGATGCGAAGCGTCGTCATGGTCAAAAGAATATGGAGAAACAACTTTCGACCTCATCGATCTATTAATTATTGTTTCCAAATGCGGAGTTGTGTTGTGGCATCCTCAACATGAGACAATTTTTAATGGCGTTCATGCATGTGAATAGACTATATATACATATATTTTGAGTTGAGACTATATGGGAAATACATGTACTATAAAATGTCGGGAGGAGGGCGGGACTGTGTAACCATTGTGCGAATTATGGATTGCGATGTTAGTAATAATATGCCGGCAGTCGTTATCAGACATAATACAATTGACTGGCATTTTTGTAATCTATATTAAATATTTTAAAACAAACCCAAAGCAGTATTTATTGGACTGGGAATATAATGACGATACATTCAATGTGTAAATGAGGATGTTGTCTCCTATGCTTTTAATTTCAGTTTGCGCTTGGTGGATCGGCAGATCAGGCCGCTTTTCCGTTTTTTCGTGGATAGCACCAATGCTTTTAATACTAAATTACAAGGGGCATTCGAGAAGACTATTGGTAGACAGGCGGTCGATAGTAATTCAGTTAAGTGCCGATCGATACGTTTCGTTGGTATAGGATCTGCGCATTCTCCGCCAATTGATATCGTCGCTGTTGCTTCTAGATGTCGAGAGTTTTTTCAGTCGCCGTATCTCACACCGAAGATCGTTTATTTTTGTCCAAGCGGACGATGGATATAGTTAGTATTTGTACATAGAAAACTTCTCCAAGGATTGTAGTTGTGGGCACCAAAGAAGAAAAACATTAGACATGGTTAAGCGACCGGATTCCGTTTCCTCTAATTCGACAAATGTGAGTTTCTGGTGTGATTATACAGATAGTCATATTTGCATTTATATCATGACAATGGTGCTGCTAAGTCATATTTTGTATATTTGAGCATTTTTATTAACCCAATGCTAAGTATATAAAGGGAATTCTGATAAGGTGATATTATGTTGTATATTACCGTTTTCTGAGGAAAATTCTCTAAATTGAGCCAAATTTAGTCGAAGTTGTCGAAGTTAACATGAACTGCGATATTGCCAGTAATCTCTAGTTTATGATCGTCGGATCAAAAATTATTTCTACCGTAACCGCATCCTAGAGAAATTGCGGTAACGTAGCAACATATAATTTGACCGTAGGATACGAATGTCGTCGACCGTATATCGATATGATAAAAAATAGCGCGCGTAATAACTAGTTTACGTCCTTGTTATTATGGCTACGTTATAGTAACAGATTACTCTTGCGATGCTCGCGTAACATTGAACTGAACATTTAATTGATTATTTAATTTTTCCGTACAAAATGAGTAACGATTTTGATAGAATAAATACAGGCTTTCACTTCACCGCCAAGGCCAATTTCAGTATGATTTGGAAAGCCTTTATTACAATTTTATTAGAATATTTTGGTTACGAAGTCAAACGTAATAGAATCAAAGAGTAATGATAACGTCGTTCTCCGGTATACTTCACCGTCATTCTGTGTTAATATGCTATTCGCCACATGCAACTATGTGATAAACAATCATCTCTTCGACACAGAATTCCATTGCTCTGAGAACATACAAATTTATCGACAATTGTGCGAAGTTGCCTATTCTAAATATTTTGACGTAGCAGGCTCATAGACTGGTTTTGCATTTCATCATTGGACCGTGCTTGTTTTGCGTATAAGAAAACGAATCTGTACATTCAATCTGAGTAATTGCCCTCGCGCTTTATTTTAGAATGACGATCGTAAGTTTGTAATTTAATATTTTCCCAATTTTCCCACATGTCAAATTAAACAATTGGGCGATTTATAGCCGCGCGAAAATTTCTGAAAAAAAAAGGAAAATTATCGTCCTACCTTGGAAATCTTATACCCGCTTCGTTAGCGGCCCACATATGAGATAGTTCGGTATTATCAAACCTCGTGATTGCAATTGGAGTGGTATAACGGATTGATCGTTTTCGATTTCATGAAAAATGAACGCAAAAAACATAATAAGAATAAATTTATTTTCAACTGACTTGCGACACCGCCCTTCGCACATATTATAAACCATCCAAGTTTGAGACTTACACATTGATTTTATTTCTGGGATCACATTAATCTCAATGCATTTCTGGAATCGAATAAATCATTTTAAATTATTTATAATGTACCATATTTGACATAACTAAAGGACAAAAAGGGTTATTATCAAAAGCTGATACCAAGAATTCTGACCGGAACTCATCCAATCGGAAACTGCTCTTTGCTGAATATTGTATGGCTTTGTACACTGAACAAACAAATGAGTAATTCCCTGCTGATCATTCGTCCAGTCGGTTGCAAATACGACTGATGTACCTTTGTAATCCATCTGATTAAGTAATGTTTTGAAATGTGTTTAGATTGCTATATTTGAAAAAAGTAGAATAATTGACAAATTTCAAAATTCCTCACTCTATTCTAAACATTCAATGTCAGATTTAATATGAACAAATTCTTAGTATTTCTCCACATTATACATAAGATCATAATATAATTTGATCTATATAAGAATGCAACAAAGATGAAAAACATCTGTTAAAAGTAACATAATTTTTATTGTGCACCATTAACCGAGATGTTGGTTCTTGAACCAGATCTAAGTTTTTTTAATTCTGTAGTTATATCTATTCTAAATTTATGTGAAATCTTGAGATAATGGTATATTTATTACTGTTTGATGTAATTCAAAATAACCTATACTGAATGTACTTACTACTCAAGCACATAGAAAAGATACAGAAATCTGAAAACTAAATTGTGTGAATAAATTTGTGTCGAAACTTGAGAAAAAAATTTGTCAATTTTGTTTGATATGATTCAAAAGAACCTATACTGAATGTTCTTACTCTTACTACCTAAGCAAATTGAAAATATAAAGAAATCTAAAATATAAGTATTATTAAATAGTGTAAGCATTTGAATTTCAACAAAAATATTCTTTGTTTTTAATAGGGAAGCGGAGGGAGTCTGCTGCGAGCAGCAAAAAGTGGAAATGCAGAAAGATTGATTGTACTATTGGATGAAGAGAAAATAGACATCAACACATCTAATTCAGTATGTGGTGTTTTCTTGATTATTTTATGTTTGCTTAGAATGATGCTCTGAACAATTAAAATAAACCATTTTCGTTAAATTCCTCGCTTCGCCTAATTTAGAACTCTTTTTCCCCCCAAACTACTTTATTCATTCAACCTTTAATGAATAAATGATGAATGAATGATGATGTAATAAACCTTAGCTAGTGTTATGCGCAAGTCGCACCCCTATTATACAGTTTATGGTGTGTGCAAAAATAGATATTATAGTAATAATAATATTGGTGAACTAAAAATATCAGTAATACTGTTGTAAATACAAAGCAAAATTTATCTCCCATTGCGGAAATGTAGGTTTGGGGTTTTAAATTTATACTAATTGCATGCGATACTAACACATCAATAATTGTAGGGTTTTTCAATTGTAATTAAATTATTATTATTCATATTTTCTAGAGCGGCTTGAATTGTTTACATTTGGCGGCAAAAGAAGGTCACACACAGGTTGTGAAAGAATTGATTAAAAGGAATATTTCAATTAACCAAGCAACAAAGGTAATATTTTTGTATAAGGAATACAAAGTAAACATAGATTGACATGCCTATAAGGTATTTTAGGTTCGCTTCTTATACCGTTCAAAAATGTATAACTGATTTTTATATTACCAAGGTCGGGTGTAATAATTCTTACTTTATTTTGAATATTCTGTGTATGGGACACAATATTTGAAGTTAGGAAATTAAATTGTAATTATATAATATCGTGTGAAAATTGTATGTTTTGCGTACTGAGGATATAATGCTCTGGAATGTTGTTATCTGATGAGACATGTAATTTTCCTGTATCCTCGGAACCATATGATGATTTAATTTTTGAAGTTAGATATAATGATTATTTACATATGGTCATTATTGATGCTGATATGTTTTTCTGTATATTCTCAGTTTTTTGTTATTTTATTTTGAATTTTATACAACTTTGTCATTTAGAGAGGAAACACAGCTCTTCACATTGCATCCTTGGCTGGTAAACTTGATGTCATCAAAGTGTTAATTGAGAACAAAGCAGATCCTAATTCAATAGCACAGGTATATTATATTTACTATAGATTTTGATGATGAGTATTCCAAAGCTAATTCACAGCTGAACAGGATTGATTGAAGTAAATTATTAATCAACTAACCACTTAATAGGAGATCACAGAGAAGTCTCTTTAACATCTCTATTGTTTTAATGACATGATGTCATCTGAATTAGATCATGCTAATTCTGATAGCATGATACACTTTGATAATGAATTCTAAATTCAAATTAATCCTAAATGATTACCATCGGAAATTCATTTTATTATAACCAATTACATATGCATTTGTCATCTTTTATTCATCCGTCTTAAGGAGGATTTAAAATTGTATTCCTTCCCAATCATACCATATTATTCTCCATATCATATGTAGTGTGTTATCACGTCCGTAATAACTGAAATTTTTAATCTGGGGTGTGTTTCATTTTACCCATCGTGGTAGCAACATCTCTGAAAATCATGTCATGCACTATCTGTCATTTTTTGGATTGTTATGAGTGGTCAAAACAAAACTATTAAACAGCTTTTATTCATATATTTCATAACATATAATGCAATTATCTATTTCACAGAATGCTTTTACACCAATATATATGGCTGCCCAAGAGGGTCATAGTGAGATTGTGGATTATTTACTGAAAAATGGAGCAAATCAAAGCATTTCAACAGAGGTAATGTTTCCTGTAGTGAGTGTACCGGGTTAGGGTTAGGCCATAATTTTATTCGCATTTTCCTCATTTTAGTTCTATTACAAGTTCGGGGACTGTCTGTGTTAGCCAAGTGAATATACCCTCTTAGGCCCATAGGTTTCAGTCCCTTTACACAACTTGATGTAAAATAGGCGAACAAAATTAGTTACCTTCATATTAGTATACATACTTCTGTAGCGTCGTTCTTTTTATATACTACTTTATTATTTTCATATGTTCTTTTTTGATTAGATTCTGTTATCCGCACACTCACATATGTTAGTTTGAATGATTTTGAAAGGTAATATTATCAGCATCAGTTCAAGTTAACATTGCTTCCTCACGAGGTCAAATTGTTCAGTTAAACAAACTCCCTTGACTAATGAAGGTTTTATCCTAAAATATCCAACTTACTAGTGTAGGAGCCCATGATATGATATGATTTTACATATTTATTTATCACATCACGATGAGAGGAAAACTGATGAGACAACTTGATCATTTGGCAAACCACGGCCTCTCTTTGAGTTACCAGACCATGTCAGGTAGAGACGCATTGGCTTGATGGTGGAAGAAGCCGCAATCGACCAGCGGTTCTTACGTGAACCACCCTACGGCGGCGAGGAGTTCATCAATCCTCTCGCACATACCGTGATTATCCCCCACGGGATTCGAACCTGCGAACTCGCGGTGTTATCAGAGGTGTGGTGGCAAGCACAATCTTAGTGCTTATCTCGATGCGCCACACTGCAGAGCCGATTGCACCACTAAGCAAAATGTTAGATTCTAAATATAAAAATTTCGTTTTAATTTGTGTGGTGCCTTTACCATAAACAGTTTAGAAATGATTTCTGCATTCATCATTTCAACTAGCTTTCATTATAATTTCTGTAGGATGGTTTCACACCTCTTGCCGTTGCTTTACAAGAAGGAAAAGATAAAGTTGTTGCACTTCTTCTTGACAATGATGTCAAAGGTCGTGTAAAATTGCCGGCACTGCACATTGCGGCACGTAAAGATGATGTAAAAGCTGCAGCTTTGTTGCTCCAAAATGATCATTCAGCTGATGTCAAATCTAAGGTAGGGTGAAATCGTAGTATTCTGACATCCTTCTTTTGATTAAACATAGCATTTTGATTTGAATCATTCTTATTGTTAGTGAATTGTGTATTTGCGAATGATTGTTATATTCTTGTGCTTTTTTGAATGCTTTCCATTTCTCTCATTTAGTCATGTTGTTTTTTAATAGTAAATATTCTTATTCTCACTGAAAAATTGTTTTGATTTTTCATAAATTTACACATTCTGAATAAATTTGTGTTGTTTTTCTCCAAATCTGAATATGCATAGCCTATTTTGTGCCTGATTAAAAATTCCCTTTTAAAATATTATACTATTCTCAAAAATTTATGTCGAATATACTTTATGTGAGTAGTATTTATTATCAGATATTATGAATCGGAAAACAAAAAGTTGAAAACAAAATTATCATGATTATTATTATTGAAGATGAGCAATTTAAGATAGCACAGTAGATGGATAAAATCATTTAAGTTCATACGTATTGGTATATTTAAATATCTATTTTTGTATAATCAACTTTAGTCATTCCTAATCGAAGTCAAATCAGTTTGCTACATCTGATTATATATGTCATTGATTCTCAAACCACGTCCTGAGGTCCAATTACCTCCTGCCCAACGATTTAATATGGCCCACCGAACTTTAGTAAAATAGTTTGACACTTATTTTTTTAAATCTTTCCATTCTAGATATCGCCAAATGTTACATCATTATCACAGTTCAAGCATGTGTATATTCGTAATAATAAAACGAGAATATCGGTCAGAGACCGAAGACTTATCTATCGAAAGTTAGGGGATCCCCCAAAACAGCGCCCTTACTCCATAGTGACACCCTGTGTCCCATCACTAATTACTTGATAACTCGCTAATTATACGACATAATTCATCCAAAATCAATAGGCTTCTGGTCCTAGATAAGATGAATGCACATGCAAAATCTGAAGCAGATTTAATTTCGCTTACGTGAGATATCGCGTGCATCTAACAGACAAACAGACATACAGACAGACAAATACCTATCAACATACTTACCGATTAAAATCGATAAGTTATGATACCGATATCATGATCACACATATCGTTATCGACCCCTTGTGTGAGCGCTTCCCTCTCTCAGCCCACGGATATCGTTCTGCTTCTAATTTTGCCCCCCCCCCCCCCTCCCCGGGCAAACAACTTTGAGAACCACTGAAATATGTGTACTAGGGTCTGCATGTGCATGAGATAATACATAGAATGTTTTTGTGTGATAAGTTTTTGAAACATGTTTTGCTCAATCTCATTTTTGTTTTCTTCACATTTCATGCTTGCTCAAATCATTTCTGATGCAAAAACAGTGGATTGTAAATCGAGCAACTGAGGTAAGCTACAATGAATTTTTATTTCAAAATCTTTGATTGTTTCTTGGTTTATCTACTATTTACTGCATTTATAATTTTCATATAAAATTTCCAAGCATGTTAAACTCTTACCACTTTCGATGATATAGACAAGGATTTTCATATTAGAATCGGATGTGTTTCCTTCTCAACTCAGCTTTGATTTTTGCTTATAGATTTAGTGTATATGGCTTAGGGATAAGTGCTTGTATATTGGTTTGTTTTCTGCCAAATCTGTGATATTTATACTGAATTGAAAATTATTTTCCAATTACGACCCTTATAACTTTGCGAGCATTGATTGGATTATCACAGCACCAAATTAATGCTTTAATCTCCATTGTCAACAAGACAAGGCTATTGCAATAACAACTGTTCCACAGCACCTGCGTCCCAGAATCACAAAACGTGATCAGAATGATGTCACTCTTAAAATTGTATCAGAGTTGCTTACTTTTTATTCTGAATGCCCATACCTACCCTAGGTTTTACTTAGACACTCTCAGGCTTGAATAAGTGATTTTACATTAGTGTAGAAATAGTACTGATCAGTAATCATATTCTTATGCTGATTTTTAATATGAAATTTTTTTTTTATACTATTTCTTTTTTCAAGATATAGCTTTCATCAATTTATTGATAATTTGGCCGAAGATGTTTTAATTATATTGTATTAATATTATTACAATTAGATTCTTTGTTTCGTGTTATAGAACTTTTTATTACAAAAAAAAACTGTTTTCACAGAGTGGATTTACGGCTCTCCATATCGCGGCACATTATGGAAATGTCAGTGTTGCATCATTGTTGCTGAACAGAGGAGCATCACATGATTTTACAGCAAGGGTGAGTTATGGTAAATCAATATTTGCTAAGGTATAAAAACCGGCACAGAAACTGTTCCAAGAAATTTTATAGGTAGCAAAGAGGTTTCCAATGAAATTATTTTGAAACAGAATTTTAAAATTTATATATGCTTACCAAGCACTGATTTCTTGTGAGGAGTGAAATATGTATGAAACATATAAAAAATTTAGTCCACGATCCTGTTATCATTTCATCAGACAAATTGGGGTTTATGTTGAAATCCCATTCTTTCAGGAACTTACGTAAGTGGCAATTCTTAAAATTTTGTCCTGTAAATAATATTTAGAGATCAATCCTTCCTTATATACATACGGTACTTAATAAGCAAAAAGTTTGTGAAATTTACAGAATGGAATCACACCATTGCATGTTTCTGCTAAACGTGGTCACACACGTTTTTGTTCTCTGCTCTTGGATAGAGATGCTAATATGGATGCTCGTACCAAAGATGGTTTATCTCCGTTGCACTGTGCTGCAAGATCAGGACATAAACCAGTGGTACAACTGCTTCTGGATAGAATGAAAAGCTCGGAAATACCTAGAACGAAAGTAAGCACAGTTTAATAATTTTTTTTATTTGATTTTTTATATCAAGCATCGGAGTCCAACCTGCTGACCCATGTAGGGTGACTTGGGGTTGGCAAGCATATTTCCAATATTTCTAACTTGAGCCAATTGAAATAATGAACATTTGCAAACATCAGCATAAGCAAAGCTTTGAGTTTATTTATTTACATCAGTAAACATTATTTTATTTATTTCCGAATTTTTTGCAGTTCAAGTTACAAATATGAGAATTGACTTTGATTTATTGAGCTAAACGTAGATCAATATATTCTACGGTTTTTACACTACATTTGTCCTTTAACTCATCCTATTAACTTAGGCCTAACGAAAGAATATTTCACATTTAAAGTGTATGAATCAAATACCTATAATCCCTGGTAAAAGCACTTAAGTTTACTATTGTTTGCTTCATTGATTCATTGACATAAAAAATGAAGTTTAAAATGTAATAAATAGAAATATAGTTACTATACTAATATACTACTACTCTACTAATATATTACTTATTACAATTTATGTCACTTGAGCGAATAGTTATGAAAATAATTATCCTTGCAAAAAGCATTTTTTTATTATTCACTTTTATTTTTTATTTTTGTCCAGTTTGAGTAGCTATCTCTCATATGGTTCCATTTGTCAAAAAATATTTTTGTTATAATGCTATTTTTTTTTAGAATGGGTTATCTGCGCTACACATGGCAACACAAGGTGGCCACGTTGATGTTGTAAAACTTTTAATTGAAAAGAATTATCCCGTTGATGACACAACATTGGTAAATATGTATTTTTCACTTCTAAATTTTGATCTAGTGTGTGTTTTTATACAATGATTACTCACTGTTTTTGCTACAAAAAAAGGGCAGCTGCTGATATTTAACCATTTGTAAAGCGCTATTATTTTTGGGAGGATCAGAATCTTTCAGGTTTGACATTGTCTACACCAGGGGTGTGCAACATTTTTCATCGGCAGGCCATATCTATAAACTTCAGATATCTAGCTGGGCCACACAAAAAAAAGTTTCTCCACGTACACAACGAATTAAAAAATTCTCACAATGCTTTATTTTAATTAAATTACCATTATAGGGGGACACTTGAAATATCACGTTCTTGCACAGTTTGTTAGCATTAGCTTTGACATGAACTGTCGGATTAGGATTTCATTATGATGGGGAAAAATTTGAGTGTTGACGAATGCCACACTAAATTGCTTGACTGGCCGCCTGTTGCACACCCCTGGTCTACACAATTTATTACACCCACGGTGACGTAACCTGCATTGCAAACGCAGTTATGTCTATTGCTTTAACTGCTAGACCATTGCAGCCTATGGTATATTTTACTAGTATTTATGGCTGGTTGATCATTAATATAAAATCCATAATTTGTGATGATTAGAGTGCCAATCTCAGATAGACCAATTGTTATATTTATTATACTAATCTATTTTTGTAACCACTACGAATATTTTTTTCTATTATCATTTTATCATTATTGAAATAAATAAAGATTAGTATTTAATAAAATTATTTAAATTATTAGTTTTTGTTCTATACCAATATACATACTTTCTGCACTTTTGTTATGAATAAATATTTTATTTCAGTTTTCACTTTTATCTGGTTTCTAAGTGATATTTAACTTTTGAGATTCTTTTATTTTTCTCTTATGATTTCATTTCAATTTCTTCAACCCAAATCTTATATTTTGTGATGTGCCCGACTGTTATACAGTCCTATTTCAGTGACACTTGCTTTCTAATTATTATAGGGTAGGGGAGATGCAAAATTAAACCTTTAATGAACATATGGTGCAACAGCATAATGCAATATCCAGTACATGTGCATCCTGTAATATTGATTGAATTGTCAATTATTAGAATTTATTTCGTGGCTCGCATAATCATAATCAATGCCATTAGTTCGATTCAATATAAATTTTAATCAGTTAGGAAAGCACTTTTATCCCAGGCTTTCTGTAAAAAAAACAATTTCATTCAAGACCTATCAACTTTAAAAAAATTATTTGAAAATATTGGGCAATCTTAGCGTTCAGAGAAAATTGATTCCTGAGGCAGTATCTGCCTTTAATAATCATTCATACACTTGAGCAGCAGTTAGTCATATTTTAGGTTCTTGTTTTTCTAAGAGCGATGCTGCATTGGACATAATTTTCTATGTATTGTTATTTATTCACTCATTTATTCTCAGAGTTTTTGTAACAATATTTAGGCATTTTTGGATTCAAAATTCTTTGTTGTATTACATGGTTGAATTAGCAACTTAACATTCTTTATTCGATTATGTCACACTTTTTGAATTCATCGTCTATTAAAATCTTCTATACCTCCTACCTATTTCTTCATTAGCCCATTACATTATGTACTATACCCAGTTTTAAAATTAATTTCATAAAGAATATTAGAAGGCCAACTTTCTGAAGTAACTGAATATAAATTATAAGGTCACAACAAAATTTCCTTTTTTTCGTATTGTGATGAACTTCATCTCCATTTTGCTATTGGTTTGGCATCATATCCTAACAGTCTATATTATATTTTTGCAGGACTATCTAACATCACTTCATATCGCGGCTCATTGCGGACATGAAAAGGTTGCAAAGCTTCTTCTGTCCAAGCATGCAAAAGTTGATGGGAAAGCACTGGTAACTAACTATGTATTTATTTTAGATATTTCGAGATTTTATGCAATTCATTTCATGCGTTACTTCGAACCCTTAATTAATGTCTATATCCAAAACACAAAATTAATTAATTAACACAAAATTAAATTAATAGACCTACAAATAAAAATAGTCACAATAAATATAAATATTGTAGCAAATACTGGAATGTCAGCAAAATTACTGCTAATTACTGTTAAAATGATTGTAAGGATTCCATATGAAGCATGGACACGCTGTCATTTATGGGTTTTCTCAAGAATTGAATAAAAACAGCGAAATTTTGAATGTAATTACAACCATGTAGGATATGGAAAAAATATAAAAGTAATAGCTATATTGCGACCTCCTAACTATCTCCATCTTCCAAGTACTGAAAATTTGAAGTCAACAGTTCCAGTAGCTGTCAAAAAAATTTGTTTTGCAACAACAACAACTTAGCAAAGCAATCCATAGTCCACTTTGTGTCCAACATTACAATAGCCAATAAAGTAGAAGGTATCGAATCTGAAACCTCTCAAATTAGTGCTTAATGTGCTATTACATATATGATGATGACCAAAATTAGTTAGCTCTGCATTTCTTTTCCAGTACCTAAGAACCTTTTGTACGTCTCATGTAAGGGTTCAAATGCTATCTATATAACTTTATCATTGTAGACGCAAGCTTAATGCCCATATCTAATATTTTTTATGTTTATATTTTGCGTACGTCATGGAGCTACTATTCACCATACCTTGTATACAGCTCAGCCTTCAAAAATTTGCTCATGGGTGTTTAAAATATTTTTCAGAATGGATTCACTCCGCTTCATGTGGCATGTAAGAAAAATCAATTCCGAATTATAACTATATTATTAAACCATGGAGCAAATACAGAAGCAACGACAGAGGTATAGCAAGCAATTGGGTAGTATGATAGTAATATCGAACTTTCACATTGAGTAATTATTTTTCCTGTAATGAGACTTAGACATAAGATAGAATATATTCACAACATTTCAATGTAAAAATATTACTAGTAAATATATTTGTAATATATATATGTGGAAACTATTGTTAAGGTAATCATGATATTGCAGCACATAAGTTAATTATTTTAAGTGATTCAAGAGTCCAGCTGCACACTAACACAAAAATATTACTGTAATGTTACGTTTACATAGGCTACATACCTTTGTCAGACGGAAAGTTACCTGAAATATATTTGTGTTAATGTGCAGCAAGACTCTTGAATCACTCAAAGTAGTTATCTTTATTCTTGCTATAGCATCCTTGCATTATATACATACGGATCCATCAGCACAAATCATAAAGAAGAATTAATAGTTAGTCCCGAAACCAAAACATAAGTTCATGTTATACTTTTTTATAACTGAACGAAGGATATGAAGATTTACATGACCCATATTCATAAAACAACAACTTTTATAAATTGGGTACGCTTAATATAAACCCAATATTAGTTTACCCTTTTTGAAATGTAGCTGCTTACGGTACCTATAAGTGGTTACATTTCTACAGGCTTGTTTAGAATGAAATTGAGAAGCGCCTGAAAAGTATTCTTTCTATTCTAAAGTTATTCAGATATACTAATAGACATTATAATATCACTGTTTTATTTATCTAGTCTAAATACTGGCTGAATTTGTTTTATTTTAAAATTTATGTACAAGAGATCAAAAAAAAATTACTTTTTTTAGTCTGGACTGACTCCACTACATGTTGCTTGCTTCATGGGACATTATGAAATTGTCAAAATACTGTTAGAAAAGGGGGCTCTACTGGATACAGTCAATAATGTGAGATTATTTTACTTTATGATATAAATTTTGGTGCATGCAATATTTTCTCCTAAATTTTGACATTTTATTAAATTTATTTGTATAATACAAAGACATGGTGGAATATAGGAGCAAAGAAGAAGAATTAATTACTTTCGCCAAACAAAAAACTCATATATAAAATAAAAAATCAAAGTTTTCTGTAAATGACTGGTAACAGCACGGCCGTGAAGGTCATCAGAGTCTGTAATGGCCCAATATAAAATACAAAAATGAATAGTTGAACAGGTTCATTATTTTTATCTCCAATTGTATTTTAAACTATATACATTGCTCATGAGGTGTCCCAAAATAAATGAAACCCATTAATACTATTACCAATTTTGTGTGTTCTATTTCATTTGAGACACCCTATAAAATTTAAATTGCAGTATAATACATATTAGCTAGTGTTTGAATGAATTCAAGGATTTTATGATCAGACAAGAATTATATAAAACACTATATGAGAGGACCTACAATTTTATTTATGTTACCCCTTGTTATGTATCACATTAGTGTTAATTTGTCACTCGCATTATAACATAATCTCGATGATCAAAACATGTTTATCTTCAGAAGATATGACAGTCAGTAACAATCAAAACAATTGTGTGTAGTTATTGCTCTTGTAGAAATTGTGGAGATGATCTAAATAGTACAATGTTTCTAAATGGTATTAAAATTTTACAACAGTGCTACTTATTGATAAAAAAAAAATATTAGGAAACTTGCTTAGTTTTTGTTAAATAGGTTCAACATATAAGTTTGTACTGACATTATCGACATACCTCAGTTCAAAAAATAGTCAAATTAGTCGTAGAAAATCTCAAGTGTGAATTCATTGAAAATATGCCTCTTGTAGAAATTGTGGAGATTATCTAAATAGTACAATGTTTCTAAATGGTATTAAAATTTTACAACAGTGCTACTTATTAATAAAAAAAGATATTAGAAAACATGCTTAGTTTTTGTTAAATAGGTTCAACATATAAGATTGTACTGACATAATCGACATACCTCAGTTTCAAAAATATTTAAATTAGTCATAAAAAAACTCAAGTGCAAATTCATTTGAAAATATGATTTTCTTGTTCATTTAGAATAGCAATTGGCTTTGCCCTGACCTTCATATTTTTTGAATATTTGTAATTAAAACGTTTGTATGCAACAGGAATATGGCAATATAATGGTTTATTATAAAATATTGTGTAATGATGTTTCCTTATACAAGTGTATCTAAATTCGTGTTTCCCAAACTGCAGCTCACGCCCACGAACTTGTGTGAAATAGTTTAAAACTTTATGTTTTTACCTCTTTGCGTTCTAGATACCGCCAATTGTTACGTAATCATAACAGTTTTAAGCATGTGTATGGTTGTAACAATTCAATTATAGTGGTAACTTAATTATGTGTAACAGTCCATCGCGCACCACCCCCCACCCCCTTCTGCATCTAATTTTGTCTTCCAGTCAACCAACTTTGGGAACCACTGATCTAAATTGTTAACAGACATCTCATGGTACAATGCATTTTGACTCTTTATGCTTTTTAAAACTTCATTGAAATGATGAAGTTCACAAGCCCTACCTATTAATTTTCCATCTGAATGCAAAGTAAAAAGGTCTCTCTTATACTATATTATTAGAGAGGAGAAACTGCACTTCACATGGCTACACGTTCAGGACAGGAAGCTACAGTCAAATACCTTCTCGATCATGGTGCTCATCCTGACACTAGAAAAAAGGTGCAAAATACATATGTGTAATGTTTTTTGATTTGGTGGTGTTGCCTGCTTTTTTGCTTTAATGATGCACAGATGGAAATATGTTTCTCACATATGATCAAATATTTCTATTGTTTGATTATGATAGGAAAAATCAATTTCTGGCTGTGACAAGCATGCTCTTATTTTTCTGTAGTTTGTATTGTAAAAATTAGCAATTACAATATGTTGTCATGTTTCTTTCACTTTTTTTTGGTGAATAAACCCCTTGCATGTTCTAGTCTAGAGTCTGGCATTTTGATAGAAATAAAAAATCTTTTAAAAATAACAGGAAAATTTTTAAGCATTTTATACAATTTTAAATGCAAATCACTCAACATATTATTATGACATAGTTTATCTTTTATATTACTTATTCTATTACTTCTAATTATTAAGCTTTAGTGCACGTAAGTGTTATAGTTTGTCATAACCTTTCAATATATCGATCAGTGCAGTAAACACCAAAGTCTAGTTTTAGATAAATGCTGCAGATCTTTGTTTTATTTTGCTTTCCATGTTATTAAAAATGTTATGATAAGAGCAACTTAAAAAGTCTCATTTTGATTTATAGTATCACTAACATGTATGATGCAATAATAAATATCCTTTATGGCTCAAAATATACTTATTTTGCCTGCCTCGATGCATTATTCATTACTCTTAGAGTAAGCCTTGTTTCAATTATGTATGCAACTCTCAACCAAATATACAAACTAAAAAATTCAAAATATTCATCGACGTACCTATTTTGTTTTATATTTTGTAAATTTAATATCAGAAATATGATATCCTAAAATTTGCAAAAAATTGTGTTGACAAATAATATATTATTAAATGACAATTAGTTGGAAATCATGCTTGCCTGTCCACTCGTATTTTCCATCTTTAATGTTATGAAGAATGCATTTTGCTTGCTGTCTTGCACATTATACTAAATGCTTGTTGAATGTTAGCTTCATGTGTTTGTCATTCATAGTTTTTAAATTGTTTGCTTTTGCTCATTTCTTGATTAAAAATTGGGCACGGTGGCCTAGTGACTAAAGTGCTAGACTTGACTAAGGGGTCATGGCAGGTTAAAATCCCATGGGTTCGAATCCCATGCTTGCCATCTCACCCAGGTTGTAACAAATTTAGTTATCAATGTAAAACTGGAAAGAGACTGGACTATGCTACATTGATTTTGATGTATGATTCATTTTGGCACATTCAACCTGAAAACTCTTTGTGTAGATATAATTGTGGTTGTTTAGCATTTGTATTGAATCACACATTTTGTAAATGAATCTTTCTGAAATGAGAAAATATATGCAAAAAATAGTGTGTAGCTCTATAGTAGTTCAGATGGAATGCAAATAAGAAGAATAAAGAACTTCAACATGTTGAAATAAATAGCATATGTGACTACAACAAAAAAGTCGGCTTGTTTTATGTCATCATGCTACAATATAACGCAATCAAACTGACAATTTGTTCCGATTTTTTAGAGAGGTGTGTTATATAAATATGTCGCTCATATATTAAATATAAATTTTGAACTTTAATCTAGATATGAATTATTTATTATTAAATAAAAGTTTTGTGCCAAATCTTTTCTACTATTTATGTAGTATAGTTTTAGCATTAGATTTCTCTAAATGAATGTATTTTTTTCGATATGTGCATGTATGCTTGTTGCATTTTGTATTTCTACACTTTATTTTGTGCTCATAATAAATGTATGGTGAGTTCATCAAATGTTTTTCTTTTTCTTGCTTCGATTTATGTCTAAGGAGTGGGATGGTTTATACATGGAGGTGAGATAATTCGACATACCGTAGATAATTATGTTTATTCAATTATTCATTGCTTTGTGTAAGCAGTTCTTGGAAACAACATTTCATATTATGGGAATATTTTAAAAATGAAGAAAGAAAATGAAATTTTCAATTTCAAATTTTATAAAAAATTGTATTTTTGCTCAAATTTTTTTTTTTAGGTCCAACTTGTGGAAATTTATTTTTTTTTCTTTATCTTATATCCAGGAATCTCAAACTGCACTTCATCTTGCTGCAAGATTGGATAGAGTTGCTATTGTTAAAATTTTAATACAGGTTGTTCTTTATATTTCAAATAATTTATGTCTATTCCTCTGCCCATGTTCTTCATTTCGATTATACATAAATATATACCGGTACAATGTATACCATAGTCTAAGATTTAGAACTGTGGGCAGTTCGTTAGCAATTAATAAATGACTTTGAAGTGTTTAAATACCTAAGTAACGTGTTTTGACACAATCATTATAAGGTATAGCCTGTATCATTATTGTATTCTTCCATTCTATAATTCTTTATAGTGTCATCATCTCTTGGCATTCAAGTGGGTGCCAGCAGCTTTGCTCAGAAGTCATTCTTCTTAATTTCTGAGTGAATTCTCATGTTTTTGCTTTGAGAAACTGATTTTGTAGTAATTGTCAAAGTGCATAGGTATAGTAAATTTTAGTTCATGCTCTATGACAAAGTTAGGTTTATTGATGAAATTTTTTGAGAGCAATATTTGTTATTTCCTATTTCATACAATGTACTAACTGTTGCTAACCCATTAAAATCTAATTCATCATTCTATTCTCGTAAATAATTTTACATTAAATTACCATATTTTTACTTATTTTTTTATATAGCATTCTGCTGTTGTGGATGAAGTAATGCGGGATGGTTACACTCCATTACACATCGCATCTAAAGAAGGTCATGTAGAAGTTTGTGAAATTTTGATTGAAAAAGGTGCTGCTGTATCTTTGGCCACAAAGGTAAGCTTTTCATAAATCAATCATTTTAAGTAGACAATAAGACGAATAAGTCATACATTTTTGATATGAATTCTATTTTTAATAAGATGGAAGTTGAACATGCTTGCTATCATTACCTCTTACCAGAACAGAAAGTAAACTAATGATTTTAAAATTTAGTGCAACACTGAACCTAATAATTGCTTTATCAATATTGGTTGTCTGTTACTCTGTTAGTTGGTTGTCTATTGGTTGTTTGGTCTGTTGGTTGTCTATTGGCTGCAATACTGAACTACATACTACAAGTTAAATAATTGCTTATCCAATATTGGTTGTCTAATTTGAATATTGCCCAATTAATTTTCTGGCTCTGCACTTGTTAAATAAATTCATAATTAGATGACCATTTGGGAATTGATTTGTTTATGCTTTGGGTTTTCCAATCATTTTCGCCGATATGATCAATCAATTATTTCTTTGATGGAGTGGAGAATGTATTTTGTAGGAGTAATATATATTGTAACTATCCAAATGCAACATTGGAAGTGAGGCTTATTATTATGGTGTGTACATTTGTCTATAACTATGGTAATAGTCCCTTTTGAATTTTCAGTAGTTTTAATTGAAATAATATTGAATGTTATTCAAAATACTTTTATTTGTTTTCACTGGACCCGTTCAATGCCCAAATTTTTTAGTCAAATGGATTTTTCAACAAACTATCCTTGCAAACTGGTAACCAACCAGCACTTTACAGTCACAATCCCACTTTTGTGCTCATTTAATTGAGATTTTCATATAGTTACTACAAAAATGAATGTAAAATATTTGATATTAATTATTGTAATGTAATTAAAATGAATTTTTAACATTCTTCCATTGTAGAAAGGATTTACACCTCTTCATTTGGCTGCAAAGTATGGACGACTAGAGGTTACGAATCTACTATTGAAAAAGTCTGCTTCTCCCAATTCTGCAGGAAAGGTAGGACATTTTTTTTAAAATATGATATGAATATTGTGTCAATAAATAAATATGCTTTTCATTATTTATTCAAATATTTCAGACATTATCATTTTTATTTCATTTCGTTTTTTATAATTTTAGCTTATCGCAAAATTGATGAGTCAACAAAAATTGTACAAATTTGTTATGTACTAGCATCTGTAACAGGGGTAATAGAGGTTGAATACCCAAAGCTTTGTTCTACCCAATTTATACCAGTAGTATATTCAATCCTAAGTACCCCCATTGTTTCAATATTGTCGGAATGCTTTTATCAGTGAAATATATGTACATTATTGATCAGACTTCTTTTATGTTTCAAGACATCTTCGCAGTAATCTTATTTCACATTTATAAATAATGCAGAATGCTTTCATCCCATTGTTGACGTCATAGTACCAATTTTGGTTCAATGATGTCACAAACGTATCTATTTTTTAGCTAAGCTGATTCTATACAGGTATTTGGGGGAAACAAATAGCCTGGATAACTATTGAAGTCTATTAACAATTCAATGAATTTATCATTTGACTGTGTAATCATTCCTTATTATTAAATCATAAGAGGCTTTGTGGACACCCTGTATAATTTGAACTGCAAGAATCATATTAAAATGTGGAAATTCTCGCTTGAGGTTTTAAAAAATGAGTTAAAGGGGGACGGTTCTATTACTCTTTTTAAATCGATTTAGACTTTTCTTGACTTCTATTTGATGCTTTCATTATTTTCAGAATGGACTGACACCCCTACATGTTGCCGCACACTTTGATAACCAAAATGTTGCTTTGTTACTGCTAAAGTCTGGTGCTTCTCCACAGTCACCAGCTAAGGTATTCGACTAGTTATTGAATCAAATATTATAGTTTGAATGTTTTTGAAGCATCTTGAAATACTGTCTAATTAAAGTAAATCAGTGTATTGCCTCACTCAAAAGTATCAAATGCATACTAAAAATAAAATAAAATGTGCTGAGCAGAAGTTATTAAAAAGGGAACCAAATAGAACAACTACAATTTCTAAATAACGATATTTGTACTTTATTGCGGCAATAAAAAGGGTACCCCCGATATTATGAGTACCAGGTTAGGGTTAGACCATAATGTCCTTCATGTCTCTGTGCATTCACTTACTGTAGATGAGCCTAATTGACATTGTAGCAAAATGAACATTGTAACTTTTTTGCCGTATTTTTTACGGAACGAAAGGCCCACTTTAAATCCTTTTTTTTTCTAAATCGATTGTGTGCCGTATGTATGGATCAGGTAGTGCAAGCAATGTTTTTCATTGCTTACATTTAAAACCAGTACCGGTATTGGTTTAAAACCGTAATGTCTCATAGCACGAAGCGCCTTATGTATGAATAAAACCGAAACTAAGCAAGTTATTGTGAGCTTATAACAAGGTGCGCCTGCCTAATGGTTTGTAAAATACGGTAATTTGAGAAAAATTAATTTGATGTTTTTGCCCTGTACCTGTTATAAGTATGGTATATGGAACTGTAATTATTCACTTGGACTTTGCTCATTTTTCTCATTTTTCTAGAATGCCTACACTGCTCTTCATATTGCTGCCAGAAAGAATCAAATCGATATTGCAGTCACATTGTTAGAGTATGGAGCTTCTACTAAATGTAAAACACGCATGGGTGCAAGTCCTCTACATTTGGCTGCACAAGCAGGACACACAGATATGTGCAGCCTTCTCCTGGCAAAGGATGCGAATGTTAATGGAACGGCGAAGGTAACACATATACATAATTACATGTGAAACAAACAAAATGAATATGCAATATGCACAGTTTTTCATTGAACATCAATATGATGGAATATTAAAATGAAATTGAAATAATTCTAGGTTGACAGAGCACTTGCTAGTTTGGACCATTCTAGATATTTATTTTATTTATTTTTAACAAGCAATTTGGAACTTTTCAGCAAATCGGCAAATATTATTTCATAATTTATATTTTTGTGAAAATAGGAAAAACTTTGATGCAAAATTTGCACTACATGTGTTATGTAAGTTAAGTCCATGCATCTGAAACAAATAACTGGCTAATTAATCCCATACCCAACATGGACTGGTAACCAGGCCGTGATACACCGTATGATTAACCCGTCTTATCAGCTTTCTTTTCCCCCAAGATAAATATGATAATGCATGATTGCTCTTTTGTTGTGTTATTGGTAACACTTGCCAGTTTTCATCTTGATGTGAAGTTAATGCAATTAGAAATATGGACCAATGATAAGTAGCCTGCCATACACCACAACTCATATTTTTCGTTCTATTTGCAGCATGGTTTGACTCCAATGCATTTAGCTGCCGAAGAAGACAAAGTATCTGTAGCTAAAGTTCTTTATGACAATAGATCACTTGTCGATCCATTAACTAAAGGAGGTCAGTACTACTTACTGGTATATGCTTTATAATATAAATATAATGAACATGAATATTCCTGAAATAAAGATTGTGCAATAAAAATTTTTTGGTATTACCGGTACTATCAATACGATACAAATAACATAATAACATACCATAATACCGATCAAAATTAAAAAGTTTGTAAATTAAATATTCTTTTTTCAATTAGATATTATTAGAACCTATATATATTAGAACCTTAGGTGTTACTTCTCCCAGTAACAGCGTCTGATTATCTTCTTTTTTAATGTTGTATTTGCTTGTTTTTTCTGGTGAAAATAATTTAACTTGACTTGAACATCTGAAATAAATTTAGCGAATCAGGAAACTCACAGTTTGATTATAATTGTAAACTTGCGGTTGTGTATTAGCAATGTTGATTTTTATAGTTATTTCAATATTATATTTTATCCAATTTTGATGTAATAGATCGGTAAACGACATATTTGATGAATATCAAGTAGGTAATTTTTTCGGAACGGAATATGTAAACGTCGGTTGGTCTTGCTTCTTATATTCTTATACTCACTTTAACGTATGCATAAGGAATTATAAAAATCAAAGGAATTAATTACTATTGATGCCTTCTCAAAAATATCCCATCTTCCCATCTAAATTTCCACATTTTTCTATTGCGGATAGTTATTAATATATTTATTTACATGTAGGTTACACTCCTCTTCATGTTGCTTGTCATCATGGAAATATCAACATGGTGAAATATCTGGTTTCTCTGGGAGCAAAAGTCAATGCTAAGACAAAGGTTTGTTTAGTTTTTCGAATGTATATAGGATTCCTATACTAAAGAATTATCTATGAACTTTGAAAAAAATCACATATAGACCTATCTTCCCAGGTAAACCCTCCAATTAGCTGACCCATAACAAGTTTTTAATTTAGTTCAATCTAGTATAAGCAAGTAAATCCAATTCCTTTGCATTGCGCAGCCCATACCCAAGCTTACCAAAATTTGTCTGTCTGCAACTACTAGAAAGCATATAATAAATAAAGTTAAATAAAGATGCGGCCCGCCGTTTTACCCAGTTATTTGTATCTGGCTCTCCTGTATTGAAGGTTGCACACCCCTGACCCCTGTCTTATAGGATTTAAACTTAAAACCAACGTAATCAGCTTTTTGCAGTAGGCTATCATATTAGATTTTATTATGGTTATCTATGCAATATATTTAAATATCCCCAATTTATTTTTCAGAATGGATACACTGCCCTTCATCTTGCTGCTCAACAAGGTCACACTCAAATTGTTGATCTTCTTCTGAAGTTTGGTGCATCACCAAATGAGCTAACAAATGTAAGTAATGTACTATGTTATTTTTGTAAACTATATGAGATAGGGAGAGTGTGATGATATAAAAGTTTATATGAATAATAAAATTGTTCAAATTCAATGAGAAATAAATATCACACTGTAGGAATCAAACGTGAATATAAGCAAAACAATCCATAAATATATTTTCAGAATACTTAATGTATATCCTCGCATATGAGCCGACCCCCTAAAAACGGTAAATTTATAAAATTTGCATATGATCTGACCCTACAAATCATACACTCTTATTGTGAGAACTAAGCATGGTTCTAGTTGCAGCTGTTGGAATTAAGTTAACATAATGTGATCTCGGTTGAGTGTGATCAGAGTTATGCGCGTTTAAACCACCCCTTAGTTTGGCAAATTGTTTTTTCTAATTCTGAACTCAGCTTATATGTGAGAATACAAGGATAATCATTTAGGACAGGGGTTCCCAAACTTTATTGTCCGCGGGCCAAAATTAGAATCGAAAGGGTGTTCGCGGGCCGGAAGAGTGTAGTGCCCGAAAGTGTGCAACGGTTTGTTTGATTCATAATGGCGCTTTATGTCGTATTGTTTTATAACTTGAATAGTTCGTCGGCAAAGTGGACAAATCGCTGAAGTGTGATTCTTTTCAATACAGAAATACGAACGATGCCATTTATCGGAGTAACATTTGTTTTCAGAGTCTTGTATATTATTTGACATCTCTAACCTTTCTTAAATGGCTGATAACTAAATTACGGCCCTATGTAATCCTAATACGGTACGTATAATTGAGATACCGGCATAATCGAATTGTTACCATGAACACGATCTTAAACTGTGATAATGACATAACAATTGGCGGTTTATAGATTGTAAAAAGGTAGAAACAAAATCTATTTTATTGTTTCACTTAAGCTCGGCGGGCCATTTTAAATCGTTACGCGGGCCGGAGTTGGCCCGCGGGCCGTGGTTTGGGAACCCCTGACTTAGGATAATGATTTACCAGATATATTCTATACATAAAATCATACCTCTTGGTTTTCCATGTTAATTGACAAGCTTATAATGCATGGGGACACACTTTGTGCTGATATTGCTCCATTATTCTCTCGCATTATTCCTTGCATGACCATATGAGATTTGCATTTATTTCTCTTGAGTTAATTTGATTCACTCAATAATGGTACTTTCTACTCTATTTTTTAGAATGGAAACACAGCTCTCTCACTTGCGAAACGTCTTGGGTACATTACTTGTGTTGACACCTTGACAACTGTCACTACTGAAATCATAGAAAGTGTGAGTATTAATTGTTTTAATAAAGCAGACATTGATGAAGATAATGTTTGACTATTTCTTTGATATTTGTTGAATGAAACTAGTTCTGATTAAATCCTTATTCTTCATTTAAATACGAAAATTTAATGCTTACTTTTGCTGATTTACAAAAAAGTACTTTGCTAAATAAAAATAAAAAATTCTGGTTTTTAAATTTCTATACTTCATCGCTGATTTATTATTTGGTCAAAATTGTCAGTGGCTGTAACCTGAGTATAGAATACTTGTTCGCTTTGATATCTTACTCCGAGTGTGAAGCCTTTACTTCAATGGCAAGATGTCAAAATTTATTTTGCAATTGTCAAATCACAGTACAGTTTAATTTTATTCTATTTTACGTCTATTTTGTAAATTTTTAAAGATAAATGGTTATTTAATGCTTCATGACTTTTATTCTTAAAATTTTGGTTAATGACGAAACAACAGCTTTCGCTATTTATTAAATAATGACTTTTTCAGTCTGTGGAAGAAAAGCACAAAATGAATGTTCCAGAAACATTTGAAGAGGGATTTATGTCTGATGCTTCAGATGATGAAGGTAACGGCAACAAGTCTATGCTTCTAATAACTGTCAAACAAATAATAACTAACAAAAAACTGGCTAACTAATTCCATACCCGACATTGACTAATAACTGGACGAGAGGCCGTGGTTTGTCATATGATTTGGTTGTCTTATTAGCTTTGTCTCCCCGGGATAAATATGTAAATCCTATCCTATCCTAAATTGGATTTGTTTGACAGACCTACTTTTATGCAATATTAAACAAAATGAATTATTCATGTCCATCTCCCAATCTTATCATGATTGTCGTAGCCTAGTCTGTAAAGCTTGTCTATGATGAGATAGCTGGTTAAAATCTTGGGTTCAAATCCCATTCCTGCCACCTCATCCATGGTGTAATAATTTGGTTAGGAAATGCTAAACTGGAAATATTTCGATCTTTCCAAAATAGAGTAAATATTATAAATCCGCGAATGCCTGTGCAGAGCTGTGTTCAGAGCAAAAATGTATGAATATGTCATGTAAAAAAGTGTTTTAATTCAATAAGATAAATTTTGATTACATATTACAGAAGATGAAATGGCTGGTGAAGGTGAATATCTAACTGGACATGAACTTGAAGAATTAGGTGATGACAGTATTGTAGCTTCTGATGTTGGAATGCTGATGACTTCGAGGTCATTAATTTACTAGCTGATTTTATTGCTCATTTGTGATAAAATTTCATATTTATCATAGAAAATATAATGCCCATACCAAAACATATTATTATGTTTGCATATCATGATAAAGTTATTGTAACATACCATACATCAATGAAACTTTTGAATGATAGTATGTTATTTTGTTATGCATTTCTATTTTTGCATGCTTAAATCTTTTTCAATCTTTCATGAATATTAGGTTATCATCAACGTTGGAATCTACAACAACAACAACATCCATAACAACAACGGAAAAAAGAATGTCATGGAATTCATCAGTAAGCGAGAGTGATAATATAATCTCTAAAGATCGAAGAACCAGCGGGTAAGAAATACTACTGGTAATCAAATTTGAGGCAAAATAGAACTTATTGGTAAGAAAGTAACGCAGTATGAATCCAGAGGTGCAGTTCTTACCACTCCATGGCAGCTCCTGCCACAAACAAACCGCGGCGTCTCTTTCCATGGTTTTATGACACTAACATCGGTATATTCACAATATCATATACCAGATTTTAGTTTATCATGCGAAATTATATCTACTTAAACCTGAAACCTAACCCAAATCTATTAAAATTGTATTCATAAGGAAAATGGTCCAACTTACCAAAAGTTTGTCACCATTAGGGGTAGCCCTGTCATTACAGCCAACATGCCTTGGTTTGTGGCAGCAACATTTTACCCACCATTGGTTTGCAATTTGCTGCTGTTGTACTCGCTTCACGCCATTGGTTTGTGGCAGCTAAAAAGTCAGCCGTCATTGTTTGGCCATAGCGGCCATGGTTTGGAAATACCACCATGGTTTTGCAGCAGCTTCAGACGCCACAAAATACTTAAAACTGCACTTGTGAATCCATGTGTTTTCAATATCAGGAATGTGAAATTTGGCAGTTGGCGCAACATGCTAAGCATTATAGGAATACACTTGGCATTCATCTCTGTTTGTAAATTTGATTCAAATGGGGCCTGTGCTGGTTAGTTGCTCGACATCTCGCAAATGTATGGTAATTCATGTAACCGCCGCCCGCTGATTATGGCTTCCTCCATGATCAAGTCCATGAATCTTTCATGCATTCTTGTCCCCTGGGTATAAATATATAAATATCCTATTCTATCATTCTTCTAGATTTCTCGTATCATTTATGGTTGATGCTCGTGGAGGTACAATGAGAGGATCACGACATCCAGATTTACACGTTGTTGTCCCACCAAAAGCTTGCGCTTCTCCCACACGTGTCACATGCCGATTGGCTCGCCGACACCAACTACGGCAATCATCTTTTGGTGCAGTTCCTCCTGGTGGCCTACCATTATTTGAAGATGAAGGGAAAGCTGCCGAAGTCTTGGAACTAGGAGGCAAAGGAACAAGCTTTTTAGAGTATGCCATTTTTAAAATTATAGCTCATTTTTTTTCTTTTGTTTTCTTGTTGAATATAGTTAGTTATAGAATAGTGTGAATTAACAGCATGGGTTTGTCCTCAGAAACTTTCACAACTCTATTAACTGTAGTGGAAAGTGCTGATATTACTTGACTCTAATTTATAATCCTAAGTGTGCAGTGGTTTACAGACTTTGTGCTCCACAGGCATTTTGCCCTTCAGACTTTTTGGACCACAAGATGTTATGCTTTTTATTCTAATACAATGAAAAAAATACAATTTATGTATTTATTGACCACAAATTTCACAATAATGGTAATTACCTAACTATGTTCAAACATCCTATAAATCCACATGAACATGTATATTATTGTTTTAAAAAGCTACAGCAAAAATAAAAATCATAACTCAAAACTCTAGTCTAGAGAGTGCAGTTTTTACTAATAACATTATCTATCATTGATTTAATTCTAACCTTTAAAACCGTGCAGAGAAGTCAGTATTTCAGTGGTGAACAAGTACTAGTAGGTTCTACTAGTACTAGGTTTAATAGGTTCTTTTTTTTTTTTTTGATGAAAAATTAGTGTTATTTTATGCTGTTTTTAGTAATAATATTTTCTAATTTAATATATAGAGTTTGATTTATCTGTATTTTCACTTAAAATTTTACTAACAGTGAATAATTTTTATTCATTTTATAAATTTCAAAACTAGCTAGGTATCTCAATTCTCAATTATTAGTTTCTTCTATTCTATTGCACAGCAAGCTACATGTACCCTCCAACCTTCCCATTTTCAATGAAGGAGAGTCACCTGCTTCAAAAGTATTACAGATGGGTCCTAAAAACACTAAGTTTTATGGGTAATGATACATGTTGTGAAGCAATTGTCCAAATAAACAATTTGATATGCATGATTTGTTCTCAATTGTTTTGTAATAAAAGATTTGTTCTGGTTCAATGAACATATAATTATGTACAAATGTATGTAATTTCGTTATAGTGGTATAAATTCTTAATTTGTGGAAGACTTGCAACAATAACTGTTAATTTAGGTGATGCAATTTTAATTTAATTTTATTTTTTTATATAAATTTCATTGTCTCAATTTGCATGTTATATGCTGTAATGAATCGTTCAATATGCAAAAGCCTAAATCTTGGTTATGTTCCATGTTTTTATGTTGTTGTCGTCACAGTTTAGCTTTGAACAAGGCTCGCCAAAAGTAATTACTATTACTTACGCATGCATGCCATAGCCAAAATTGGTATTTGGTTCGCAAAGGTCTGTCCAATTTCATTACATTTTGGATGAGGTGGGGTGGGGTCTGAACCAGTGGCGTCATGGCACTAATAATATTGACATCATAATATTTCCAATTAAGTTATTCAGCTCTGATCAGGCTTAACAATTAAATGAAGATAATGCTCTTAGTTTTGGTTAAAATAAAATATGCCACAATTTGATTATCTATCATTAAGCACAATACTGTTTTTTGTCTAAATTGTAGATTTTCTCTGACATCTGAACTCGAATAACAAAAAGAAATTTTTTTATTTTTTCCAGGGTATATTCTTTATGGTACAAATATTAAAATATTATTGTGACATTTGAACTAAATCTTCTTAAATGTTGATTAATTCGCCTTCTTAATATAATTTTTACTTGTGTGTGAAACTAATAAATAATGATGTAATTCTTATGAAATTTTCTTTCTAATTTGTTTTGATTGTAGATAGTACTCTAGTCAATATGCTACAAAATCATGCAATACTGATATAATTTATTAGAATATAATTGTTGTGCTTTTATGTAAATTCGGCTTCTTCTCCCATATTGCCACAGAAAAAATGAAGTTTTAAGCATTCTCTCTTAAAAATAATCCTTTTAACGTTCAAAATCTTGAGCCCTCAACTAAGTTGTGTAATTTTACAAATTTCATTTGGCTGTAAAAGTATTTTTCATAACAGATTATGCCTGAGTGTCAAATTCAGTGTTCAATACACGCATAGCTGTCTAAAAATTGTCAAAATTGAAATGCTGATAATTTATCTACAGACCTGTTGCAATTGAAATACCCCATTTCGCCAATTTACATGGAAAAGAAAGAGAAATTATGGTAATACGATCTGATGATGGTGAAACATGGAGAGAACATCGACAAGCTTGTTCTGACAAAGAATTTTTACAACAAGTCAAAGGAATAGGTGAGATTAAATGAATTATATGATAGAATACTACGTAGATAGAATACGTACATTTATGTTTATGAAACTCGTCATCCATACCCCTTGACTGTTGCTTTGATTTTTTGCTCGGCAACTCTTAAACAAAGTCCTATGGCTTAGTGGTTGAAGCAGTAATGTATACAGATTTTTATTTTCCTGTTATATTATTACTTAAAGACTATGCCACCATTGCTAATTTTCAAATATTCTCTAGATCTTGAAACATCTGAGGAATTGATGCAACGAAGGGTGATTCGTGTCATCACAAAAGATTTTCCTTGGTATTTTGCATTGTATTCAAGGACTAGAGAAGAAGTGTGTCAAGTTGGACCTCTGGGTGGAGTTCTGGAATCTAATATTATCAGTCATGCTTCTGCAACTTTTCCTAAAGATGCTTTAACAAAAGAAATCAAAGTTGGAATTCAGGTGCTTTATTGTCTGTTTTTTAATTTTATATTTAGTTGGTTCAATTACCGGTAACTAAAGAATTCCTTTTGTTCTGAGGAGAAGAAAAAGATAGCCGGGCTTAGTCATATGGTTGCCATTTTGTGTCAGATGTGAAAATGTCTTACCAGCTCAAGTTTTAGCGGATTTTAGTATGCCTCCTCAATTTACTGATTGATTGGAGTAAGGGGTGCAGCAAGAATTCTCGAAAAGGGGGTAGGATTCAAAACTGGAAATTTCAGTGGAACTACCAGGATGAAAATACTCACTAAAAGAGCCAAATTTTTCAGCATACAATGATTTTTATGTTGCGTAATCCATAAGCATTTATGACTTTTTCGGTTTTGCGAAAATTTCAACCCCTCTGGCTACTATACTGATTACTGATTGAAGTGATTCTAGCGTTTGAATCCACCATTTTTAATTCATTACATTAAATTGTTTTCTCTATCATAAAACAGGTACTTCCTATCTCATCTGAAATTTGTAAAAGAACAGTTGGAACAAAAGCGAAAGCAAGTCCTATCGTTACTGTTGAACCACGAAGAAGAAAATTTCATAGACCCATCACACTTGCTATTCCATTACCGGGTAATTTGCTACTTTTTATGTTGGTGATATTCATTCAGCAGCGATAGAATTGAAAAAATGTTAGAAACTGGGAAACATCAAAGAATAACTGAGTATTAAACTTCTCTTCATGCTTGTAAAAATAGTAGAATTAAAGTAATCCCGAACATAGAATTAAAGTGTCATTTCTATTGCAAGCTGTTTACAGCCTGTCTTAGATAATTCTGTTGGTATTTCAGCATTTTGTGGTCTGATTTTGATAGACTTTTGTTCATGCTTGAGCTCTCTGTTTCCAAAATTGAAATTTGGAGGATGAAAAAGTACAATATTACCATTTTATTGCAACTTATTATAATGTTTTTCTTCGTTTTAATATTACGATTAACTTTAAATCTTCATCTTTTTTAGAGGGTGGCAAAATGAAAGACTACTTAAGCACAAGTGAAGCTTCGACATTGAGACTCTTGTGTAGCATATCCGGTGAGAATGAATTATAAAAATATGGTATTCTATAATCTTGTATAATTTGTAAATTTCATTTTGAAACACACAAGACTGTGAGCTCTTAAACTCGAATATCTATAGAAAAAATGATTTTTATCATTTTCAAATTTCATTCTTAATATTTTGAAGATTTTATCTTGTAACAGTTGTTTCAAATGACATATTTGTCATGCATGAGGACATTTTCAGTATTTTTTATATGAGCCTATTTCAGGATTTTCACGGCCCGATACAAGCAGTCACTGATATATAACAATATGTTTTCGAATAATCTTCTAATTTATAATTTATTTGATGAACCGATAGGTATATTTATGATTTACTTCACTTATTAATTTTCCAAACTTGTTATTTTTAGGTGGAACAGATCCTGCACAATGGGAAGATATAACTGGTTCAACGCCATTAAATTTCCATGAACAATATGTTTCATTTACAACCACTGTATCTGCAAAGTATGATTTGTTATTTTTCATATTTATTATTAATTAATGTTATTTATATATGTACAGTCAGCTCTCTGCGTTTTTACCTTTTATATTCTAATTATCATATTCATGTCATCTATCCATAATAATAAACAGTTATTGAGTATGAACTTGAAATTGAGTTCCATATGCTATATGGAAGAGAATAGCTACCAAAAAATTAAAAAAAATCCCTAATTTTGTATTTTAAATTTCATTAATGCATTCCAAATGTATATGCTATGGCATTAGATTAAAACAGTAGTTCTTGACCTTTTTCCTACGTGTCCTCCCTGAAAGTTAGTTTACGCTTTCACGTCCCTAATTTCACACATCTTTTTGTACTATCTTTAACATTTTGAATATTGAAACAATTGCGTTTCGTTTGTTGATTGCACATTATTAAGGTATTTGACATTGCTTATTAGCTACAAGAACTTTATTGTAAGGTGATCGTCAAGATACTTTTGCCCTCAGGTCAAGAACCACTAGATTTACTTTATATCGTCGCATATAAGCAGACTCCCTAAAAACAGCCCTGAAACTGAGAATCTATAAAAAATCGCATATAAGCCGACCCTACAGGCCAAATTTTTAATGCGATCAAAAGTTATGTACGTATATGTTAGTAGTCTGCAACTATTTTTCCGAGTTTTAAACTCGGATTATATGCGAGGATATACGATAACTATATGATTGGAAGCAATTTTTCCCTCTAAATATTTAAAATTGATTCAACTTGCTGTTTTTCAGCTTTAATTCTCAAATAAGAATCAGCATGGAAGAAGATATTTTTAAAAAAAAAATTGATTTGTGAAATGTCCATTAGAGTGTTGATATTAGCCATTCTGAAAAGAAAATAGTCTTTATTTTTCTATGTTGAATTTATACCGAATCTTATTTTGCAGATTTTGGCTAATAGATTGCCCGGTGTCAGCTGATTCAATAGCACTTGCTGAAAAAATCTACTCGGAAGCAACACTTGTTCCTTATTTGGCAAAATTTGTTGTTCTCGCTAAAACTACAGATGTTTCAAATGCAAAATTACGAGTATTTTGTTTAACGGATGATAGGTAGATAACTACATTTACTTTCTAGATTAAATGGGCAACAATTTGTTTGTTTTATTCAAAATAAAAAAAGTGTAGTAAAAGTGTAAAAAAAGAGTAAAAAAGTGAAAAAAATGTGTCGCCTATAAAAACTGAAAATCTTTTACTTACAGATATGAAAGAACACTTGAAAATCAAGAACATTTCATTGAAGTTGCAAGAAGTCGAGATATTGAAGTTTTAAATTCATCTTCCATGTATGCGGAATGTTCAGGAAATTTAATGATAGAAAAACAATCACAACCAACATGTACATTTGTTCCGTTTCAAGAAAATAGACTACATTTTTATGTGAAGGTAATGTAAACAGTAGACCTTACACAGCTGAAGATTCATAAAATAAAATAAAAGTTGATAACAAAATCTGAGCAATTTGTAATTTTCAACTTTTCATGCTTTATTTATGTTATTGATATTTATCATATTTATTCTAATCTACCGATTTCATAATGGATTATTCAATTATGAAAATACCTTTTTGGATTAAATATCTTGTCCATGTTCGGCAAAAGAATGAATATATCATGTCGTTTTTTAAATTTTTTTTTTCACATGGATAAATATTGAAATTATAGTATTTGTTTAATTGATGATTGATGTACAAAGTCTAGCCAGAATTCACAAAACTATAATTTTTTACGAAGGCTGGATCAGGCCAGGATCGAAACAATATTGCATTAATTATGCATTTGTTGACATTTTTGTTATTTTTTTGAATGTTTTTCACATCTCATTCAGGTTAGAGACATGACACAAGAGCCATGTGGACGCCTCTCATTTTTCCGAAATGTCAAAGGTGCGAAAGTTCATGGAGCCAGAAAACCGTTATGCAGTTTAAATATACGATTGCCTCCATATGTAAAGGTGCTTAAATGACTATTTTTTCATATTGGTTTTGTTTATGTCAAAGCAAACTGACTCATAAGTGAAGTGTGGGTAAACAAAGTTCCCAATTCAAAGCCTATGCTCACCGACCCATTCAAGTAAAATAAAATAGTTTCTGGTATATAGCCTTTCTAAGGGCAAAAGTATAACTTATATTATAGAAATGCAGCAATGAGTTTTTTTGTCAAAATTGTTAGATTTTGAAAATTTATTTTTGTGTTATTTTACGCATTCAAGGATTGGGATTCTGATGAGGATTTATATAAGGTATGACTTATCCTTGATGAAGGAGTTTGTAACATAAGGACAAACAATGCCTTATTCTGATCACTGTATATTTTTAGTGATATAATACAGGATGGTAATTAAGGTCCTGTATTAAATTAGATAAAAGAACTTTGGTGCACTTTGTGCTACTTATGGTGTAATAAATGAAATGAAAAAAAATTTGAAAAACAAACCTGATGTATTGAGAACTGACTTCATAACAAAAGTTATATTGTAACAATACTTTATGTATTGTTATTGGAATACCATCAAAATTGACAATTCTTTTTCGTAGGCCACATTTGGCCTGCGGGTCACAGGTTGCACACCCCAAGAACAAGACATCTTAAAGTGCTCATTGGTCAAATGAATATTTCTATGCTCAAATTCAAGAAATTTATTTCCATCATGAGTCGACAAGCTTGTAATATCAACTGCAACAATGAATGCGTTGTATAGTTTTTTGTAACAGTTCATTTTTATTTTTCTGTTTATCATATATTAAGACTGATACAGTGGTTAATGACAAAGAACCAGAATCGACTTCACAACTTTCTGTTACTCAAGCAAGAGATCGATATTATCTTGTGGATCCTTCATCAGGTATGTAACTTTTTATAATAACTGCAAAATTTTAATAGAAATTTTTATACTGTTCATATCTGAAAAAGATTCAAAATGTAAATAATTTAATTCCACATTTGAAATTTGATTCGGAAATTTGAATTTCGTGAAAAATCAAATTATATGGCATAAGTCGCAAGTTAGTACAATGCAATTAAATCATTTTCAACTCTGTTATATGGAATAAAACAGTATTACCTATGTGCCAGAAAATTTCAAAGCAAAAATTTACTACAATAACGAATTTTTTACCCATGGGTAAAGAAAATGTCAAGAGTAATTTTGTGTAGATATGATGCTCACCATAATTTAATCATCATTTTATATGTGATGCATTTTTATGAAAACAAGCCCTTTTAGTTTTGCATTTCCAAGATAATTTAGTTAACTTGTTATTATGTGTTGCACTAAGAGTATATACACATCTCTTCTGTTCTTATCAATTTTTTTCACAACCTGTATGGCAGTTTGTATTTTGAGATTCTGCACTTCTTTGCTATAGCTAAGCAACATATCCATTACTTACTGATTATACCCTACCTATTCATTACATGATAGACAAAATAGTGGTTTGATATACTTGATTAACATATTGTCGAATATCCTTCTTTTTGCCATAATTATGTGAATACACAATCCACTTTATTGGCATACTATACTTTTCATATTTTCCTATTTTTATTGGAGATCTTTTTTTATTTTTCATGCTGCTTTGATAATGGATTACGGTATTGGTAAAAAATTATTTCATCACTAATAATATAGTCGATGAAACATTTATCAATGAAGATGCCAGTCCAGAAGAAATTGCAAAAGATGTTGCTGAAGTCATGCAGAAATTGAGCGAAGTAAAACAACTTTTGGATCCTTCACACAAATCTAGTTTTACAACAGTCCAAACAAACGATAAATCCCACACAGATATATCTAAATCTCCAAGCATGGAAGAAACATCCCAAGTTGTAACAGAAATGAAAAATAATCTTTTCGTCGTTGAAAAAATACTGAGAAATAAGCAAGAAAAAGATACAACAACCAAACAAATACAAAATGACAAAAACGAGTCTTCTTCTTCTATGAAATCTCTACATGGAGAGACTACTATTGAACCCGTTTTACCCCGCAGGAGTGATTCTGGTTATCAAGGTGTTGAAGGAGCTACTCCCATAGACCATAATGTTACTGTTAGAGATATTACTAATGCTTTCACAAATCTAACTGAAGAAATTGATTATCATATCAGAAAACCAATCTATGAACCAATTGAAGATTCTTATCAGTTACATTCAAGTAAATTAAATAAAACCGTTGCACGAGATCATATTTCTGGATTTTTATCGAAAGATCTTGATTGTGTAGAAACTACAATGAAACATCAAAACAACAGTACTGTTAATCGGGGAGAAATATGCAACGAATATGTAGACTCTGAAGACAATAGTCCAAAGAAAGCCCACATTGTCAACCAAGCTGATATTGATGCACTTGCGGAATTTCTAGCTAATGATTCTGCTTATAGCAGTCCCGCAGAACCTTCCGCTATTGAAGATTTGACAGATATAAAACAGATTGAAAATACTGTTACGTCAACGAATCCTTTTTCAAGTGATTTTAATTCGAAAAATGTGAGATTTAATGAAAAAATCACAGTTGTTCATGGTGCATCTTCTCATAAAATAAAAATGGAACCAGTGTTTGGCAAAGATTCGAGTAGCGGACAGTCTGTACTCCAAAGAATCAAAGCGTTTGAGGATGCAAGACATAATTTGGAAGAAGAAGTCGAACATTTTCGGAAGATAACATCGCTTGAATCAGAAATGATTCACCAAAAAGCACGTCTTCATGCTGTCACTCAAAAAGATCATCCACCTATCAGTGATTATCAATTAAAAAATAATGAACCACGAAAGCAGGAATTTCAAGGAAAGGAAAAAACCTCACCTGGTGTTGTTGAGGAAACACATTCAGTTGGAGAATTGCTTCGTACATGGGAGTCATCACCAGAGAAATCAACCAGACTTAGTTGTTCTACAAGTAGTGGTAGTTTATCATCTCCTATGAAATTTAGTTCACCTAATGTTATTTTTAAACCTTCTCAATCTGGAGTGAGAGAATCCATTGAATACTCTCAAACGCAACAAAAGATTGAATCATTTGAAAATGCTATTTATGATGATGACAAAAGTGCTGTATCAGATCATCCATTTTCTGAATCTCATACGAAATCAAGAGAAACAATGTCATCATGTTTTATGGTTTCTGATCTGTCAACAGAGAGAGAAGTGTTGCATCATGACCACAGTTCTGATGAAGAAGATTTTCATTATAACGAGATTGCTTCCAACTTTCATCAATCTGAAAACATGGAACAACAAAATGCATGTTCCACAGCTTTGTTACTGAATGACCAGGGAGATTTTGTATACAGCAAGGAGGATAGTGCTGTACTTGATAAATATGAAACAAAACACCATGACAAAATCCCATCAGCTCCTGATTATTATGAAGAAATTATAAAATCAGATGAGGATAGGGCTGTATTTGATAAATATGGAACAAAACAGCATGACAAAATTCCATCAGCTCCTGATTATTACGAAGAAATTTTAAAATCAGACGACGAAAAAATAAACACACATTCTAATTTTTCTCAACAAGAAAAAAATCGTCTTGTTGTCAAAGATGAAATTCCACCTTTGTTAAAATTTTCAAGCTCTGAAGAATTTTATCATGATCCAAGTTCTCATGACATTGTTTCATCGTATGAAACTGTGAGAGAAAATAAAACAACTCAACCTGATGTTTGGTATTCATCATCTACTATTCAGCAACAAACAAGTTTGTATCATGAAGATGAGCAATGTGAAAGTTCACAATCACCCCAAATATTGACACCACAAACTGAGGAGCAAAGTGAATTTACTAATCGAGAATATACCCATGACACTGAGCAACGCAAACTGGAATTGGATCAAAGAAATGAGATGAAAATATCTTCACAATCAACGATGAAATTTAATCTGGTAGAAAGCAATATTGATGATGGCAGGCAAAGTAATGCTTTCGATGTTGATTCTCAAATGGAAGAAAGTCGGAATGAATTAGAGAATAAGACTTCTGATGTTGATTATCATATGAAAGAAAGTCGGAATGAATTAGAGAATAAGACTTCTGATGTTGATTATCATATGAAAGAAAGTCGAAGTGAATTCGAGAATAAGACTTGTGATCTTGATTCTCAAATGGAAAAAAGTGGAAATGAGTTTGAGAATAAGACTTCACCCAATGTAAAAATTCATGAGGATGAAGTTTGTATGTTTTCTGAAACAGACACGGAAAGTGATGATGACACCACAGATGATGATACTGATTCCGATACAAATAAGCAATCAGGAGTGATTTCTGTTGATGCTGAATATTCTGATCGTCAACAGCATCCAATTGCATCAGAAAATAAAGTAGAACAATCTACCATTTGGAATAGTAGCCTGTTTGAAATCACTTCAAAAGATGATAGATCATCCCATATTGAAGATAAATTACTGCATGAAAAGCATGGCAAAGAAAAGGATGAAATATTGGAAGCTTCCGAAAGTGAACCATGTGTAGTGGAATCTGTTTTAAATGATGACGATTTGCCAGAAATAACTTATGAGAAATTATCGCAGCAGAAAACATTCGCGAATTCAGACTATAAATTTGTAGATACCAGACCTGAATCAGAGGAGCTTCATTCACAGGGAGATAGAACAATGATAACAAGTTCCAATCAACAGATTGATGATCAATCACAACAAGGAATTCGTTCCATATTTGAACATAATTCTGAGCAAGTTTTCGAACATGAGGATTCAAGCTTTGACCAAATTCATCATGATGTCAATTTTGGGAACTTTCAATTGAGAAGTGAGGAGAAACTGAATCAGCAAGCTGCATCAGATGACGTCAAACCACAAGAAGATGAACTACATGGACATACTTATGATATTCATTCAGTTGAGACCAACGATATTGGTGATGACATGTCGAATGTGACAGACTTTGAAACGATGCAAAATGTAGATATTTTGTCTCATTCATTACATGCACATGATGAATCTGATTACACAAGAAAAGAAGTTACTGAAAGATCAAGATCAGAATATTCTACCCTACAGTCAAGTGATTTTTCAGAATTGAAAGATAAGAGTGAAGCAAAGGAAGACAATGACGCAATGATATCAAGTGAATTGGTTGACAATGATCGTTATAGCGATACTGAAGTTATGTCAAGTTCACAGCACAATGCAGTATCTCAAGAAAAGCATGGTGATTCCTCAAATCTCACAGAAACGAATCAAAGTATTTGGATTCAAAATGCAAACAACCAATTTGTGGATAGTGATTTTGAGAAAAAATGATATTGCTGCTTGGAATGATGGCAACAATACTACTGACCAATATTATGGTGAAGTAAAGTACTCTGCAAACAGACAGCTGAATATTGAACAGGATGAACCTGAAAACATTGAATATTTGCATGCCCAAGATTTTGATGAAATGGATGATAATTGCTCAGATACAACTTTGACCGCAGATGTCAAAGATTTAATGGAGTGTCACGCTTTGGCAAATGAGTCTCATCCCATAGGAACATACTCAGAGTATGACACATATACTTTTGAACAAAAAAATGTATCGTATGAAACACAGGAGGAAAGTTGTGGATTTTCAAGTAACATGAAAGTAGAAGAAGTTGCAGATGATAATATGCAAATGTACGCAAAAAATATATATTGCAAACAGGAAGAGAATGAAGATTATAATTTTGAACATCTAAACCAATATAAAGTCGCAAAGGAGTTGACTGAAGATGCCATTTCATCAAGTGAATTCGATTTTGCATTAGAAGTGAAACATCAACAAGAACTTGAAGATTTAGCTGGAAAAGTAACTTCTGATGTTTTGTCATCTGCTGTCGCAAAACATGCTTTATTATCTTCGTCTGATGATGACAATGATGATAGCAGCTCTGATGATTGTTCTGAAGATGAATTGTTCATCAAACACAAAACAGTATCACATGTTATCATGAATTCACATTGTGACACAACGGACGTAAGTTCAAATTCAGAAGAACAAAAAATGATTGCTCCACATTCATCTTTTGACAACAGTTATGATGCATTGTGGCAAAGTGCTGAATTCAATAAAGATAGAAGAAACAGTGACAAAAGAATTTCTATGTCATCCATGGATGAACAATTGAGTAATATATTCGGAAAAAATCGAATTATTGACAGTGAAAAAACTGAACACACTTCAATTGAAAATACTTTTACATCTCCACCTTTTTTACATACTTCTGCAATGCGAGATGAAGATTTTCAGAAGTTAGAAACTTCCGTTCAGCAAGTATTTGATGCCAAAAGTACGGTGAATATCTCAGAACCAGCGAGCGTATTCAATCCTGATTCTTACTCACAGATAACAACAGACAAACACAGTTATTCATTGCCAGAAGTGCAAGAAGAAGAAGAATTGAGTGTTCAAGAACCAACGTCTAAAGATTTCCATTTTGGTGGTAATAGTACTTCAGTATTGCAACACAATGAGCCAATCTCAGAACATTTACCAATGTCTTACAAACTCAAAGCTGAAGAAGCTGTGTGTTCTTCAACAAAACAAAGTGACTACACATTTTTTGAAGAATCTGCACATGAATGGGATACAGGTGATGCAGTAGAATACAGACATTTTGATAGCAGTACTGCCACTATTGGAATGAAAGAACATCATGTAGAGACAAACATTGGTGAGTATCATAAAATATATGCTGAGGAAAATGCTGGAACAAGTTCACAAGGAAAATTTTGTGATGATTCATTTGACAGTGATGCAAATCAAGGGTATGCTAAAATCTCACCAATGGAAATGGAAAATCGTGTTTTCCAAAATGTTGGAGGTGAGGAGATAAATGTTGCTGAAAGATCAATAAATCTGACGAAATTTGCTGAAACAAATGCGCGTAGCCTGGATAAAGCATTAAGTTTTGATGAGGATGATGAATCAGATACGTATTCCACGTCTTCATCAACTTCTGGAAGTTACGTGAATGATGATGATTCAATCATATTTCAGGAATTGGTGGAAAACAAGTTTTCAGAAGATAGAGCGGAAATAGGAGAAGATTCATCAGATGGATTTGATAATTACTCAAAAAGAGAAGAAAAGGATCATGTTTTCATCAATTCCGGTGCATCAAATGAACCATTCACAATTTCCACTCATGCTCAGAGAAATGATAATGAAAAGAGAGATAATGAAAATATTGATGCTAGTTTATTTGGGCTCAATGGAGATCAGAAAGTGTGTGATACAGAAAAGATATTCACCCATGAAGAAAACATTGCTTCTGATATGTATGAAAATAAAACATTCTGTGAATCCAAAGGAGGCTTCAATTCCCAAGAACAATTGGATGCTGATACGGATTTCAAAAATCAGACAAACTATGAGATTGAAGAGGCTGAGATTGATTATCAACTAAGTTTTAATGCTGATGTACAGGATTATTGTTCTAATCAAAAAGTCCACGATACTGCAGGAGTCTTTGGTTATGAGGACAAAGAATTGTTTCAATCATCTTCAGAAACAGTAATTGTAAATATGAAAACTGAAAAAGATTTTGAAAATTTACAAGGATATGGAAGTGATGCAACAGAAGTGAATACAGATTCATTGTGTACTGTTATTTATGCTGAAGACTATAAAACTGGGACGCGCATTGATGTGACGTCAGGAAATTCTGAGTATTCATTTTTACATCCGCAATTAGAAACACAAGAAATGAGACCATTATCACCAATTCCTCCAAAAGAATGTGAATCACCATCGGAAGATATGAGAAATGATTATGAACGTATTACTTCTGAGGAAATCGATATAAATCACGGAAATAACATTTCAGATGCATTACAATTGCATTTTGCTCAATGTATTGATATGAACTCAGTGTATGAATCTGCTAGACCATTAGCTCAAGAAAGATTTTCCGTTGCTGAAGATTATATGAATATATCGGATGATTCTATGAACGATGTGGGCACGTCTGATCAACATAAAAAGGAGAAAATTCGAAAAGTACCCTCTCCTATGAGAAGCAAGATTCCTGTAGCACTCCCTCATACACTCCCTCGAACACAAAAAGTGAAAAGTCGAGAAGATAAATTATCTGATGAGGGTGGAAGTGAAAAGGAAAATTCAAAAAAGTCAAGCATCAGTAAAGGTTCTAGAATACCAGTAAGAAGAAGTGTTAGTCAACCCATCAATGTACAGAAAGTAAAAAAGAGTACGAAGTCAAAAACAAGTGAAAAAAATAGAAAAACAAAACAAAGATTGCCGTCACTGTCTCGTTCTTCATCAGGCGGATCTATTTCCAGAAAAAGTCCTTCTCCAAACAGCAATCGACTCTGGTTTTCACCTGACCCCACTTCATCGACTTCTTCTGGTGAAAAATACATAGCGCTACGAAGTGGAGTATATACTTACAAAGGAAGTCCTGAAGAACAAAAAAATCAGATCAGATCAAATTCGAGAGAACATATATCAGCATCACAAGAATCTTTGCGAAGTGATGCACAATCTTCACCTAGAGATTCTGTCGCTTCTGTAGTGTTCAATTCAAACCTTTCATCCCCTTCTGATTTTGTCCTGAAAGAGACTGGGACACGTCAGGGCTATTCGAACAGTCCTTTTGCATTGCATGTTCAATCACCAATAAATGTCACACAACCTAAATCAACATTACGATGTCACACTATACTACAAGAAAAACCGACAATAGTAAAAAGTCCTATTGAGAACTTGCCCCAGGAAGAGGTTCCTGTACAAAGACGCACTCAGGAGTTACAAGCTATTTCTATCGTTAGCACAGGTGGAGTGGAAGAAGTTTTAGAATTTACATCTTCACGTTCTTTGATGGATCAGGCGAAATTTAGAAATACGAATCCTTTTTTATGTGAAGGCCTGGATCTGCGTGCCAGTAGCGTTAATGTAGATCCAGGAACAAGTTGGGAATCATCAGTTGTACAGAAAACAGAAGAAATAGTTACTGAAACTTGTGCTGTGGAAGAAAACAAATCAGTTTTCCACACCAGTGTTGCGCAATCTTATGAGGATGAACACTTGTCACAAAGTTGGGAACATAAAATTCAGGACGCAAGTCATTTAACCAGTCAGTATATATTGTTGTCTGGTGTACAATTGCATGACACAATGTGCATTACGGGATCAGTTATTGATGTTGTAAGGGTGGATATTCAAATGTGTTCATGTTATCTATATTTTATCAAGTGTTTTTGTAATGATTATATCTGTATGTGTTCAATATTTTCACATATGTTTTACTCAAAATTAGTTTACACACACTTCGTTCAAGGTACAAAATCTATCACTTTCTAGATTGCTTTGGTTGTATTGTTATCTATTTGTTTCGTTATTATATGTTGTCAAAATATGACTGCACCACCTACTTTTAATTTTGGAGTATGCGCCTTATTTTGTTCTTGTTAATGTGATATTTTCATGGAAACAGATGAATTTGATCGGTTGAAAATGTGAAAAATAAGTAAATCTAGTAAAAATCTACCTAATATATGTCTATATGTTTGCAACTTTGCATTACACTTTCGATGTTGGTGTTAAATAGTGGGTGAACGTTCATTTACTTCGTGTTTTTACTTATGTTATTCAGATATAAAATTGGGAAAATCTACCGAATAGGACAAGATAATAAAAAATGTTTTTGGATATGGTTAAATACTCAAAGCCAAAGAAATAAACAAACCATATGCAGGAGAAACCATATTCAATTAGTTTACTCATGAATCTCAAATGAGATAATCCTGTTTCACTCTTATTACATGGCTAATTTATTCAGATTGTTTCGTGCATTTTTGGCAAAAATTAGGAACCATTATTTTATATAAAAGAGGGGTGCTTCAGAAGTATGTGTACCAATATGGAGGTAACTAATTTTGTTCGCCTACTTCACATCATGTTGTGTAAAGGTCAAAGCCTATGGGCAGGGGGTATATTCACTTGGCTAACACAGACAGTCCCCGAACTCGTAATAGAACTAAAATAAGGAAAATCGGAATAAAATACAGACTAACCCTAACCTGGTACACATACTACATTCCCGTGTCCACCAACTTGTCAATAATTTGATGGATTTAAATGCATGCAGAATGTACATTTCAAAACATATTGTGAACATATTATGTTTTAGCATGCAATATGAGACTTACATTATTAATTATTGATGCTTTCTGGCAATTTAAAACAAACTAATCTCCTTCTAACAGATGAAGAAACGACAAAAACAGAGTTACAGTTACGTCAAATATCATCTCCACTTGGTTTACAATGGATAGAATTAGGACGGGAACTTGGTGTTCAAGAAGAACAAATATGGGAAATACAAAAAGAATGTCAAGATGCTGAACCAGGGCAAAGAAGTTTCTGTATGCTGATGATTTGGCAAGACAGAAATAGAAACAATCCAAAAGCAGGTGAAGTTGTAAGTCATAAGGGGCAAACTTGGAAAAGCTGCTTTGAGAAAATGAATAAAAATGTATTGCGATTTGTAAAAAACTAGGATACCAATTTTATGAGCAGCTATTCTTTACTGATACTTGAAAATATATATTCAAATAAATTTTTTCAAAATTTACAAATTCCATTTTGTCTTCAAACCCTGGTTATTTATGTTTGATAGTGAATAGCATACAGTAGGTTACCATGAATTATGAATTTATTTAAATTTTTTCTTGTGAGTGTTTCAAATATATTATGTGTTTAGTTATTAGAGTTTTTTGTTAAAAATTATTGTCAATTTTTTAGTCAGGTCACCCTTTGGTGTTAAGATTTAGGAACTTTACTTCTTCTCACTCTAAGCACAGTAGAAATAAGGTTTGAATTCCTTGGAGGAGATGATCACCCATGTGCAATAGGATCAAAGCTCCTTCCACAATCCATTTCCTATGCATTGGAACTAACTGGAATCACAAAAAAGATAGTTGAAAGGCTGTGATTTGCCACATGCTTCAATTTATCTTGTGTCTCCTGTTACCCTTACGTTTTGATAAATAAAAGCTCCTATCCTGTGAAATTGTGAAAAACTAACCACTCTTAATCTCGTTGTTGTGTTGCCATTCCTGTCTTAGCCTGTTGATAGCTGTAATTTTATGTTATTTTATTTTGTATTTTATTGAATTTTTGACGCCCCCAAGCCTTTCTATTCAATGTTTTGAAAGCTCTGTTATTTTGACCCAAGTTGGTATATATTAAACTGAGCATATGCTCATCCTTACTGAGCATTATGCCAATATGAGAAAAGATTTTTAATTTTACCAGATGAAGAATTGAAGGAAGCATTGCAGAAAATAGGACGTCAAGATCTAGTGAATCGCATGGAAGAAAATGCTGATTTACCTTCTTATGAATCAATTGTAGTTGAGAAACGAATGCTACATGACAATTCAGGTAATTCATATTTCTGTATTCTTCCATTTTATATTTTCTGTCACTTGAACTTCCCTTTTTTCTATACTTGCTAGTATATAGTAAAATGATAAATGGATGAATAAAATATGTTAAAATGCATATAATCAATTATCAGTTAAAAATCAATTATCTCATCTGAACAAATCCATTATGTCCCTTGCTTAACTATGATTCATCATTAGCTTATATTAATGTCTCACAACCTTTTTTCTAAAGTATTTCTCTTTGCTTATTTAACCCGCACCCTGGCTCTTCCTGCAGTTTGAATTTTTTACAATATGTCCATAAATATGTATTTAAATATACTGATTAACTAAAAGACATCTACACCGACTGCGAAGTAATATTTCTGAATCTTTTTAATGAAAACAGCTCAATTACTTCCGGGTGAGGAATTAATGTCCGTTTCGAAATGCTGTCGTCTTACATGATGATATTTTATAACATTGTTCATACTATAATCAGTTAAGTGTATCAATGTAAAGCACTAATTTTTTTTTTCTTTTGACATTACAGTATTTGGTGAACTTGCTGATGAACTTGGATCTCCTCATTCAGCTCATCCTCATGTAAGTTCACCATATCCATTCACTCCTGATTCACAGCTACGGAACGGTCATCATACACCTGAAAATGAGGTGATTTTTTTTCAAAATTGTTTAACTATGTAAATATAACATTCACATCGCATAAAAACTATTATAATACAAGTTTTGCATTGTCTTTGAATGACGATAATAATGTTGTATTCTGCTATCGTAAGTAAATGCGCCTTACCTATGGACAAAACTCCAATCCAAGCAATTTATTGGTACACCTGAACCGTAAAATACGGTTACCTGGTGGGCAAGTTGTTTATACTTAAGATATTTAACGCTCTATAATGCCAACATAAGTCTAACGCTAGCCTTTAGATTATCGCTGTCAACATTATCAATACTATTTGAGATTTAAATTGTAATTTTTAAGCTAACACTGTCAGACAATCAAACAATAGCACAATCGATGCTAAGTACATATAAACAGCTAATGTTTGATGACAAAATTTAAATGCTTCACATCATTTACATCATCTTTCCAGTTGAGACATTGTTGCGCAAGAGCTAAATAACTATAGTTAGTCGATGAAGTAGCCGAAAAATAAAAAAAATAATGTTATTTTCAGGAAAACAAAGTTGAAAGCAAGCAACCTGCACCTCTTTATTCGGTACAAAGTGATGATGAAGATGATCCTAATAAACCACATTTTGTATATGTTCAAGAAGGTATCTCATAGGCTTATTGATTTCTTGATTTTTTTATCAAAAATTACTAGCTTAAAATAGAAAGAAGGATTGAATCTTTTTATGAAGCTCATAATCAGGAAATATGGTTTCCACTTCAAAAATCATCTTTCTGTTATGCATCATTTTTCCCAAAAAACTTTCTTAAACCTAAGTAGTGATCTATTTGACAGCATTGAGATGATAATTCAGAATTTGAAAAATAGTGTTCATGGCGGATCAATATAAAACAATTTTCTTGCATTTTTATTACAGATTTATCAAGCCCGAGTAAACCAGATGCTGATGATGTTTTTCAAAAGTAAGTATTGAACAGAATGGTAGATTGTTAATTCAAATGACTACTTCAAAATTCAATTTTGGTCCATGTTCCATTGGAATCTACTTCACCAGAACATTTCCATTATTATTGGGCTGATGCTTTTTTGTATGGTTTGTTTTTTGCTTAAATTTCAATTACAAGCAAAATGGCCAAGAGATCATGATTTATTAAATTTTAACTCGTTATCAAATATGAATGCAAACTCTTTTAGCTAAAAAAATGTCTGTAAGCTGGTATTGTTTTACCTACTTACACAAAGTATCTTGTTTTGTTAATTGTTGATTATGAAATATTTCTGCATGAATGAACTGCAATTGATATCATATTCACTTATTTAGTGATGGAACAAAGTCGAGTCCTATGAATGAAAGTGAAGAAAAGGCAGAACTACAGAAAGAAATTGAAGAAAAATTAAAGCAAGCAAAAATTCAAAATGGTAAGTTTCGCAAATTAAAAAACCTTTCAGAAACTTTTCACATATCGTAATTGTTGAATCATTTTTTTTTTAATTGTTTTCAGATTACCCAGAGTCAAATGATGCGGTCAATACTACTGAGGTAACTTTTTTATTTTTAAATTATGTGTTATAATTTGGGTAGGCTTCTCTTCGAACATAAAACTTTCATATTTATTACGGGGTGAAGAGAAGCGAATAATACGGCTCAATCATATGGCGAACCAAGGCCTCTCGTTGCTTACCAGTCCTTGTCCAGTATGGGATTAGTTATCCAGTTACTTGTTCGAGTTGAATGGACTCGATGGTGGAGGAAGCCATATTCGACAAGCGATTAGATAAAACAACCTACACCGACAAGAAGTCGAATTTTCCTCTTGAACATAGTTATCCCCCACAAGATTCAAACCTTCAAACTCAGCACTGTGATGCCAAACAGGTTCCTAAAGCTTGTCACAAAGTTACAAACTGAGCCTTTTTTATTTTTGAAGTTTCAATACTGAATTTTTAAGAACTTGAATAAAATATTGGTGCTACATTCAGCGTTTGGTTTTGACTCAAGAATCTGAATTGATTTTTAAGATAACATCACCTAAAACTGTGAAGTAAAACTAAAATATTTTTACGACTTTAATAAAATTGATTATATCTATTTAGAAACTTGTTGGCTATTACAATATTTGATAAGATTTTAAAAAAGTTTCAAAATATTTTTGTAATATAGAATTACACATTGACAACTGTAAATGAAACCAATGACAACGGTACTACAAAAGTTAAAACAACAACAATTATACGGACAATGGTCATTGATGCTGATGATGACAATAATGTAAGTCTTTCAATGTAAATATATTAATTATTAAACTTCAAAAATGTTTTCTATATTACGGTACTCAAAATAAAAACACAATCATTTTCAAAATTTTCGTACAATGATTTCCACACAAACTGCTACTTTTTTTCTATGTTGTCATTTTTGAAATTTTTGCATCTATTCATGCAGGCATTAAATTGAGCATTTGTTACCAGTTGATTCATGCCCCATCTAAATAATGTATCTCTCACATTTACTTTTCATAACACCTTCTACAAGCAGCCACCTCGATACAAACGTGTGTTTGGATTGGTCTTTTCTAACTTTTTATAAAGCTCCTTACCTAGCATTGGGGGCTTGTGCAGGTCAAAAACTGTATAAAAAATGGTTACCGAGTTAGGGTTAAGCCATAATTTTATTCTGATTTTCCATATTTTAGTATTATTATGAGTTCGGGGACTGTCTATGTTAGTCAAGTGAATATACCCCCTGCCCATAGGCTTCTGTCCCTTTACACAACTTGATGTAATTGCAGTTTCAAAATAAAAGTGTCGATGCAATATTTGAGAATTGAACAACTTCATACAGGTCGAAATTCCTGAAGCAATGGTCACGGTTAACAGTGAAGATGGCAGAGTCATTGAAGTAACAAGACAAGTAACCAATCAAATCGTACAAGAAAGCAACAGTAGTGATCAGTCGTCTTCAAGTTCTGAAAACGAATGATTATCTGAAGAAGGTTCGAGATGATACAATAAATGCTGAGATGGATTTCATAACTAAGAAAAAAATAGCCCTTATCTCAACATTGGGATAACATTTTCACATAAAAATACAAACATTGGAAAGATGAGCGCTTTTTATTTCATTTTGTTGTGATAGTTTTTCTCTGTGATAACAACTTTATTGGACAATAACATGTTACTGCAAGGTTTGATTTGTTGAGTCTTGGATCCTTGCTGGTCATGGTGATATGGAATGGAATTGTACAATACGGATGACAACGATTGGCAATTTTTATTGATTTTCATATTTGCTTTTTTTCTGCAATTTTAAACTGCTGTTTCATTTGCTATAGTTTATAATACAACTTTGAAAAGATGTAAAATTTTATTGCAAAAATGCACGGTTCAAAAAATATTTCACAGATAAAATATAATGCTAAGAAAACTTTGCTGTAATGAAACCATGCTATCTTGAAACATATATCATCTGACATTACCAATGAGTACAATTCTTTATTTATTTATTACATTTTATAAAAGTTTTCTCAAAGTACAAGCAATTGATTGATAATCAACATTGAGAAATTTTAAAATTTTTTTATATATGATGGAATTTGACGAGATAAAACAGACATTTTTTTGCCATCAAATGATTGAAAAGCATACATGGAATGGAGAAATACTGTCATCAGACGAGTCTTAACAGAACAAATTGCACAAGGAGTAAATACCTAATATGGAACTCTAAATTTATCATATCGTCTAATGTCTGCCATTAACTGAAATGATTTTTCTTTCAAATATAATGTTCCTTTACCAAGCTAAGACATAAATGTGTTTTGTGGCGACTGAAAAACTCTATCTGGTGTAGCTTGTGTTTAAGCTGAGAGAAATCTCTTATTATTTTTGCGATCTGACATACTGTAACCCCCTTGCTAACTCGCATATTTAAGATACAATTTTGGTGTTTATGTCACAATGAAAAGCTGAAAATAATTTTGGATTACCATGACCTATTTTGATGGATGTTTCTGAGCTTATTTCGGTTTAAAATGTAAGATTTATGTAATGCTTACTAAACAACATATATTCTAAATTTTATTTCAAGTGCATATTGTTTTTTATTAGTGCAGTTGATATGGAAATATCATACATTTTGTTGATAATTATTAGATTCTGAATTCATTTTATGATTTTTTTTAAGAATAAATCATGTTTGATATTGTTCAAAGCCATGCATGTATGTATTTATCGAGCATTAATATATGTCCAATATGAGCATAAGCAGTGCGATTCAGTCACAAAAAATGTTCCAATAATGTTATGAAAAGTAATTTCACTAATTTAAATACAAATTCATGAGAGAATGTATAATTAGAGTTACTTGCAGTGCTATGTTTGCGAGTTTGCACAAAAATTGTCATCATCAACATCAAAAAACGTACGAAATCTTTCCTGACTGGAAAACTCTGCTCTATGGAATACTATGTGGTGTAGCATCTAGCAGTCGTATTTAAAGTGGACATTTATTTTAAAATTGGTGGTTTTATGCTTCGCTGTGCATTTCTTTTACCAATCATGTCAACATTGTCGAGATAAATGCGTACTTGCTTATTGTTTTAAACTTCTTTTATTACATGTTGTAATTATGAGGTTGCAAATTGTTCTAAGTTGTATTGCTAATAGAATCATGCCTAGCAGATTGTTTTTCTTTTAGTGATGGATTTGCTGATTGGTGTTTTGGAGAGATATAGTCAGAATTAAACATCATATCCAGCATATAGTACTTGGCAGGATTTAGTATTGAAGACACAGGCAATGTTTTTTCTCTGTTATCAAGCATTTTTAAAGCTTGATCAATTCATTCTGGTTGTGCCCATGATTACAGTCTTTTACGGTTCATAAGGCGCACTTTAAAACCTTTTTTTTCTCAAAAATTGATCGTACTCCTTGTCGGCCAGTGTGCCAAATGTATGGATCAGGGAGTGCTCAATGCATTTAAAACCAGTACCGGTATTGCAAGTAGCATGTTTTTAGTGCCAATCAATAAGCCTCCGTATATTCTACCAAATTCTGCCGACATTGAGGCTACAAAGGGGCTGGATTACCATTACCAGTATGTACAAGATCTACTACCCGTAACCACATAGGAGACAGTATCATGTTGTCCTTTCTCGAGTCCACGCATCTGAAACAAACAACTGGCTAACTAATCCCATACTCGACATGCCCATACTCGACATGCACTGGTAACCGGACGAGAGGCACCTCTCCCCCGGGACAATTCAAAAAATGTTATCATACTCCTAATGTCTTTGAACTAAACACATTTTTTATATGCCATGTCGACCACAAAAAGCACAGCTTGTCCCTATTCATAACTTGCTTGTTTGGTTGGGTCACTGTGAACCTTTCTGATGGTCTGTAACCACTAATATTCCTGTGTTTCCTGACACTTCCAATTTTACAAAAAATTGCCAAATAACTTGAATGGGAAAAACAATATAATATTGTTCCTACATATATAAATGAAGCATGCCCATGAAAAGAAAAAAAGTCACAATAAAAACGTGCAAAAATTAGCAGTTTTTCCACAGTGCAGATTAGATGAATAATGACTTATAATACCAATACTATCTCGTAATACCAATATCTAATACATAAACCTATATTTAAGAAAATGCAAGTATGAATTGTGATGCAAGAAGGGTTGAAATTAGAAAGAGATAATTTTTTTTTTCACAGTATTTGATATTAACCTTGGTTACAAACATGCCTTCACTGTGAGATACACATATATATATTATACTTAAACATAAATATAATGTAGTGATGCATATAGTCACAAATGTTATAACCAGGCAATGAAAAAAAATTCTGATCAACAAATTAATGAAACACTTTCATTTCTTGTAGATGAATTGTCAGAGCACTGCCATATGGTAAAAATAAATTTCAGTCTCGGCCATATTTTCGAATTTATATGTAGCCTATCTAATAAAACAAGCCTATCTGGTGCCAGCACTATTGATGGTCGTGGAAGTTTCGAGACAAAATTACATGGTTAATATTTTCACAAAGCCTTCTCTTCATAAGATGCGAAACTATGATATTATTAATACTAATCACACATCAATCACCTTGGACGTGGGTTAAAATATTTTCGATGAGATTCCATCATTACTATCAATTTTTAGAGTTCTTGCCGAATTTAATAGAATGCACAATACAATGGGTTCATCAAGTTCATGATATCTGTAGTATAGATAGATATAGCAAATGAAGAAGTAATATGGAAAGTACAATGAGCAGAACAAAACCAGCAATAAATGAATGGTTAATATATATGTATATAAGGTTCATATGAATTATAATTCTGTAACAATTATGCAGCTGCTTTCACCATATAAAGATTGTTCTGTTTGATGTAATTAAGGACGCTTGGAATCACAAGTGAGCTGGCATCAGAAGATCCAGTCATTATGGCTTTTCTAAACAAAAAGATAGACCTGATAAAATGCATCATTGTCAAAAAACAGAAACTGACAATAACTCTTTTTTTAAATGAGATTTGATTTAAGTTGGCTGCTACAGACAGGCTTGAAATAATATCCAAAATATTTCAAGATTAACTAAACAGGCCTGAAAATTATCTTTTTAGCCCAACACATTGCGACAGCACTCTACTGTGAAGAATTTACAAAAAACAACACAAAAATCGGAAACAAAATAAAAATTTTTCGTCAGATGATTAATCCTCTGTCTTGGTAGCTTTGAAATATGAAAATTGAAAGGGTATACGAAAAAAAATCATATTTGAGAAGGCTTCTTTACCTGCATTTTGTTGAACTTATATGAGCAATATCCGGATGTTTCGTGTCATTCACTAGTATAATTGTTCCTGAAACATTTTGTGTTATATTATGCAGCCGATCCAATGCTTTTCTCATTCTATCTGCTCTGTCATTATTTGTATCTGGAGACAAAGATTCATTGCCATCTGTATTATGGCGTGGTATACACACAATGCCATAATCACTGACAATTTTCTTGATCTGAAAAAAAGGTCGGATAGGTAAAGAGAAATAATAACATTGTTACTGGTTTCCACTACTGAATAAAAGTGACGAAACAATATATTTCTATATTACATAGATCTCATTAAATCATTTTAATGAAAAAATATGACCCTTTAGAGATGAGGCACAGTGGAAACAATCATATGCAGAAAAGCATGACAGAATGGAATAATAAGCCTAACTTGCATACTCAAATTCTTGAAAACCCACAAATATACACTACAATTAGAAAAACATACATGCTCTTCTTTCCATAGACCAGGTATGGCAAATGATTCTAGTAAATCTCCACCACACAATAACATGATCTTTGTTCTTCTCAAATCACAAGCAGCACCATAAATCATGTCACTCTGAAAAGTAAACAAGAGTAAAAAATATGAGCATTACCGAAGCTCTAAGGAGACATCTAACAATCAATCAAAGCGTTTTATTGTTACAAATCAATCAGATTAACGTATAGATTGAATGAAGGCCAAAGCGAAGTAGCACGGGTATACAATCTTTCACAGTATCGATACGGTACAAAAGTAATAGCCCTCCAGCGACAACAAAAATCTTGAACCACTGAAAATGTGAAATCAATTGGTCCAGTAGATGAAAAGAAAAGCTATTTTTTCATAACAAGAACAAAATAAATTTGAAAATCAACAACAATAATAACATAATATCATACATAATGATAAAAAACAAATCATGCTTTTGCCCGGAATAAACAGAATGAATATTTCTAGAAATATTCCTCAACACTGACAATTTTAAAAACATAATATTCTTGGTTGGCGTCTGATAAAAATATTTATTACACTTTGACGACACTTAGTCAAAAACCACTAACATTGTTAAACACTAAACACTCCTTTTATCTTTATGACATAAACAATTGACAAATCATAGACAATATTAACAGATGTGATATTTTCAAAGATTCTTGATAATGCGAACTAAAAACAACCATATATAATTCAATTATTATTTGTTATTCCAATATAATTCAAGTACAGCATGAATTGTCAGGGGAAATGAATATCAATATGCCTTGTTGTAAATTGGAATGGTATGTCTATGGTTTTCATAAATCATTGAAACCTGTATATTCGAAGGTATGGGTACTAGCCTAGTACAGGGTATATCGAAATGGCACTCATGGGTATATCGAAATGGCACTCATGGGGATACAGAGTATATCTCTCTGGGGAACTCAAACAAAAACCTTCACTGGGTACCATTAACAATGACTACATTAATTGAATCATTAAAGTTTTAGAATCACTAGTCCAGTCTAATCTAACTCTGTATTCACTATGGCAATATCTGAAAATGATATGATGTTGAACTACATTGAGGATCTTAAAAACATAAAACGATAGGAAAACACCAAATCTTCCAGTACTTACAAATTTAGTTCATCATAAGTATAGTCAAGTTGTAGCATGACATAGCTTTCCAACGAAATAGAAAGATATATAGCACAGCTAAACAGGGTTACAGAATTACAATGTTTAATACAGACAACGATAACGTCCACACAGAACATATTTGCAGTGACCACACAGACATAGATACTGCGAACCTTGTGTGCATCAAAGGCTGTAGGTCTAGCACAACACATTCGTCTCAAATTTTGTCCCAGCTTGTCTAGAACAATTCCTAAATCATCAATTACACTTGGATTAATTTTAAAAAGGGACCCATATATAGTCCACATTATTTTTGCCATTTTTTTAATAAAATTAAACAAAAAATAAAAAAAAATTCGGTTCAGTTCAGATCAATAAGTCCGATTCTATGATCATTTTACGTTCTATCTTCACCCAAATGGACCTGGCCCCATAAAAAACTGAAATACTTTAGAACAAGACGAATCATTTAAAACAGTGGTTCCCAAACCATGGCCCACGTGCTAATTGTGGCTCGCGTAACGATTTAATATTGCACATCAAACTTAAGCAAAATGGTTTAACACTTTACATTTTTCCTTTTTTGCGTTCTACATACCGCCAATTGTTACGTCATTAGCACAGTTTAAGAACGTATAATATATTCGTTACAATTCAATTATACCAGTATCTTTATTATAGTACTGGTTCGGTACCGGCCCCTTGTGGGTGCCCCTCTCCTGGCCCTCAAATATCCTTCTGCTTCTAATTTTGGCCCCTAGTCAATTAACTCTGGGAACCACTGATATTAAAAAAAATTTGATGGCATAAAATTCCAACCAATACATAACAGTCTGATTTATTAAGACCGTAAAAAAAAGATACTTAATTATGAAACTTCGCGAGTTATTGATAGGGCAATCTACAGTATTGTGACGATCATCCTGTGTGCAGATGGTATTTTGCCCCACATATGTAACATGCTTATGAAGTCAGGTTGCTTTTGTGATGTGTCAAGAGAAAGATACCACACATAATGCATATTATATCCCTCTGAATTTAGCTCCAATTAACAAAGAAAAAACCTATACTTTTAACTAGATAAAAAAACTTACCTGTTTTATCAGGTAAACTTGGTTCAGATGCCTCGTTCAGTTCTAACTGTGCATGACGATCATAAAATGATTGTTTTCTTTCAAGTGGAAAAGATGATGAAGACAGTACTGAACCATGACCACCAGCTGAACTTCTAATTGGATATGATACAGGATAATGAAATATTAAGTCACTTCCTGGTTGAAGGGTTACGGCAACCTGAGTAAATATATATATACCTTTTATAGGTACTCCTGAAGGGACCTTCAGAAGTATGCGCACCAAGATGGTGCACAACCTGAACATTGTATGTGTGTACTGGTAGGATTCAGGTTGTGCGACATCTTGGTGCACATACTTCTGGAGCCCCTCCTGAAGTATGTGCACCAAGATGTCGCACAACCTGAACCCTAACCTGGTACACAACCCGAGTTCAGGTTGTGCGCCATCTTGGTGCGCCTACTTCAGGAGGTCCCTTTTATATTTCTGAAATCGAATGAAATTTTTCTACAAGTTTCCACGAAACAAAACAGATCACCTTCAGTATATTTACTCTTAATTCGACCAGGGGCATCCAAAATAAATTGAATTTTCAAATTGATTTAAAATTATTTATAATCAGTATTTCAAATACTTACTTTAAAAATAAAAGTTTTATTTAAAAATTTAACATTTGATCAATCGAAACCTCAGTGTGACAAAAAACAGCCTGATGTAGGTTGTGAATATTGTTAAAAATAGAAAATCAGCATCATTATTATTAATTGTTCATTCTCAATTCAGATTAAAAACATAAAATATTGATATAAGCTACAAATCATATCACAATGTATTCCTTGTGAAAGGAAAGTAGAAAAAGTAATAACCAAAACTAGATATCAAAAACGATATTTGGTGTACGTCCGAATTCTGTGAAGATACCATACTTGCATTGGCAAACATTTATGTATCTCTATCTTCTTTTAGTCTAAAATATTTCAATACAAAGTGCAATTTTCAACTTAATCATCATAGGTCTCACTTAATCTTTGTTTTATCATTTGCTATGATTTTAGAATCCAAAATAAACTGACGCTCTTAGCCTCTTACACAAACAAATTTTCATCAATATTGATAATTTGACTTTTGAATCATACACCAAATCATAAGAACCAAAAATGCAATTTTAAAAGTTTTATTGTTGATAACAATCACTGACCTGAGTTGGACTGTATGGTGATCTGCTGCCACACCTCTGTGGAAAATTACTTAATCCATAAGTTTCCTAAATATAAAAGTAATGTCAAATCTCTCATACCATATTGAATATTACAAATATATCAGAAACAATAAATTTAGAAAAAAAATGATGTTTCTATAATATTATGAATTCAATATAATAAGACAGAGAAAATGAAGATTTTTTACTTGAATTATTGATGTCATTCTGTATTTAAACTAAGTCTATTTCTGATAAAAACATGAATGAAGCGAGAAATATGATGAGAAGTCCACTAGTCTAAATAATTGAATTCAATTTAATTATTGTAACTGCTGTAAACGAATTATATACATCTGTTTCTTTCAGTATAATAACTGAAAAAAAAGAGTCTGCCGGGATGGCAATGAATTCTCATTCCAGAAATACTATTGCTGTTTTGTTTTACCAAAATATGCGTATTGTTTGTGTTAGAAATAATATTTATTTGTTCATATCTATGCAACTTAGAAAGAAACAGTAACCAAAAAGAACGGCAAAAACTTCATAGAAATATGAACTAAAAAACAAACCTTTATTTTTTCTACTTGATGTTGTAAAACATTGATAGTCTCGACATAATCATCTTGATCAGCCTCCCATGTATCAACACTGAAAAGAGTGTAATATTATGTGACAAAAAGTTCAGCCAATCAAGGATATGCATTTATTTGAAGGTCAAAACAACAACCGGAACTAATAAATTTTATTGAAATATATAAATAAATTAACATGCAGTGAAACAAACAATAATATCACAATCATGGAAATTTGTAAACGTGCTTCACTTCATGCCACGCATAAATAATTAAATTATTTTACACAAACATCACGCAATTATCTGTGAGTAATATTTTTCATCTTCTAACATATCAGAACTTAGTTTATCAATACCCGGTTATAAACAATATAAAATGGAATATCAGATAAAAATTTTGTGCTCCAAAATTTAAAATTTACAGAAGTACAGGAAGTGGAGGTAAAAGTAAAGGAATCGCCTGAACTGATAAATTGAACCAGATATTGCTTAAAACTAAATTGGGCATAAAACATAAGTTTTTTATAAAAGCGCATTATTACCAATTTTTACTAATTGTATACAAATAACAAAATATAACTAAAATCACTATGGAAATTTATTTCAAATTTTATTTAAAAAAATGAATTTATTAAAAAAAAATGTACTGAGATAACAAAAATTATTGTTTCAATCTTGAGAAACCCATTTCTAAAACATAACTTATCAATAAGTTGATTATATTGAACATTAATTTGAGATTTTAGAACCAAAATAATTCTTGAATCATTCAAAACAAAAAAATAATTGCAATATAGCATTCTGGAATTGTTGTTGTTAGTATGAACAGTGAGTGAGAAAGTCCAAATAATTACATAACACAAGTAAATCTAAATTTTATTTTGATAATTTATAAATTCCTTAGGTCAGAAGGAAAGGTGAATAATAATGAGACCCGGATGAATCAAAAAAGAGACACTGGTGTAAACTGAAAAACTTTAAGAGCTTTTTGAAGAGTAATTTTGCAATAGCACATAAAATATTCATAGCATATTGATCACACGCATCTAGGAAAGCATGCCACATGCATGAGAGTTTAAAGCATGAGAGTTGGAAGTCTCATGGAAAATTTTAAACTAAAAAATATATATAATTTTTACTACAATTTCATAGTAATTATAATAAATCACTTAGTTGAAAGATATGAAAATTATAACTAAACAAAATGAACATGGGTATATTATTTCAATCAATCAAAATTAACCATTTAGGCGAGGAAGTAATAAAATTGTGTGATGATTGCGGAAAGATCAGTGAAATTAGTCTTGAAATCAAACAACCCAAACACCCCATAAAATGTTTATAAAAAATGTACACAATGTCATAAATATTTGACATAATAATATGCTGCATGATTCATTATTAAAATATAGTGATAACTTAATGCTGAATTCTCAAGCGGGGGTAAATACACCCATGCATGGTTTAATTTATCATGGGGAATAAATTAGCATTATTTCTTGCTTTACTGTAGGTATGTGAACTCAACACAGTCGATTTTGATTACCTACATCAACATTTTACATTGCTATTCCTTTTTCCACAGCATTTTATTTTTCCCAATATTAATTTATGAAACGTGTAGGAAAATACAAATAAATAGGAAGTCAATTTTTCTTTGAAATTTGTAGAGGGGGAGAATGACAGAAGCTTCAGTGTAAGTTTGTTACAATTTACTCTTGGAATATGATAAGACAATCAATGTGTAAACCAGATACAAACAATCATTTTTCATATCCATTTCTATTATATAATTGCTAGTCTGCTACTTACCTTAGCCATGAATATCTTTGAACCGCAAGTTTGCACATTTCTATCCTGTGCTTTGCTGGTAAGAGCCCTGGTTTCTTATAACCATCATGCACAGGTGATAATACTCCACCAATTACAATATGAGTTCCCATTCTCTCCAAAAAACTTCGAGCAATTTCTAAAGAACAAGACATAGGACAGATTGATAGGCAGATATAAATAACTTCAATCAATTTATTTTATTCAATTATCGAAAACACAATTTACAAAGAACAGGATAAGATCACTCATAAAGGAAATTGTTCATCTTGTTGACTTCCTTTACATGTCAATCGTGACTTGAGAAATTACTCAATGTTAAGATGTCTATACAATATAAATAAGAAATCCCTCGAATGAGGTCTGATTTTTATAACAAAAGGTTTATAAAATGTAATGATGTGTTCAGTTAAAAGAAGTGGCTATTTTTCATAGTTATATCTAGAAATTCTGCGTGTAACACTCAATACCGAAATATGTAAAGAAGCAACAATTCTTCAAATGGTCAAATACAAAATGTTTTTGGAAAATACATCAAAATTATAAGGAAAACACTTCGGGGGCAATGCATCTATATTTCTTCTGATTTTGATTGTATTTTTCAATGGCAGTAGTCCAAAATGCAAACCATGAACATCCAAAAGTACCAAGCAATTTTTTTCTTATTAATAAAGTTTATTCCCATAAGCGAGAGAAAATACTCAATATATTAAATATAATGTATATTAGTCTGTAGAGAACCACAAAATATTCCTAAGCATTATTTCAGACATATTAAACAAGTATCTCTAGATTGAAATAATGGTGAATAAAATGGAACAACATTTTTCATACTGTTTGCATATCATTATTTTTCTTACCAAACATCTTTAGATGTCCAATCGTCACAGGGTTCAATGAACCACAGCACACCAGAACAAGAGGTGTTCGTCTTTCAAATGACATGATAAAATTCTGAGCAGCAGTACGTTGATCACATTCCGAGTAAAAATCAATTTGAATCAAAGTTATAAATCTTCATTATTAATCAACTATAAAAAAATCTACGGATTAATATAAGCTCAAACAAGTTTTAAATAGTTCAGTAGTTAGTATTTCATTATATCATGTCCAAGACAGTTTCAAGGCTTTTGGTGGAATCATTTGAAATAGCATGTATTAAGCTATGCCTCTTTGGATAGGCTATATACAGAGTACCATTTTTGTTCTGACAAGTAATTTTCAACCCTTTTTGTCCGCGAAACACGAAAAGACCAATAACTGCTTAAGACTTCAGTTAGAAAATGACCTAACAATATCAAATTCACGGCTACAGAAGAACTAAAGTACAAATAAAAGTTTTCAAACTTGGACATTAAAGGATTCGAAAGGTGCATGTTCTCTATAATCAGTCAGTTTGATATGTTACAATTGATCAGCACTGTTTATTAAGTTATTAGTGGCTATTTCATTTCATATTTTTGATCGTGAATATTACGCTGTGCAAAATAGATTTATCATCTATACATTTTCAGGTAGCGCTTGCAAATCGGGCGTGTACTTGCCAGGGAATCCAAACTGAGGCCTACAAAAGCGAATTATCCTGTTATCTGAGACAAGCTGTAAATAGCTAACTAAGCCATTTATCCCGAGGAAGAGGAAAGCCGATAAGACAGCTTAAGCATATAGCGCACCACGTCCTCTCGTCCGGTTACCGGTCCATGCCAGGTATGGAATTAGTTAGCCAGTTAGCCTACTGAGTCATTTGTTACCGATGCATGGAATTAATGGCGGAGGAAGCCTTGACCCTGTGTCTGATCCAACCTTTTAACCGGAACGATTTTCTTCGTAAGCGCTATGCTTAATCTCACCTCCCAACACTACCCAAACCCACTCGTTGACCCCATACCCGCTACCAGTTCCTGAACTCCATTTGTCCGAAAAGCCATCTCCTAACCTCACCTGAAGTCCTCAACACTACTACCATGTCCCAACTATCCAAACTTTTCGATCCCGTCTACCTGTTTATACAACTATTACCGGTACTGTATTCCAGTATTCAGTGTAATAAAGGTATCACAACCTCCTGCTGTTCTGTGATTTATATTGGCATACCTAAGTACAAGGTAATTCAGTAATTAATATCCCACCATAGTTCTACTGGTTTCAAGTCAACACCATCACCGCCCTACAAATCTATTACCGTACATCTACTAGTGTCACTTCAACTACTGAACTAGCTATCACTTAGCCACAAATCTAAAATACTACCTTACATCTGTAGTCTACATTCTTACATTACAAATTCATAGGTTCATATAACTTGAAATGATCGGGTTCTTGTAATAACATACGGTGGTGCCTACTTGTTTATTATAGAGCCTTGTTCGAAGAGATGTTACCAAACACGCAATTAGAAGATGAGAATGTTTTTGTCCGATAGCTGTATCCAATTTTATAAGTCCTAAGATACGGTACCGTAACGAAATAATTTATTTCTACACAAAAGGCATAACAGTTGTCTGCGTACCAGTGACAGCTTGTTTAAAGCCTTGCACAGGTTACTCAGAAAAATGTAAGACATATACAATGGGAACACTTCATGGAAATGGATGTTGTGTCATCTTGATGCGTCCTCATTGTTGATAATGTACAATTGCTAATACTGATACACATTCTTTCCAATGCGCCCTCGTTGATAATGCGCCATTCTCAATGCGACGTCACTGTTCGTATTGCACAGTTCCTTATACTGTAAAATCAGAAAAGTACTCCATTACTCTATCCAACGTAAATTGTTTTTATGGACAAATACGATATATCAGCAGTTAAAATCGGATAGTTATCAAATAGCTATGTTCCATATATGTCCGCTATGTTTCTACTAAAATGGCTATGTCCGCAATGACCTTACTAAAATGGATATATTTATAAAAATCCTATTTGTCTATACTAAAATGGCTATGTCCTCACTAAGATGACTATGCCCACTATGTCTTCAGTAAAATGACGATGTCCGCTATGTCCTTTCTAAAGTTCCGACATGTCCCTACTAAAATGGCTATGTCCATACCAAAATGGCCATGTCCCTTTCTAAAATTGCGATCCCGATATGTTCCTACTAAAATAGCTATGTCCCTACTAAAATGGATATGTCCTCACTACAATTACGATGTCCGCTATATGTCCTTTTTTAAATCCCGATATGTATATATATACTACTAAAATGGATATGTCTCTTATAAAATCGCGATCTCGATATCTTCCTACTAAAATGGCTATGTCCGCTATGTACCTACTAAAATAGCAACGCCCATACTAAAACGGATATGTCCGCTATGTCCTTACTAAAATAGATACGGTATGTCCTTTTTGAAATCCCGATATGTTTCTACTAAAATGACTATGTCCCTACTGGAGTGGCTATGTCTCTTCTAAAATCGCGATCCCTATATGTTCCTACTAAAATGTATTTTCCCCTACTAAAGGGACATAGCGAAAATCGCTACTTTAGATGGGATATAGCCACTTTAGTAAAAACATTTCTAGATCGTGAATTTAGGAAGAACATACCCATTTTAGTAAAAACATTGCTTGTGTAGTAGGTACATAGCGGACAGAGCCATTTTAGTAGGGAGATATCGATATCGCGATTATATAAAGGACATTGCCAGTTTAGTAGTGACATAGCGGACATATCCATTTTAGTAGTGACATAGCCATTATAGTAGAAACATATCATATTCGTGATTTTAGAAGGGACTTAGACAGATTAGTAGGGACATAGCTATTTTAGTAGGGACATAGCCATTTTATTAGGAATATTTCTGGTTCGAGATTTTAGAAAGGACATAACCATTTTAGTATAGTGACATAGCGGACATAGCCATTTCAGTGGGGACATAGCGAAAATCGCTATTTTAGATGGGAAATAGCCACTTTAGTAAAACCATTTCTGGATCGTGAATATAGGAAGGACATACCCATTTTAGTACAAACATAGCGGACATAGACACTTTAGTAAAAACATTGCTTTTTTAGTAGGTACATAGCGGACATAGCCATTTTGGTAGGAAGATATCGGGATCGCGATTTTATAAAGGACATTGCCAGTTTAGTAGTGACATAGCGGGAATATTCATTTTAGTAGGGACATATCATAATCGTGATTTTAGAAGGGACAGATTAGTAGGGACATAGCAAATTTATTAGGAACATTTCGGGATCGCGATTTTAAAAAGGACATATCCATTTCATTATGGACATAGCGGACATCGCTGTTTCAGTAGGTACATAGCTATTTTAGTAGGAACATATCGGGGTTGAGATTTTAGAAAGGACATAACCATTTTAGTATAGAGACATAGCGGACATAGACATTTCAGTGGGGACATATGACCCAAAATTACTGGGGGTTAGGAGGAAAAAAGTTTGATCTAGTGGGGGGTATTAGAAAGAAATTAATTTTTCTAATCACGCACATGCCTTTAGATTCTTGATAAGACCTTTCAGATGCCGACAAGAAGCCCAAATCACTAGATCGTGACTGGGGGTAGAAGAAAAAAAAATCTTGAAAAAAGTAATAAACAAATTTTTCCCAACGTACCTATGTACTTTTTTTCTCAATAACTTTAATAACTTTATTCTGAGATGAGCAACATTCCGAACTCACTGGAGGGTTACAGGGAGAGGGGAAATCCCAAAGTTCCAGTTGAAATATCCTATTGATTAATCCCTTCGAGATTTAAGCATCGTTTTTACCGAAATCCCATTCCAAGTGCTCCTAATCGTCCAAAATCAATAATAACAAAGTGGACGAAGCTTGGCACAGGTATTCTCTCCACCCTTGGGGAGCGGAGGCACTGCCCCAACCCCAAAACTGTTTGGAAAAATTCCCAATACGCCTGCGAAGGATTTCCCGACCCGTATGTACATAGCGAACATACAGAATTTATAACTCGCCATGCAAATCTAAGTCTCATGCTTAAAGTTGGTGTGATGTCACAACCAAGTGACGAAAATTGTTTTGAGCTTTGCTATGGGCATATTGTGAAGCTTCTTATCAGAAGATGACACCGTACACAATCGCACAATAGCTGTATTCAATCTAATAATTCCATATACAACGAAATTACTTTCTTTCTAAAATGCATAGTATATGTATGGGTAACTTCTTGTTCAGAGCCGTGTTTAAAGGGAATGTTGAAATACTCCATGAAACGAACAAGAGAGCTATGCTCAAATATATGGACACGTAGCGCCACCCAATGGCAATAATTTTGATGACGTCATAGCGAAAAAAAAAGTAATAGCCTTCTGGAGAAAAATTTTATCTTCAACCACTGAAAATTTCAAAGCAATTGGTCCAGTATTCAAAGAGAAAAGCGACTTTTTAAAAACGTGTCAAAGAACAACAACAAGGATAACAAGAACAAGAACAACAACAACATAATATTGAAACGATCGTTATGTCCACTACGTGTCCAATAATGCTTAATATCACCAAATCTTCATCGAATGACCACGGCAGAAAGAAAATATCAAAGCACAGTGGCACATCTTTAGTCCAAGGCCCAGTAAATTTGAGTCCTAGGTGAAGAGAGAGAGAGAGCTTATTTTATTTTGTCAAACCAAGAAAACAATATATACATACATACGTATATACATAACAAATAAAAAAATGTTTTCGGTACATGACTGGGAGGCAACGATACGACTTTTGGAGGTCATCAGAGTCAGTTGCCACCCGATTCAATAAGCATAAAAAATAAATGCATTTATTTGGACAAGGCCATTCATGCAAATATTTTGGTAAAGTGTTGACTTAGTATAAATAAAGTAATATTAAATTCAATATAATCAATACAGTCGATAATAAACTATAAATCAAGTGAATGAAAGACACACAGTTGGCACACTGCTGCTTCTATTCACAAGTCGAGTCCGAGTCATTATAGATTTTATAAACAATAGTCAAGGGGGTGAATGAATGTGCTTCCCAATGCGTCCTGATTGTTAATTACGCGCCTAATGTGACCACGCGTTGTTCCCAATGCTCTATTGATAATGCCCCTCATTGTTGATAATGCACCATTCCCATTGCGACCACGCATTGTTCCCAGCGCGTTGCTGGTAATGCGCCCTCATTGTTGATAATGCACCATTCCTAATGCGACTTCACTATTCGTGATGCGCTGTTTGTTATGAGAGTTATTAACTTATTATAAGACTACCATCGCTATTGGGGGTTTTCCCCGACAAAAAAAGGTTACGGCAGAGTACCGTAACTACTAACCTACGGTAACTGTTACTTACTGACTTTTCACAGTTTTAGTAGCGTTTTGTATGGAAATTATACAAATATGGATAAATCTATTCAAAACCCAGTAAATGGATAACATTATGAAATTCTTATAACTTTATAATGTACAAGTACGGTAGGTACCGTACTTTTTACACAATCTACCATATATTTGTATATGTATTGTGTTTGGTATTCATGAATCTAATCCAGTAGGCTAATCGTGTTTTATCTAGACTATTTCGGTAAAGAAATTACGATAATCATAATATACAAACTGATTTATTCTGAGGTCGATGAAATACATACCGGTATTGATACATTGTTGAAGTGTATAGCTACGGTATGTTATCAGACCGGGCATGAATTCTGATCGAGCAAAAACAATTTACATTCGGGATATTCTACCTCGAGATATCAAGGACTTATTGAAGGAGCCAAACTACGACATTGATAAAATACTTTTACAGCAAATAAAAGTGGTATCAAATTGTAAAAAGGTTTGAATTTATTTTGATCTCAATACAGCAATATGGAATAATCATTTTAGATTTGGCATAACAATTTTATTTTAAGGGAATTAATATCACTTTTCATTACGAAACTATTATGAATACTGGTGCATACTAAAACATATATCAACGAGGAGTCTGGCAACAATCCTCTCACTCATTATAATCTCCAAACGATTTAAACCTGCGACCCCACGCAGGGTAATCAGAGACGCAATGCAGGTAGCTAGCGTATTCCTCACGCTTAGCATGATGCACCACACTTCCCAAATAAAATGTTACCCAAGTAGACAATACTTGATTGTAACAACATTTGATGATTGAATTTCTATTCATTTTCAGGCTCTTGTCCACAAACGAAAAGAACTATTGGTCTCAATAGAAAAAGAATACTCTGAGAATGACTACAAAATGTATGTGATTTATTTTGTATGTCACGATATAAATGTCATTCGATTTTGATCGTAGAACTATTTGTTGTACATGCTTACTTTCAGCTGCTATTGTGTTTGCTGAATCAATTTTGTTGCCAATTTGATAACTCAAGAGTTTATATATATTATCGAGAGCTTCAACCTAAAAAGGAGAAACTCGAAAAAAAATTGTTTTGAAAAAATGAGAGAAAAAACTTTGCCGAATATTGCTTCTAACTTCGATCAGAAAAGCTGTTTCGAAGGCGTTTCCAATTTTTTTTAAAGAATGAAGTTTCTTCAAAATTTTTACATTTGCCCTTTTGTTTTAAAACCAATATTGAATTAACATGTAAAATTTTGAAATATATATTTATATAAATATATAAAAAGGTATATTTGATTTTCGTTATAATGGCTATTTTTAAATTAGTTGCGGTCCATTTGATGGAGAGTTTTTGAACTTGGTGTTAAAAGATGTTGAGAAAGATGAAGCAGAAGCAAGAAGAAAGGTTCTTGGAGAACAACAAAGCGTTGAAATGTTCAAAGAGGCTTTCGCTGCTGATGCTGTATGTCTCTTATTTTGATTGAATTTTTTTTTTTAGAATTGTGTCTATTTGAATTTGATCTAAAATATGAATATGAAATTGTGTTTGGTAAAAGTAATAAATTTGTCGAAAAGTTACAATGGAAAGATTTTTAATATTGAAGTATGGTACTACTAATGCTAACGCCCCATAATTGCTTATACATTTTCAGCTTTTTTTAGACATTATTTCTTCGTTACTGACACTTTATTTAAAGAGTTTATTGGCTGCATTGTTTATCAGCAATTGATTGTCAGTTTTATATACTCGAATTAATTTCTATCATATCATAATTATATGCAAACCTATCAAGTTTGTTATAATTGCAAGTTTTTTGATTTTTAAAAGATTCTAATTGATAGTAATATAGCTTACGATGTTGCTATGATGTCAGTAATGTTATATTTTCACATTATATGCGATTTGTCAAAGTGACAAGCCTTCCTGTTGATATTTTTACAAGATAAAATATCTACAGGTTTCTGAAGATTATCTAACATCAGCAAGATCATACAGAGATGCAATGACAAGACAGTTGCGAGACGTTGTTGAAGGAAGAGAAATTGTTCTTATCGCACTCGAAATATTAAGAAGATCGCCAATGGCCCTTATTCCTCAAAATAACATTAAGGTGCAATAAATTTGGCAAATTTATTTTGAGATATTATGAATGGAAATATTTTGCAGCAATTATAATATATCCCAAGTTTTATTTTATCTTAATATGACAGTGATTTAAATCTTTCTAATTCCTAAAAATACTTGTTATATAGGTATTACCTTTGAAGTGAAACCAAATTTCATCTTTTTATATAAGTTACCCCAGTGATAATATTAGGAAAATGGCTGAGACTCATATAAAAACAGACTCTTACATATGTATATTATGTCTTCAGATGAGTAATCTTGGTATAGCTTACACTGAAGCCAGGGACCGTCATGTAGATGAATGTGAAACTCTGCGTAAATTAACAGAATACAAAAAGAATCGAAAATTGCATATCACAGATGATGATGAATTGTTCAGATTTTTTAGTGATGAGAGTTTTGAAGGTGAATATGTTTGAAACTTTTCTAGGGACTCCAATTACTTTAAAGCTTCGACTGAAATAAGATTCGCCTGAACATAAAATTAACCTATCTATATTGCGCTTTATTTAATAGTACATAATCAGATTCCATCATATTTGTCGCGGAGTAAAAGAAATCACTAAAATGACTCTCACATCGGTTCTAATTATGATCCATAACCTGGTTGCCATTTCTGGGCAGGTATGAGAATATTCGAACATTCCAGTGTTTCAGATGTATGGACATGTTCGAAAGAAGAACTCAGCCAAGAATTCTATATTTCAATTAATTGCCATATCACATGATTTGAACATGGATTTTTTGGCGGAATGTTCAAAGCCGAGTCATTCAAATAATATAAATACCAATAATATGAAGTTATGGCCCTCACAAAGATATATGATTCATAATGCTATTTTTTATATCACTCTCCACACATTTCGTCCCTACAAGTAGCCACTTTTTTGAAAGACCAAAAGCTTCCCGGTTCGGCATTGTCTCCCCAATTTATCACACCCTGTACAAGTTGATGGGCATGGGTCCGAAACGAGATGTGTAGCCTGCGATGCCAAAACAACGCCCACTCATCATAGTAGCTCATCCACAGTTGAATAACATTTTATCGGTATTTGCAATTTTTACAGAAAATGAAGACGAAGAAAGTGACCCTCATGAAGAGGAAACAGAAGAGTCTAGTTTAGCATCTGCACTTGCTGAGAGTGAAGCTGAGGCACAAAAACTTGTTAATTTCAAAATTTTAAAAGTTGATGCAATTGACAGAGAGTTTAGAGTTTTAGCTGATGTAACAGCTGATATTTTGAAACATGAAGTCACCATGAAGGACACACTAACTTTTATTAATGAAGTAAGTTACTAATAAATTCCATTAGATTTTTGTGTAAATATCAAGTGTTAGTTTGCCTATATAGATTTTATATATTAGTAATTGGAAAGGATTTCAATCTGTAGGACAGCAGATACTTATGGATTCTTTGGAGTTATTTTTTCATTTCTTGGGTGTGACAAATTCATTTGAAATTTTATTTTTCATGTGGCCACTCACTTCAAAAATTTTCACCGAGTTGTCTCTTAAACAAAATAATGACTTCCTAATTAATAAATCATTGCTTTCCAAAAAATCTTATTTGATTTTCTTCTGTAAATATTGTGAATTTAAAGGATAAAGTTGTGACAGAAATCAAGCTAGATATATCTATATTGTTTTTCAGGTAGCTTCTCATCAATTGTCTGCTGCTTCGGGAGTCGGGATTGAAAAATATATAAATTATTTAAAAATGAAACATCCAAAGTTAAAATTCAAACTTTCTACAAAAGGTTATAATTTTAGTCTAAAAGTAATGAGGAGAACAAAATCAGTTGTTTCTTTGACATTACTTACAACTTTATTAGAAACATCACAGGATTTGCCAGAAGAAGTGAGTTTCATAACAAATTTTCTTAGTAAATCCAGTTTTGGTCTTAGTAACTCCAGGTTTCCCCAACCTTTGACCCTAGAAAGATTCTCCTCATGCCTTACTATTGCAAAATTTTTGACGTTCATTTCGAGTTTACAAACTAATTTACCTGTTCAAAATCATCATTTTTATAATAATATTCAAGCGCGTGCTGCTTACAGGTACTGATAGCCATTTTAAGCCTAGTCTATCACAGCTTTTCCAGGTCATAATTACAATTATTTGAAACATACATTGTACATTGTATATGGAGTGAAGTAAAATAAAAGAACTGGCTTTTCATATTAAACAGACATGTGATAAACCACTTTCGTTAAACTGGAAACAGTTCTAAATGGCTCATATAATGTGACTGGCGGGTCTGCCTTTTCCCATTTTTTTATCACCATTCAGACTTCTCCACTAACAGAAATTATTGAAGTGAGGCAAATCTGAATATCATGCTGATATTTTCGATTTTCTTCTGCCATAAGTTGCATCATAACCTGTTTTCCTTCATCTACCTTAAATAAGATCATGCTTTTTTTGTATCCAGGTTTTGCATGCTCAAGAAAGGTTTTCTCAGTTGTCAAATGCCGTGAAGCGTATTTGTAGTATGTATGGCAGATGTGCTATGGCATTTCAAGCAATTTTGAATAAAGAAGATGAACTACAACAAGCAATCAAAGATACTTCTGAGGCAAGTATTTTAAGAGCTCCGGAAGTATGTGCACCAGGATGGCGCACAACCTGAACTTAGTATGTTTACCGGGTTAGGGTTCAGGTTGTGTGCCATCTTGGTGCACATACTTCGGGAGCGCCACATTTTATACTCAATAAAAGGATTAGGCATTGTCACGACTGCTTGAACTTTGGGTATCGCTGCTCGATAACCAATCTTGGAACCCCGCGACTTCCTTTCCCCGATAAATATGGGTGTTTGATTTTATTTTTTGTCAATTTCGTACGTCATTTTTTACTGGATGGAAAATATAAACTTGAGTTTGACTATGGCGTTTCTCAGATAATTTTGTTCGCCTACTTTACATCAAGTTGTATAAAAGGACTGATACCTATGGGCAGGGGGCATATTCACTTGGCTAGCACAGACAGTCCCCAAACTTGTACAAGAACTAAAATAAGGAAAATCTGAATAAAATTATGGCCTAACCATAACACCACATATTTTACCATGTCTCACTTCAGTGGTATGTCAAAGAGCTATACACAATATTATCAATTTTTACAAACTTTTTTTGGCAGGTAAACTACGCTGATTCTTTGAGAATTTCTGACAATTTTGCGTTTAATATGAAAGAAGTCAGAAGAGTGAATGATTTGAAAGATGATATTAAAGTAATAGCAGATAATATTTTGAAAGAAGTTATGGAGATTGGGAGCTGATTTGTTTAAACTTTAATTGTCCGATGTTGATAGTACATACAGGATCGTTTATATTGATTATTTCCGGAAAATCTTTGCACTAAATCAGGGGTCGGCAACCTATGGTCCGCAGGCCGGATCCGGTCCGCGAAGTAACATAATCCGGTCCGCGACGCTTCACTGAATTATAGTAACAAAACAGCTGTTTTGACGATTATATTTTTCACGTTACACAATTCATTGTGAGATGCGTGTAGACTAAGTTATTTTATAATCTAACAAGTATAAATTCACAATTACTCGTTTAATGAGCCTATAATTCAATTATAATTAGACAGATGGTAGTAAAACGCAGAAAAACTGATGCTAAGTGCAAAGGGTTCATTGGCGCCGAAAATACAATGAGCAAATAAATCTATATTCTATTCGAAAGATGTATCACTGCATTTTTATTATAAAAAGTATCATCCGTTCGGTTTTCAACTTTCTAAGCATATGTGCGGCCCGCCAATGACTTGCAACCATTATTTTGGCCCACGAGCGACAAAAGGTTGCCGACCCCTGCACTAAATCATCACCTATTCTCTATATTACAATGATTATGCAATTGCGTTTGATTTTATCAGCAAGAACACTGAATACCGCCTCGCTTTCATTTTTATCTTTACATACCTCTTTGTATTTCATTGGATTTTTTAACTTCACTATAAATACAAACGGGGCTAGTCTGTGAAGCTCACTATTCTAATAATAAAATCTGTCCTACTGCACTCGTTTGTCTAATACTAATCTATTAGTTATTCGTATAATCAAGTCTTTATATCACAGTTTTGAGTGTCTTACTTGTTCTGATAAGTTTAAAATAATTGATAGAAAAACGATTATATATCATTATGGTGTCAACTAGAATGCCATATCTACCGAAGCGGGCAAAGAGTCCGTTGACCATGAAACAAACGCATTCTTCAATTTTTATTTATGCTGTCGAAACTAGTTACTGCCTGTGTGCTTTTTATGTATAAATATTCATTGTCAACACTTTGTATCCGTTATCTATTTGGGAGTTTGGGAATGGACTTTGGTATTTCACTAGTACAAGCTGCAAGCTAACTACCGATCAAAAAGACACATCCTCCTGCATATAATCTAAGTTTACTTGAAAACAAGCGACAAGGAATGAATGAATTTTGCAGAATCATTGAAATAATTCACAAATACAAAAACATGCAAAATATCATGCTAAATGATTTATAAAAAGATCAGATTGACGATAGAGATTAAAAAAACCAGCAGTGGGTTGGTCACTGATCAAGAACTCGTAAGATGTAGTTTCGTAATAATCATGAAAACCAATAGAGACATTTTCAAGTCGGCCACAAGCTTATCAAAAATTACTATGATTATTGTAGTAGCATCGCTGCTCTTCATTCTAACTATCAAAGTGAAAGTATTTATTTTTGCAAAAAATTTTTGCAAAAAAAAGAGTCTTGTGTTTCTCTTGCATGACTAAGTTAGTTGGCCACAAAAGAAAAAAGGTTGAGAACCACTGCTATAGAGCTTATCAGTATGATGACATATCTGATTTACATAGAACTTAAATATCGATCGCTGTAATCACAAAAAATTATACGGCTTCATGAGATAAATTCCTCCACAGCCATAATATTTAATGGGGACAGGTTTTCTAAAGTATTTCCAATCGATTTGAAGTCCTATGTAGTCTATGTAGGGAGAAAACTGTAATCATGCTTCATATTTTTCACAATTTATTCTGCCCATTTATGATTTCAAAATCATCGGAACTGTCACATCCAGAACTTTCTTTCGAGTCACAACTTCCTTGAATAATGTCTTCCACCACATTCCATGGTTTTATGAACATTGCACCAGGCAAAGGTGGACAGTGAGAACTCTCAAAGTGACTCATATGCTTGGCAGCCTAAACAGAATATTAATAAGATATACTATTCTATGGCATTGACATGTATGATGTTGCAAAGTGTTCACCAACAAGGTAGTAATTCGAGGACTTCAAGACAAATTTATTCAGCAATTGTTGGAATATTGAGAAAAAGGAATGGGTGCTCTTTAATCTGTTATCATAGTCACCTCTGATTAGTGATTACCCTGTGTGGGTTAGAATCGCACACAGGGATAGTTATGTGCGAGAGGAATGGTGGACTATCGCCACCGTAGGGCGGTTCACATAACTACTGGTCGGTTAAGGCTTCCTCCACTTGTCCATGATTTGAAAACCCAAAACTGGTTAACTAATCCCATACCCGACACAGACTGGTAACCGGACGAGATGCTGGGGTGCGCCATATGATTTAGTTGTCTTATTGGCTTTCCTCACACTGCACACTGAGATGTGCATTCTTAAAACAGGTTAGATTTATCATGGATATCCAGCGCAGTGTGAATAAAAAAATTATGTTCCTTTTTTCGAAAGAAAACTAGACTCAATTTGCTCTAAATAATATTTTGTGTAAACAACAACAACAAATCATTTACCAAGTACAAAACAAGCCTTTGTTTTGCTTCTAGACTTAAATCTTCACCAATCATGATTGGATAGTCTGATGAATGTTTTTCAACATAGGATCTCAACATAGATTCACATCTTTGGTCAATCACTTCATAACTGGACATAAGAGACACTGTCGAAAAAAAAGTGGAATTAGATACCTATTATGGGTACTCCCGTAGTATGTAAGATGGCAGACATTGTGAACTGTAGAGTTGAGAACAATATGAAATGAAATATAGGATGCATTTAGCATGTATTTTTATTTCCAAACACTTCTATTTTCAAACTCCTTAAAAGTCAGAATCAAAATATTGAAGTCAAAAACTGAATGCATTAAATTGGTTAAACATGACTATTGAATTTCGCTTTCATTCATTCTCATTATCTAAATTTGGTTTTCTCAAACAGAGTTGGTGTGAGCAGACGAATTTTGAATTTTTGTCAATCCTAAATCGGGATTCATTTTTAAATGGCTCGGAGTTTGCTGTAAATTTTTCTCCACTACACAGCTTTAGTAGAAATATCAATTTCATATTACATACTTCTCATGACATCATCATCTCTGTCTAACCAGCTATCAAGTGCTGCTTTAATTTGATAGTTATCTTCTTCATTTTTTCCAAATAACACAGGAAATCGATACTTTAGGAACTTGTATAAAAGTGCATTCCCACAATTTGAAGACACCACTCTTTGACCCTCTGCAAAATAGATGTTGGTTAATTGCATCAATTTTGTAAATATGAAAGATTGTACAAGTTGCAACACTGTCCCTTTTATTTTTATTAGGGAGAGCATCATGGGGGGATAATCTTTATCCTATAAATGTATTTCATTTTGATCCTTCAAATTTACTCTGATTATGGTATTCTAATTTGATATTGATTGATTAATCAATGGAATTTTATAAAATTTCTTGTACAACACCTGAATGAATTTTCCTTTTATAATCATTTTTAATGTTTATGAAGACTTTTCCAATACTTTTATGCATTTACAGTTACAAAACATTTCAACTTAATTTTATTATCCAATTATATATATATGGATACATGAAGAATTTGTCAATTATACAGTATATCTAAAGTTATTTTAGAATCTATAGCAGGGTGGGCAAGGTTTTTGGGACACGGGGCCATATAAGTGTGACGTAAAAAAGTTACATTTTATGAACAATATTTACTGTGAGTAGAAAACAATACGTCTTGTGCCAAAACTAAAATTAATTGCAACTTAACAAATTCCTTGAGTTATTTTTTTAGGTCAAACATCAAAATTTGATTTTAGTTAGGTTGTGTCAGCATCAGACGGGCCAGATTGAATTACCCAACGGGCTGGATTTTGCCTATGTCAGATCTAGGGTCTGTATAGATTCCCAAGTCACATGGTCTATAAGAGTCACCTTTATTCATGACTTCATCCATTTGTCTCCTGACAAAATGAACTGGTCCATTATATTTTTGTAGTAAGTCAGAATGATGAAGGTTAATGTAACTTCTAATAGTATTTTTCACAATGTTTTCTGGACAGAAAAAAAGAATAGCAAGAAATTAGTTAGGTCAATGTTATGGATAAGATGGGTATATTAAAAACCGCTTTAGACTGTTTAATACTGAAGAGTTAATCAATGTTATACAATCAGAATGGTTAAAATGAAATAATCTTCTGAATACTGAATATATCCTAATATATCGGGTCACGTTTAGCAAAGAACACATAGACGTAAATTATGTGCAGTTATATCGGCAAATTTTGAATTAAGAAGATGAAGATCTGGTTGGTTTCAGGCCTTTATGATCAATGGTAAGACTTCAATTGCTCAAAATGAGAAATTTTTGAGTGAAATTAATCTTAACAGTTCTTTAAATCAAGAATTTAAAATATATGATATAATTGAGGCGATATATAGGCTGTCCCAAAATGGGTAATCGCATTACGGGGTTTCATTTATTTTGGGACATCCTGTATAATGAGGTAAATTTGTACTAAGAATTATATTAAAAATTATCTTAAAAAAATTACCATCTAAAACTGAACTAAAACTATTTGAATAGTAATGAGAATACATGCTTGTGCTACCAGGTTAAAAATAGCCTAATAAAAGGAGACAATTAACCACTAGTGCAAGTACCAACAACATCCGACAAATTTATGTTTTGCATTAAGAAATTCATTTTTATAAAAAAAAATCTTACCAAATGCTGGTGGCATTGCTTTGACAGCTAGAGGTACGATATCATCAAAAGTTGCATCTAGGAATACAGATCTGACTTCAGGATACAAAACAGCCCCATTAAGTGCAGAAAAAGCTCCTGAAAAAATCAATGTTTAGAAAAATGATTTAGCACATTATAATTTCCATATTAATTTCCTGTATAAAATTACTCCTTATATTTGTAATGACAAGGTTTACATTGGACGTTAATAACGACTTGTATTATGCATGCAACTCCTTAGCAAAGTTTTCAGGCAACACATATTCAGATTCAGAACATGTTAAGGTTAAGCAGTGAATTTTCAGATTAGTGAGTACTGATAAAATCAAACGAGAGTCAATGCAAAGAAATAAATTCTAGAAATAACATTATGCTTCGCCTGCTAGTTTTAAAAAGACTCCATTTTAGCTGAATTTCTCTCCATAGCTTTAAAAAAATAGAGGGGATGCCTTTGGGGACAAGTCATAACCAGGTAATCGATCAAAATTTATATTATTTTAGTAAATAGTAGAAAATATGCTTACCGATGGACCATCCAAATAAAATAATATTCTCAGGTTGAAAACCCAACTTAGTAATTGCATATTGCATTACAACATCAATGGTATTGATTTCAGCCGCAGGTGAAGGAGATCCCTAGAAATAAACAAAGATCATAAAATTAGAAACAAAACACATGACATGAAATCTATAAAAAAAATAAATACCGGTTCACGAAGAAATACCTGAAATAATGTTTAATAAGACGCACTATGAAATATGCGCAAAATCTACAACAAAACGTAACCAAACATGAATAATTAGTGCTGTCGGAATCTTAAACTCTCAGATTGGGCGCGGAAACAAAAATAGACAAGGAGCATGCAATGCGTGAAGATTAAAAAATTGACTTAGCAAAAATTCTCGTTTATGGATTTTTAAATGGCACATTCATTGAATTTTTTTATTGAAAAAACAAATACAAAAGCTGAAACTGAACAACCGACTAGCATTGAATGAAGTAAAATCTTCTGACGTTCTAGCTTCGAACAACAGAATTATATTTTAGACTATTTTCATACTGAAAACGCTTTGCAATATTATCTAAACTTACAGTACTACAACCAAATCCTGGATGGTTCCATCCTAAAACAGAATAACCAACTTCGAGTGGAGTGATCATAACTCCAACTTCATAAAATCCAGCGTTTCCTTCACATCCTATGACTAGGATATCTCCTAATCTGGTGCTGACGCTCGGTGAATCATCTCTGATAAATAAATGAGAAAAAATTTGAAAATACAAAATTTAAAGAACTACCGGTCAGACCACGCTGGTTAAAAAGCTACTATAGTTTAAGACAGGGGTGTGCGATATTTTTTGCCCGTGGGCCATATAACCAACATGAGCCGTTTATTTGGCCCACCCAAAAAATTAGTTTTTCCATGTAAACAGCGAATTGTGAAATTAGTGACAACCAAAGTGCCACTGGAAAGACAAGAGAATGTGACTATTGCTCACCCTTCCAGTAATAAAGGCACTTCTCAAAACGAAGAACGATTTAACGCAGTGACGAGAGCAAAAATCCTTATGTATTTTTACAAATGTGAGTGCTGAGTGCCCTTTGTGAACACAAACTGTCGGAATCAGATTTCATGCTTGATTGGGAAAAATCTAAGTGTTGACAAGGGCGGGCCGCCTGTTGCACACCCCTGGCTTAGAAGGATTTGAACCAGAGAGCTGCGATGATTTAAGATTCAAGCTGCGGTGCCATCGTAGTTCAATGCTACGACTAAAAGGCCATCGCCTCCGTCCCTTTATGTTTGAAAATAATGCAAAACTAATTTCAAGAAACATTATTACTTTCTCAGTATAATAGATGTTCAGTCAAATCATATTCACTGCCTACCTACACAACTAAATTTTGGTAAATGTGATTAATCAGCCCTGAAAATACATCCTCAACAATTCGTTCAACTATTCAAAAATTAGTAAAAAATACAACCAAAACATTCATGTAGGTTTTATTAGAAGATGTCATCAAGAAAAGATTTATTTATCAGCATTACAACTTACTCCTCTTGTCTTCTATCAACAAACATTGTGTCGATGTGATTTCCATCTCTTGACAAAAGCTTTGCTCTTTTTCCTTTACTCTGAGAATAAATTTCAAAACATAAAAATGGTGCATTCAGGGCATTACTGATCTACATTATACTGTACATTTTGAGCTATGTTTGGTAATAAATGAGAAACAGATGACTACATTACATTTTTACAATCTAAGAGAGAAAAAGATGTAAGGTAAATATTCTTCAATAGATATTGTAGAAAAATGAGATCATAACAAAATCAGTGCTTCTAGTATGACATAAAACTAAATTGATATTGAAACAAAAGTTCATTGAAGGCTCCCTTGTCCCTTGTTTGTTTTTGTATGATTGATATGTTTAAGACAGCGTTATCAGCCAGAAAGGAAATTTATTCTTTTATGGGGGAACATTTTACTTTGAATTTACCTGTAGTTTTATTAATATATACATATTTATGTACACATTATAAACTATTCAGATTAAACCAGAGTGCAAGTCGCATTCTGATTTCTTCATATAGGTAGCGACAAACAATACTTACATTTTCTACCATTTTGTTTCTTCCGTCATCCAAAGCTGTTCCTGAATAATTAATCACAGTATTTACTGCTATGCTGATTATCATAATGCCACAGTAAAACCAAAGTAGCTGTGTCATATTTTTAAGAAATAGACATATCTTCTGACATTATGGACCAGGGGGCATATTATGATTTGGGTTTCAAAGCTGTATAGGTTTTGAGTTTTGATTTCAGGCAGTGCTATTATATCTATTATTGGGATTTGAATGTTAGAGCCAAATATTATAAAATTTGTCATAAGCTAATTTGGCTCTACTGCGGCAATCAATCAAATTACCATATTATTTAAACTGTGAATATTTATTTCAGATATATCACAATGTAGGTGATTCTTATACCAGTTACAACACTATGGTGATTTCACTGACAAAAAGTGAAATTTCTCATGACGGCGATGCGGTTGTAATGAGGGCAGAATTTTTGCCAGAAAATCTTATGCACAAAAAGATGACTTGAATCATAAAACTTGTAGGTATATTGCATTTGATAATACTTCAGACTTATTAAGAAAATCGTTGGTTTTATAAATCTGATTTGCGGCAAAATTGGTTCCCATGGAAGGTTTTTAAGCAAAAAAACACCATATATACACCAAAATTAACAATTGATTCTTTCAAAATGTTAATTAAAATATCTTCGCTTCACACTCCCAATTTAACAGATATTTCCTAATTCTAATTAAGGAGACAAATCCACAAACAAAAATACTCACTTATGATGGAATTCAAGATAGCAGTAGAGCCCGGGTACACCATACTTAAACCAAACCCATGTGATATGAGATAGGATAGAAATTCGCATGGAAGTCCTTTAATAAGCAGGCTAGCAATGCTGTTGTTTTGTGATATTTTTCTCAGTCTACCAGTAATGTGGTATGGAGGTGTAACCAGTGTTTTCTTGACTTCTACTCCTTCATCCCATCTGAAATCGACTGGCCAGTGTGAGAATGTGAAATCATACATCCGCTGTAAGAAAATATATGAAATTATATATATGAATAAGAAAGTAGAAATAATTAGAATAAGATAGGCAGAAACTATAAAATGGAAGTACTTTAAGTCGTTGGTCGGTTACTACCGGTCCGCAGAAAGGTGACACAAATCGGATAAGGTCATAATTACATCTATACCATCTAACATCCACAAACCCGACGACTAAAGAGTATGGTAAATTGTATTTTCAATATGAATTTTAAGGTGTAAATCACAGCAATGAAATTTGTCCAGTTTGGGTCCTTTGCCATATTAGGCTCTTATATGAGGCAATGAAGCCTTCGAAACTTCTTCGAACAATGAGATTGTCTCATAAAGGGCAGTTGATTGAAATTTCAAATTATGAGTTGAAAAGTGTCTTTGCGATACACAGACACAGACATTGTTACCTTTTTCATTATTTGCGATCAATATTGACATTGACAACTTGAAAAACGAAATACCAAAGTAGGCTGGACGTAAGAAACCGTTATATGTATCACTGTCGACCATGACTTCAAATTCGGAACAGTTAATAATGACCAGCGAACAAATGCATATCTCGCATTGTATAGCATCACTTTTGCTTTTGAATGTATTGTCAACATAAATTTCCCAACGCGCATACTTTATTACTATTACATAAGCTTAGTTCGTTTGTAAAAAGGTGGTTCGCCAAAATTTTGGTCAGGCTTTACCGTCACTTAAAATGATGGAAGGATGATGGAAGGACCTTGCCATCAACAAAAAATACCTTCATTACCAAATATGAAGCTGTTAGTTGTATTCAAACCGAAGGTCATAATTATATTGGAAACTCCCTTCCAGAAACAGCGTTGAAAGCATTCTTACTTAGTCATTTACAGTTGCTTTAAATAATTGATTACAATACCTTTTTTGTTGGATCTGCACCTGATACTTTAGAATTTTCCAAGACTGATAGAAAATCAACATATTCTTGATTATTTGATCTTCCAAATCCTAAAAATGACAAGTGTGATTGTAATAAATTATGTGACAAAATGTTTTATAAATAATGTAAATAGATATACCAGTACCTCTGATAAACAATAGTCCATAATATATACAAGCAAACCATAATGAATACTTCATAAGATCGGTTCCATACGCAATGGTGAAATAACCTGAAAAACAAGAATCAATTTTGTTAGCCTATATTTTGAAGATCATTTTAAAGACTTTCATTAGAGCGTAGAAATGCCTTCAAGTAAATATATTTTAAAAGCGAACATATCCTAAAACACACGCTCTTATTACTTTAATTTCATGATTAGGAATTCTATTATTGATATATTTTTTTATTTGTCTTTTGCTCGGAACAAAGCAACAAATTTCCAGTACGGCCCCTTTTTATTATACCCCAGATGAGATGGTGGGTATGGGATTAGAACCAGAGATTTTAACCTGCTACGCTATCCAGTACGGCACAGTATTCTGATTTCAAGAACAGGCCCCCTATTAAAAGGTATCAATCACAACAGTGAATGCATACCTCCTCTACGAGACAGTCTGGGCTTCTATATCATCACAAATCAGCAAACGGCACTGCACAATAAATTAAAGGGGAAGCGCAATCTAAAATTGTCACCATTGGATTCATGTGAAAAAAATATTCAGATTTAATGAAGAATTCGAGAATGTTTAGCAAAAAACACAATTATGGTCATGTGACGGCCGACACACGTCATGATTGATTTAAATTATTATCAAGATAATCACGGCGCAATGTGACACATGTACCAGACGCCCTCGTTCAAAAACAAATAGAGTGTTTGTTTTATTGAACCAAATGTTGAGACATCTTGGAATCTGAAAGAACTGTGCCATCTACTGCTATCATAGGTAATTCTAATGCTTTAACCCTTTCCGTGCGGTGGGCACGTATACGTACCAACGACAAAAGTCGCTAGATTGCGGCGGGTACGTTGATGTACTCCACTGTTTTATTTAGCAATCGGTCGCAAACTGTTGGTCTAGTTTTTCCGGGTTTTAGTTTATTGATAAGAAGTCTTCTTCGAGATTAACATAAGCGACGGTAAATCTCGCTTTCGTTTACGACGGGAATTTTATTTGCAGCGGAACGAGGGAGTGTTTTTGAAATTTATGCAAATTTCGGTTTTTTTTTAGGTGGTATTAGAAGACATATTATCCCTTCCATCTACCAAAGTATTTTGAGTTAGATCACGAAATTGCTACAGCAATATTATGCTATTGTTTGCCAACCACGAAGCGGTAACAGTAAAGGATTTAGCGAATATTTCTATTTTTTATCACGGTTTGAAGTTTCAACTCCCAAGAAAAAAATGCCCTTTTTCTATCCGGTTTGTGACTCAGACCACCACTTTTAAAAAAACTTTTTTTTTTTAATTGCTAATTGTAAGCTATTTAAATAGGCTTTCCAACGAGCCGTCAGTGGGCAGCAGAGGATCATTAGTTTTTCGTTAGTCGATCGATTAGTTGTGGGGGTACAAATGCATAAAATCGGCGTAGCAAATACGATTATTTAATAAAAAATAAAAATCGCATGGAAAGGGTTACCCACTACTGCACTATACACAAAAGACAAAGTTTATCCACTAAAATGATTAACACTGTAATACCTCTTCTGTAAAGCATAACAGACCATACTGGAACTGTGTAATATAATACATTTTTCACAGTAGAAATAATTCCCAGAATTTTGTCAGTGTTTTCTTCCACAGCATTTGGTAGATAATTGCGGCCCTAAAATAAAATAAGGTAAAATCATGTATACGATAAAAATAAGTATCCACTTTTTTAGGGTAGTAGCCAGTTTGTAATCAACTTTGTTTTCAGTTCAATAAAATTTGAAATAGCAATGCTAGCCTTAAAATTTTCAAACCCATGAATAGTTTAAAATCTTCCTTATGCAATGTATGGTACTTAAATTCACCAAATCCAGGGATTAATATTATACAATTAAAATCCACCACTAAAAAAATATCAATTTGTGGTTGAACTTCGGTGAGGTTATATACCAGTATACAGACAGACAAAAAGGTTTCGAGTCACCAAGAAGGAATATATTATAATTAGATTCGGTTCCATTACATTTGAACCCACGTACATTTGAACCCATGACAATTGCACCTGTATGCTATTGCACCTATGAAATTTTTTTTGTTTTACGGATAGTTGAACCCATAATAACCCCTAACCCATGGGTTTTAGCACCCGCATATAGATTGAACCCGTGGATATACACATGGGTTCAAATGTACGTGGGTTCAAATGTACGGTCACCATTAGATTCAATTCAACTTGGAATGTCACAATACAGCAATAACTAACTCTGTATCTGGGTTGAAACTAACGTAAGTTATCCTATTATCGCCACTTTTTATTGCGATCCATCCGACTTTAGTAACAATTTCTCTATATTGTTTCGGAACATTAGCTACCCATCAGAGAAAAAAATGCCAACAGCAGCGAGTTGCGAAATGAACTTGTTATAGCGACACCTCACGAATATAGCAGAAATGTCGGTATGGCGATAATAGGAACTACGATTATCCTATTATCGCCACTTATGTCAAACTTTTTTCACAAACGCTTTTCTTTTTAAATACAGGACCATTTGCTTTGAAATTTTCAGTGGTTAAAGATTGTTGCTGTCGCTAGAAGGCTATTACTTTTATTAATTTCAAACATTTAGCAGGCCCTACTAGATTCGTTTTTCACTTTGAATTTTTATGTGATGACGTCATCAAAATTAAAAATTGCGCATTGTAGCATGGCGGTTCTGCGGTCACATTTAAGCAATCTGGCGGTCGGCAAAATCGGAAGTTTTTTTGGATAAGCGGACTACCGTTACTGTAAAAGATTTGATACTACTTTGTTTTGGTCTTCGTGTCCATATATTTGAGCATTGCTGTTTTGTTTTTTCCTGATTTTTTCGGTTCTTCTTTCTGGTGAGCCATAATTTTCTTATCCCAGTATCCTATTATTGCCACCCTGCGGATACGATAATTAACAACTACACGGTATTTACAAACACTTCCCATGTCAAACTTGATTCAACCTCGATTTGCCACAGCGTGATATCAGCTGGTTTTCTTATATAACAAAAATGTATGTTTTAATAAAATGTCTTTACGCCACCGGGTAACAGAATATGTTAATATTTATCACTTATGATGCGCAATCCGAAAACAACTCATATTCCTGTATTCAGCGCTATCTGCAAGTGCGACGATTCTGAAGGCGTGTGGTGAGAATTGGTGTGTGGCGATAATAGGGTAACTTACGTTACATCAATTACTGAATTAAAAAAATCGCAGATGAGCATTTATGGTGTAGATTGGAAAATCAAACTTGAAACACCTCTCTTCTTTAGATGCAAAGAGAGACAAAATTCTCAGAAACTCAGTTCAAAATAATATTGTGTTTTTGCTGTTCATTTTATTGAAATATCAGATTCAGAGATATGGAACGATGTCATCCATACAGTTTGTGGGTTTTCTTGATTTTGTTGCTGCGAGGCCTTCTAGGTATTTTCAAAAATAAACCATACTCACCAATTCAGACAAAGGCAAATTATGATGAATCCTATACAATGTTGGTCCAAATGCACATTTCAAAGTATTCCCCATTATGACAGAAACACCATGCACGCGCTGTATATACCAACGTACCGGTACCAAGCAGCAGGTGAATCTGAATATGCGGACTGAGCGGAAGTATTGAACTCACTGCGCAGCATTGATCGGTGCTATTGACAGAAATATTTTAAAAAGCTACACGGCAAAAAAGACTTGTCGGTATGCCCTACATATTTCGTCGTATGCAGCGCGCCGCTGTGTCATTTACACAATCCCGAATAAAAATAACTGGTGATAAATTAATGCCTTTTAAACAATACCACTTTATCCATATGTTATTTACAGTATATGTTCTAGCAGCACGTTTTTTAGTTTCAGCAGATAGGATTGTTTTTTCATCCAATTCTGTCAATGCTTTCATCTCACCTTTATGGATTATCCACCAAACAACTCCATGCACCTCCACAGATAGTTTCAATCAAAGCCCATGTATACCAAACAACTCCATGCACCTCCACAGATAGTTTCAATCAAAGCCCATGTATATCCAATGGTTTCAATAAAGTCGAATAGGACACCCTCTTCCGCAAACAAAAGCTCACACGAACATCTTACCCCAAATCGAGTTCAGAATAACCAAAGTATCAACCAGCAAGGTACAAGAATTATTCCACGATGGGTTTTAGGCTCACTCACTTTACATGCAAGTGTTTACATGAAAATGGTTTTAGGCTCACTCACTTTACATGCAAGTGTTTACATGAAAATGGTGTAGGCCCGACCTATCTTCACTTCAACCATACATGACCAGTAATTAAAATAGAACCTTCCAACGCCAATGATAAATGTTTTACGAAAACGCAGATTTCACAATTCATGAGTACAGGCTTACTCACGCCATGTTTTATATTCTTTTTTTATTATTTAGTTAAATATATTTCCAGTTTATTTTGAGCCAACTGCACGGACATTAAACAAAATTTTCTAAATGCAAACAATCAAATTAACTTGTCTAAATCCTATTTACTACCTCCAGGTATCCAAGCTATCAAGTGAATCGTGGGACTTTATTTAATAGTATCCATTGACCAAAAACATTTATGCATGTATTTGTAAGTTTAACAATACCAGCAAGATTGTGTAACTTTATTTTCTTTAAAACATCTAATACAAAAGTGCAGACAAGGTGAATAACATTACATACAAAAGGTCCATAAACACCAACCAAATATCAAGCTAAAGTTTATTATGTATACACTTAGAAAACCCCAACATGAAGAGACACTGTTACACGCAACATACATAGGGCTCATACAGAGCCCTACTTTGCGTACTGAAGATGCAAAAGGCTACGATATAAAATAAAAGAGTAGTATGCAACAAGGTCTTAGTCTTAGACCAAACAACTTCATTTAGGACAGTTCACCTAGGACACAGAAATCCACCAAAATAATAAGAGAAAAAGCAGATAACATAAAATAGTGAAATGTTGCAATGCTGTTCAATAAGTACAATGTATATATATATATTATTCTTTCACTGCTGCTAGTGGTTCAATTTAGGATCCAGTTGCAGTCTTCTCGTGGCCAACTGCACAATCTGTCAAATCCAACCATTTTTTGACAGAATTAGATATTGCAGTCGAGCATGAAATGTCTATATTCTTATTTGACTTGTACGAATGATTGAGAGGAAATTTTGGAAAATTTTTATCTACTGGAGTCTCTGTCAAGTTCAAAGTTGGCATTTGGTAGTCAAGATTGAAAACCCTTGTCAAAGTATGCCTGAAATCTTCAGCAGCATCTTGCACAGCATAGTACATTCTAAAAACAAAGTTTCTGTGTTATTGAAGCTTGGCATATCGATACCTCTGATCAAGCAGAAGCCTTCTTAGTTCTGTATAAGAAAATGCTTGCTCAGCTTCACTAGAATAATCACCAACAGTGTTTCCCAACCTTCTTTGACCGGGACCATTTCCGAAGCATAAAGAATCGTGTCAGTCTTAAGACACAAAAATTAAACAAACGTTGATAACAGAATAACTAAAACAGAAATATAATTGTTGTTGTTTATTAAACTTGCTAGAGCTCTCAGCAGACTTATTCGAGTCTGCGGCCTCAGGGTTGAGAACACTAGTCTAAAAAATATGGGTATGAATCCAAATGGCATAAAAAGGTGGGACTGAGTTAAAAGTATTGCAAGGCTGCTTTCCTACCATGACCTGGCAGTCAACACATCAGTATGCACTTTAAATATAAGTCGTTAGCTAAATATAAATTCAATACGTAATTGGGAAATGTGTACAAACAGGTCGTAAGCCAAACATGTTCTTTAGACTAAGTTTATAGAACCACTCCACCAAGCATTATTAAACGAGTTTGACTTCTAAAATATCCTGATTGTAAAGGTTGAATATTTCTCAAGGATCCTAATTTGTTCAATGAAATTAAGAGAACCTAATGATATATTCATGAAGTCCTGTTATAATCAAAATTTTGTTATGGAGTCAGTTATTAATATATCCTAACTGGGTTTGCTTTATTTCGATTAATATTTATTTAAGTTTTTTTACTTTCTTCAATAAACCTTTAAATGCCCACCACCAGCTGGTAAGCATAGAAAGTTTTTCATCAATTTAATACAGAACTTTATGATCACCCTGTTCATAGAATTTCAGTTTTGTGATTTTGAAGTACATATAAGTAAGATTTGTACAAAAATTTGTGTCACTACACTAAGGACAGAAATAACTGGCCATACCTTTCTGTTTCTTCCTCGAATGATACAGAATTACTATTATTACAGTTTGAATTATTTTCCAACGTTTTCATCATTACACCATCAAGTGGAGAAGATAAGAATGCAATCTGCATTGCACAGTCTCTCATGATTTCCTCACAGCCTTCTAGAGTCATTTCGGTATCACCATCTCCTAAACCACAATGCAAAATAATTGAACAACAGAACAGTGGTTCCCAAACTGTGAAGATTTTACGGGATCACCTAACTTCTTTCAAACATGTGCACACAACTGACTAGGTTTTTAAAGTAGGAAAGTGAAATTTGTGCTGGTCTGCAAGTACCGTAAACGTGCCTAACTTCGGATTTTCAGCAATAACCCGACCATTTATTGTCTAAAACGTGTCACAATTGCTTGGTAAAACTTTCATGCGTTACCTTTCCAGCTGGTACTCCGGTATTAGTAAATGAGTATGAGAATGAGTAGTCGACCCGCTGGTACCCGAGTCGTACGCGAATCAGATTTTTTGCCAGGCTGCGAGAAATTATGTTGGTTTGTTCCAGTGTAGCCGCATGGTTATCGATATACAAAGCAAGGTTGCTTTATTTGGCGATCGGCCCTTAATCAGGTGTCTTGGCCGAGTAATTACGATTTAGGTTTCGATCAGTGGCAAAAGCGCTTTGTTGATTCACGCATGTGTCTAAAATCTACGAGTAGGCTACGTGTTTTGCTCACATCGCCTCAACATAAAAGTGAACATTTTCGTTTTGCAATATTACGTATTTGGACGTTTCGTACATAATTTCGAAGCGATCCAACCAGTCAAACACAAAACCACAACAATTTCTAGAATAATAAAAGGCACTTAAAAGATGTGGTTCCGTAAACGTTTTTTTCCTATTTTGCTTTCAAGCTCTAGAACAGTGAATCTCAAACTTTTTAAGCCACACCCCAGAATTTGTCGAGTCTCGCGCCTCAACTCAAAAAATAACTAGATAACAATAAGGTACAAATAATGGATAGATAGGCGGAAGTATGTTTTACTCAAAAACCACGTTGAAAATACGTGGATGAAATGTAAATATCCAAAATAAAAAAAATGTGAATAATATACAAAATAAGGCGAGCAAGAACAAATCTAACAATTTTTTTTTCCAATTAGCATCACGTCCCCTCAAAAACTTGTTTGAAATTATATTTTGCTCTGGATGGGCATTTTGCCTATCATTATTAACACTAGGGCTGTGTAATAGAAGAAAATTTACAATAAACTCCTATTGCAGATTGAAAAAAATTATTGGGTCTCCGGATCAGAGTTTAGAAATAGGTTGATTCAGACTCCGGGCTGTAACAACTCCGAAACTTTTTTTATAGCAAATAAGAATGCTTAGCAAAATTATTGCTTTTTGAAATACAATGATAATTTAGTTACAACTAAGACGCGGACTGCAGGGAATTCGGGATTTCAAATCCTAACTTCAAGGAGTTTGAAAATAGGACTCACGAGCGTGAAACACTCTACTTTTGTGCACCATAATTAGCAAGAATCTAAATCTAAACACTTAATTCTTACCTTCTGCACACGCAGTATTATAAGAACCAATTGTTGTAACTAATTTGCTGATCACAGATGTCATGTCTCGTGCTCTGTTTATATACTGTTGATAATATTGAGGTGGAAGTTCTGTTTCTCTTATTAGTAATGATGATTCACATATTCTTTGCTAAAAAAGTAACAGTATTAATAATAAGTCAAAATCAATTATCACTTGTTCAAGATTTGATAAATAGCGAGTACTCAGTTAGAGTCAACTTAACACAAACTGCTTTACATATCAGGATAGGATTTACATATTCATCCCTGGAGAAAGGGAAGCAGATAAGATGGCGGTGAGCGGCGAGCGTATTCCGAAGGCTTAGCACGATGCGCCACACTGCTGCGCCATATTAAATCCAAATTGAGTCAATTTTGCTGCCTCTTGTCAAGTCAATTAACATGAAGTATATTCAACAAATGTAATAGGTGAAAAGTTTGTACTAGAATCGCACGGCACAATTGTTGGTTTTTTCGTTTGTTACTCTGAGTTACACACCCTGTAGCAATGCAGTAAACAGAAGCTTAAATGAGTAACGAACTAAAACATGTCAAATTGTTTAAGAAAGAAAACAAAAGTACAATCAAACTTACATATAACAAACCTGGGACAAACAGGACTAGAAGAAAATCTAGACCTTAAAAAACAAAAACGAGAATATCGGTCGGAGACCGAAGACTTATCGATCTATTCATGCGCTCTTCCTCCATAGTGACACCGTGTGTCTCGTCACTAATTAATTAATAACACGCTAATTATACGACATAATTTATCCAAAATCAATAGACTTCTGGTCCGAGATATGATGAATGCACATGCAAAATTTGGAGCAGCTTCAACCCCGCTTTCGTGAGATATTGCGTGTATCTAACAGACAAACAAACAGACAAAAACCTATCAACATACTTACCGATCAAGATCGATAAGTAACTAGGAAGATCAACATTTTCTACAAACACAACTCAATCCCCTCTAATAACAAATTATCTAACATTAGTAATAGCAGAAACAAGTTATTCTCAAATTAACCTGAATAAAATCATAGTCATCATTACTTGCACTAACTCATCTCAAAATTTGAACTAAGTAAGTGTGCAATAAACCATAGGTTCTCCAAGTGCTCCATGCGGAGCCACAATGCTCAGTGAGAGAAACCTAGGAACTTCGTGATCTATTCGTCTGCTTAATAAAATTCTTACTTGGCTAGTTTTGTAACTGTCTAAATAACAGCAGCGTCAAAATGTGGCAACAAGGCGTAAGTTGTGAGGCTCCATAAATGATAGGCATCCTCTTCACAGGCAACATCAAAAGTTTGAGAACCGCTGCAATAAACAACTGTAAAAGCATCATTCCCTAACACCTTACTTGGAGCTTACCATATCTTCATCAATCCTGCTATTCAAAACCTCCCTCACTGCAACCAACTCAATAGCTTCCTGAAAATGAAACATAACCTTGCTAATATGAACTGTGCTTTTTCTGATATTCTTGATAAATCTAGGCTACTAATTCCTCGCTTCTCAAGCTACAGATAATGAGTGCCCACTAAATTTTGCTCTTAGACATTGAAAAATGCATACGCTGGAAATAATCTCCAACTAGAGTCAAATGCCAATATTACCTATAATAACAATATTAATTATCAGCTTGGTATAATATTAGTAACAGAGGAGAATTTTTAATATGCCTAGTCACGCTATTAGCTACAAGCAAGGTTTACAAGAATTCACTGACTTCTAACTCTATGTAAAGATAAAAGATTTACTATTTGTTTTCGGGTTTGCCATTGCTTATCCAATTTATTTCACACTGGATGATGGGATGGGATTTGAACCTGTGCTGCCAACACAGCTAAGGCTAATGCTTTAACCATTAGGCCATTGTGCTTGCTTCCATGATAGGGGTCATCATACTAAAACAGTTAGATATTCTATATTTTAGAAATATTTTCTGTGAGTGACAATAGCGCGAAAAATTTAAACACACAATTAATATTCCATATTTTAGAAATATTTTCGGTGAGTGACAATAATGCAAAAAATTTAAAATGAACTGACGTGTAAAAAAATTCAAGCACGCTACAAATTTTACTCAACCGATTTTTCTATAAAAACTTTTACTCCAAAAAAATATGTCTGTATTTTTACCTGAAGGTCTTTACATGATTGTAATAGTACAATTGCAGAATGTAGCAATGCTTTATTGTCAGTATTAATACCATTCACCTGAAAAATTAAAACTTGACCTGAATTGCGTTTTTGACACCTCCCAATTAGAAGCCATGTCAAGGATAAAAATTTGATTGGCAAGACCAATGTATATGAATAATCCTAGGTAATTGAAAACATGTCTAATAATACAATAATGTTGCTCCTAAAAAAACGAATGAAATGTACTACAATCTAATCTATGTCAAATATTTATTGGTACCGGACCGGTATATCCAATTATGAATAGTTTTTAAGTGAAATTAACATATTAAACTTTAGCTCAATAAAATTTCACACGTATATCAGGCTTGGATTACCCACAAGAACATGGCAGAACTTACATAACTTTGATTGGAAAACTCAAAGATTTAGTCTAGATTTATTTTTTTTAAACAATTTCTCTCTAGTTAGAGATAAAATATTTTTGAGTGAAAAAACATTATTTTATTCTTATGTAACATTAAATTGATGTTAAACATACCAGACATTTACAGTTTGTTATGTTAGTTAATCCTTCTGCAATTGTTTTTCTTAGAAATGAGTCAGCTCCTTGAATAAAAGCATTCTTGATTCGATGACTCAACTGAAAAAAGGAGGGATATTGAATAATTCACAAAAATATAGCTAAGCACATCATAAGTGATTCACTGTTTGTTTCATGTTAGGAGTACCGCTATTTTAAGATGGTATGATAGAATCCTCTCTCATTTACTTGAATTACCTATATTTTGTAGACAACCGAAAAAATAGGTAAATAACTATCTTGGCCAACAATGTTACAAGAACACAGAGATGCCCAAAACCAAATACCCCTATTCATCAATTTCAAATAAATTTAAATGATGTTTTGGAACACGAAATAATGAGTGTATTCTGAACTGGGTCATTTTAAACATAGAATACATATAAGTTGATGTATATCCTATTTGATTTAGCATAGGAATGGATAAAAGGCACCAATCGCCAAACAAATTTCCTTCCCTCAGTAAGTTTATCGCACAGCCAGAAGGATTGATAGAGCAGCTACAGAAGATTTTGTACTGATAATCAAGTGGGCAATTTGCACTATGTTTAACAATTTAAAAGGTACCAAATTCTCACCAGATGTTCTTTATCTTCATCCAGTATAGTCTGTACATCATTGGTAAGAAGACTCAAAGCACCGCTATATTTTGATATATTTGGAATGAGAACTTTGATTTGTCCCAGTGATTCTTTGACCATTTGTTCAATTTCTCCTTCACAGCCCTGACAATTTATTAGAAATCGTGATGAGGTAAAACAATGAAGTAAAGTAGCTGGATTATTGAACACATGATACCATGAAATTTAAATACCGTAAATTTCCTAATATTTATTGTAAAGATTTAATATTATTATTCCAATTTGTTTCAATGTAAATTGTGGGCACTACGGCCCATCGATTGAAGCGATAAATTTATGTTGGCATCGTGAGCCACATATCTATGCCCAGGGTGTAAGGAATCGGGTAGGCAATGAAAAGATTTCATCCCGTACACAAATAGTAGCTCCTTATACAAGATATCAGTGAATTATTTTTTTATAAATCCTACATAGCTGAATTCTACAAACTGAAATTATTGCAAAGCGACAGAATCACAGAACACTGAAATATAAATAGACGAGAACAGATACAATTTATCAGTATTCAACCAAAATATTTTGAATCAGTCTGGAAAGCAAGTTTTTGTAAGAAATAAAGACATGAAACCTGTAACAGTTTAGCCATCTCCACAGTCAATTTTCTCCCAGAAGCATCCAATTTTTTAACCAGTTTAGAAACCGATTTAGACTTGCTATCTTCAGTTGTGTACTTGCAAAATGTTTGCATGAATGATTGGCACCTAACAAGTTGCATTGTAGCTTGAATCGGCAACTCACAGTTCATCGAGACATTAGAGTCATCTGTGAATAGTAGGTGATAAGTTTTCTTATTTATTCTCGGAAAAGGAAAGCAATAAAACGGCTTTATCATATCGCAAACACAATCTTGTGTTCGATTACCAGTACACGTTAGGTATGAAAATGCCAATTTATGAAATGTAACAGTATCAAAAATAACAGAATTCTTAAAAATTCTCTAAATTGCTTTTCCATTCAACAAATTGCTAGATACCATCGTTCAAATATAACAGACATAATTATTTTTAAATTTGAAAAGATTCAAAAATTTAAATAGATTCAAGATTATTGATCTGTATTCATGTTTCGAATTATTGAATTCAGGAATAATATAGAATAGTGACACCTGAAGAACTGCCATTTTGAATAATTAAAGTGTAATAGTATGAATAAAAAGGCTTTTTTAATTCAATTTTTGAAAACTATAAAAATTAAAATCCAATAAATCACTGTTGACTTGTGTGAATATTTTTTATCTCAAAAATCAACCGTGCGCCCTAAAAATGTGGCGCCCAGTGCAGGGATTGGATAGTGTTTTATGCTTCATTGCGTATGCCGTCTTGCGCAATGAACTACTTTGTGCATTATAAACCAACGCATATCCATGGATAAAAACCCAATTTAGGCAATGTATCAGGCATTAGGGAAAGCGAATTATTGGTTTGAGCTACTCCAAGTCAACATACCTTGTACTTGTTGTTGTAAACAGAATTCATCTTCTAGTTGATCACAAGCAGAAGATAATTTATGCAAGGAGATGAGAAGGCAATCAACAGATGAGAACGATCGAGTATCACGATCATTTGACATGGAGGTTATTAAACTGAAAAAAAAAAGGAATTTTAAGCATGGAAAAATAGGATGTGGTAATAGAATGAGAACTTAGTTTTGTCCACAATTGTTTGTCGAGAAGTATTGGGGGCAATGGCATGGAATAGAGCTGTGCAACAGGTGACCGGCAAGCTACAACTGGGCCCGCCAAACCATTTAGTATGGATGGCCCTTGTCAACACTCAAGAGTTTTTCTCATCAAATATAAATTCCTAATCCGACAGTTTATGTTTTACATAATGTCATACATGTTTTCTGCTCTGTGTTAAATATTTTGCTGTTTTGCCCGGTGTCTTTATTTTACCGTAAGGCTGAGCAATAGCCACATTCTCTTCTTCGTATATGGCCCACCGAGAAAAAATATTGCACACTGCTGGCCTAGAATGTTGGAAAAAATCATGTCAGCACGGCAGGGGAAAGATCTGGGAAATTTGGATTAATTTCTAATTATAAGTGTGTGTTTGCCGCTTAACTTGATCAGTATACAGATGTAAAGTACCTCAGAGAAAAAACAAAAAGTTGAAGTAGATTGTTGTCCAATTCTGACAAACAACAAAATATTAACATTATTCTAATTTGGTCTCATCGCATATATATATATTTATATGTACATACCTTGATTCGTTCTCCAGAAAGTTGGAAATTTATTATTATGGTGTAGCTGACCAATGATAATTGACCAGTGTAACAAAACATATAATATGAATTAAGATTCCTGAAAATCGATTAAGTAGAAACAACAAATATTTTTGCCAAAGACTTTCCCAGAAAAAAAAAATGAGTACTTGACATTTCTTACTTTTTACACATAGTAAAACCGGATGGTTCGTCTTTTTTCTTTCTTATTGTAGAAGATCGACAATGCTGATCATATTGTAGGAGAGATTGTTGCAATGCAGGAGAAGTACGAGCTAACGTGAGAGAAGATAGTCGTCTTGTAATCCGTCTAGACTTGCTCGGCCTATTGGAAACATTTATAAACAATAATCAATGCTTGTCTGAAGAAGTCTGACCTCGGTCAGACGAAACGTTACAGAAATATATTTGTGTTCGTGTGCAGCAAGACTTTTGAATTGAATAGAATAATCAAATTGTTGATGAAGAATTGTTCACTGACATAGGATGGAAGCAAGCGAAAGAATAATTTTATGAACGCTGCTATGACCTGTGGCCTTGGAATATAATCTTTTGAAAATGGATTTAGAATGCAGGAAAATTAATATAAACGGTGTTTTGACTGGTTTTTTAATTTTTTTTTCACAGTTTTAGAAATAAAGGCTACTGTGAGTTTTCCATGGATAAAAACAAAATCAAAATATTAAATATTTCCAATTCCGAATCGATCAACTATTCGCGTATTACATTCTAGAGAGATTAGATAATAATATTGCACTCAGATGGCCCCTGTGCACTTGTTTATTCATCAAAATAATATTGTGATGTAACAAGAGACACCAGTCTCCAATCACACATGGTGCAACTCATCATTGTGCAAATGCCAAAAAACAAAATTTTGAAGAAATGAAATACCAATAATAATAATAAATTTTTGCATGAAATATTGAATCATCTATTTAATTCTGCATACATACTGTATATCCTCGCATAGAAGCCGAGTTTAGGCTAAAAATATATTGCCAAACTAAGTATGCGGCTTATAAGCGCACAACTCTGATCGCACTTGAATACGGCTTGTATGCCCATAACTCTGATCACACATGACATTATCCTAACAATTCTAACAGCTCCAACTCGATCCATGGTAAGCTCTTGCGATAAGTACGTGCATGCACACTCGCGAAGCAGCACCTGGTACGCTATGACAGCGATAACAGTCTGTGATTGGTTGTCATACACCCGATGTTTACGCTATGACATTAATATGCAAATTTTTATAAATTTACCATTTCACCGCCATTTTAGGGGGTCGTCAGCTTCTATGCGAGGATATTTGTATATCATTATTTTATTATTTATATAATTTAAATTTGTAGAAATTTTGATTTTTCAATTCAGTGCCAGACAGAATAAATTGCATTTTTTATAAGTCATCCAGATGCTGCTATCCCTTACTTCGTAGAAATTGGTGTCTCCATGGATGAGTTGTGTTGGTCTCGGGATATTTCATCTGAATTAGATTTAAATACTTCCCACCAGGTATCTGCGGGATCATAGAATATATTGTGATCAGGATCATTGTAGCCTGAAATAAAAGATGAATATGATTAGTAGTATTTGAATTGCTGAAAAAACAAGAAATTCAGGATCACAAATAATACCGTTTGTCCATAAAGTCCTGTTAGCTGCTACTAATCAAATTTTGTATTGAAGTAGGCTCTTAAAATATCTCAACCAGGTATTTTTTTTTGCTAAATTTTTATTTTTTTTACTTCATTTTATACACCTACTGAGGCCAACAAACAAGATATGATATCAATAAATTCTCTTTGTATTAGACTGCAATAAAAAAAAGCCCACCAACTAATTCCAGGCCAAATCGATGCATACATGATTACATTCCAGAAAGATTAGATAATAATATTGCACTCAGATGGCCCCTGTGCACTTGTTTATTCATCAATAATAATATTGTGATGTAACAAGAGACTCCAGTCTCCAATCACACATGGTGCAACTCATCATTGTGCAAATCTACTAGTAAACGTAGGAGTTAATAACAGAAATGATGATAGCTAATTGCTTTAGAATTCAATATATGGGCTGGGTAGCTAATTTGAAATCACAATGGCTATTCCAAACTGTGGCTCAGGCGACATAGCCAGTGATATGAAAACTACCATGAAAGATCAGCCCGAATGCAGTTTCGTAGAAGTGGGGTTCAGAACTATGACAAGAGTGTTTCAATTTTTGAATATAAAAATTGAACTCGAAAATTTCAAATTAATATTAAAAAACCAAAGGATAATTTTATTATTTCTATAAATTATTAGTAAATTACGATGGAAGAGAAAAAAAATTAGATGGTTAGGATCCAGAGCCACTGCCTCGCCTATTATGTTAGTCTTGAATTCAGATCCCAGTTCTGCTTGATATGGCAAGTACACTAGTGCAAAAAACAAAAAATAAATAGAACAACTGTTACCTTTACCATCGTTTTGAGAGTTGTTCGTTGATCTGAATGCATCATAAGACTCTCTCATTCCTTCAAGTTTTTCTTCAAATTTTTCCATCGACCACAAGGTATAGATTTCAAGTTTTGTATTCTGAACTCTAAACAACAAAATATTGAAGCTAGAATTTTTAAATAAGGCAACAAAGATGTCCAATGTAACCTGGATACTTGAATTGATTGATGCCAAGTATATTCACTAATTATTGAATAATGTATAATAGTTTCATCAGAAAAAATCCTATTTTTTCAGAATATACAAAGTATGATAAATTATTCGGTTTATGCACCCATGAGTATTATTAACTATTGGAGGTATTTAAACACCTATAGATAGATCAAGCTTGACACAGGTTTATATACTAATATTAAAAATAATCCTACTTGATTTGTACATTGTCAGCCTCCACATCATGTCTAGAAAATACAGTACAAGTCTTCATAGCAGTACTGATAGTATTGGCTTCTTCCAATAGTAATGATACTCTGAGCGGAGTGAATTTGTCTGAAGTACGCACAATTGAAACTAAAAAAAGTCAATACATTTCAAGAAACAATAGAATATTCTTTTGATAGCGCGATGGCCTAGTGGTTAAAGAATTAACTCAATTATGTTGACATAGCAAGTTGAACATCTGATGTTGAAATCCCATGCACGCATTTACAGACTAAAAGGGAAAAAATACTTCAATATTAAAATTCAAAGTAACCTTTTGGCTTTCCAGTTTCTTTTTTCTTTTTTAAGTTGTTTTGCATCCTTTCTATATCTTTTGCCAGTTTTAATCGTTCAGCTTCTAATTCCGCAAATATATGAGATGTCACCAGGTCTCTCTCATCAATAACCTAGAAAATGATGATCTGGTGATAAAAATATTGGGTGCTCCAGAAGTATGCACACCAAGATGTCGCACAACCTGAATTCTAACTGGTACACACATACTAATTTCAGGTTGTGCACCTCATGCACATCTTGGTGCGCATACTTCTGGAGGTCCAAATATTGAACTATAGGCCAGCCCCATTTATATTTTATTTCTGATATTTGCAATAGGGGAAAAATATTGGTTGAAATATGGACCGAACAGTACACCTATCCACATTATATCCTAAATAAATATAGTCATTAGAAGAACCACAACAATTAATTACAGTTTTCTGAGCAAGAATCCTGGCCTCCATTTCTTGTCTTTTTCTATTGGCATCAACTTCTTTCTGCAGAACGAGATATTCTTCTCTCATTCCTTCCAATTCCTTCATTGTGAATTGATCCTCCTCCTGCGTAAAATGAGATAAGAGCAAACTCGAATGGAAAAGTGGGAGAGAGTGTAATTATTTCTTCTACTAGTTCGCCATAAACAGATGTGTGTGACAGGTAGGGATATCCATTACTGAATATTTTATATGTTTTATTTTTTTTAATAAAGTCGAATGATTTTCCATGTTTCAGTTTGATTAATTGGAAGTCTATAAATGTTTACTGTGATACTATTATACAGAATTTCTATGGTGTCTTTTAAATTAAATTGTAAAGGGAATTTATCAAGATCATTTCTCATTTGCCTTAGGTTTATTGACCCCTACAAGTGCATTAAATGATAAAAAAAATTAAAATTTAGATTTTTTATTTAATGAAGTATCACATAGCTTTGCTGTGAATAAATCCCCAGATGAAGCATTCATTTACACTAGGGTTTGACTGAACAAAAATAACCATGACGCCTGAAACTGTAATCTATTGTTAATTGTTATTGAACCAACAAGGTTGGATTCAATTTTAAACTAACTAAATGAAAATTAGGGTGAATTAATTGAGATTACTGTATTTTCCAGAAAACTTACAATTGGGGCATTCCTGATTAGTATGCCACGACCACAGGTTTGATTACCTAAAACAGTGATTCCCTAAGTTGATAGGCCGAAGGCCAAAATTAGAAGTGGAAGGATATTTGCGGACAAAGAGAAGAGACCGCCCCAAAGGGGCCGATACCAGTACCAGTACGTATAATTAAGTTACCGGTTAAATTGAAATATTACAAATATTCACAGGCTTAAACTGTGATATTGACGTGACAATGACGTGACAGTATGTAGAACGCAAAAGGAAACAAGTGTTAAACTATTTCACTCGCTAAGTTCGGCGGGCCATATTAAATCATTACATGACCCGTAAATGGCCCCGGTTCAGGAACAACTGAACAAAAATAACACCAAAATTAGGATTATGCTTAAAAAATATTCTTGGCATTACACTCTTGATCGAAGCGTTTAATGATTTTATAATATCATACCAATTTAGTTTGTAGATTATGGACAACTTTTTCATATTGTTCTTTCTGTTCTGATATTTCATTCTGAGCTTCTCGCTTGGCAAGTTCAATTTCTTTCATCATCTCTTGTTTAACTCGAAGTCGAGTTTGCTCAATCTCAGCTTCCATTCTGAAAAAATTTGACAATAGAGAACAATGCAAACCATAATTACTACATATGTGTCTATATTCAGTTTGATTTATTGGAAGTTTACGAATGTTTATTGTGAATGTGATACTATGATACAGAGTTCTTATGATGAAGTCTTAAAATTAAATTGCAAAGGAAATTTATCAATTTCGTTTGTCATATGTTTATCGGCCCCTACAGGTGTATTAAATAAATAATAAAAATAAACACCTATTAAAATATAACAAACCTGGTTACAATACATTGAGAACTGACTACATAACAAAATTGAAATTCATGAACACCTTGTATATTTAATAAACAAGGTCAGGAACCCTTTACTGTTATATCTAACATGAGCAAACTACGACACGCGGGCCAAATCCGGCCTGTTGAGTATTTCAATCTGGATTGGTAAAATTTGTGGCCCATGGTCCAAAAACCTTGCCCACTTCTGTGTTATATGCTCCAAAATATTAATTTTCCAGTCCACTTTTTAATATGATGCCTGTCTACACATCAGTCTAGTATCGCCCGATCAAAGTTAACTGTACTTAAGTTATTTGTATTTAAGACAATTTCAACTGTTGTGTCACCAACCTGGCATTCTGAGCTGCCAGTAATTCATTCTTTGCAAATTCAAAATCCTTTTTTTCTTCAACTACATTTTTCGTATTTTTCTTTTTTCTTTGAACTTCTATAGGATGATTGAGTCGAAAGAAATGATCACCAGCAATCACAATACGATCAGCCTAGGAAAATATCACAAATTCTATAAAATAGCCTAGGAAAATAATAGCTTCAGCTTTACCATTTGGACAATGTAGTAAGCTAATAAATCACCAAAAAACTCTTGATAACAGATAAAACTTAGTGAACTGGAAAAAGGAATAAAGATTATAAAACAGTAGTGATAGTTCATAATAGCAATCAGAGCAGTGGTTCTTAAACTTTTTAAGCCGCGACCCCTTTTTAGAATTAGTCAAGTCTCACGCCCACCTCAAATATAACTAGCTAACAATAAGCTACAATTCTACAAATATCAGAAAGTAAGGCGAAAGTATATTTTATTCAGAATACACGTTGAAAATACGTGGATGGAACATGATTAATAAAATAAATGAAAAGTTTTAAAAAACAGCAAAATTTGATGTTATTTTTATTAGTGCAGCTGTTTTTGGCGGACAAAATAAGAATAATAAATATCCAAAATAAGGCGGGCAAGATCAAATCTAACAAATATCTGTTTTTAATTAGCGCCACGCCCCCTCAAAAAATTGTGCACGCCCCTTTTCTGGGGAGAGCCCCACGGCTTGAGAATCACTGTATTAAAGGAATAATAACCACAAACAATAACAGGGAAGTGCTCACATGATGAAGCGTTGTCAATTTGTTGATCATTTCTCCATTGATAAATATTTTAGCACTTTCATCTTTTGGTGATATTGTGACAACTTCATTTTTATTTTCAATTTCACAATGTAAATCTGCAATAAGTGTTCCTCCCAGTTGTATTTCACATTCATGCGGTCCACCTTTTCTCCCAACTCTATAAAAAATTATTTTTAAAAAAATTTGAAACAATCAAAAAAAAATTCAGGACGTCAAGGTACTGTGAAAATAATTGAGCATGAATGAAATTCAACGTGATATTACCATAGTGATTTTAAAAAAAACTTCAAGCCAATTTGCTGGGTTACCCTACCTTTTGATTGGATTTAAGTAATATCAGGTACTATAGATTTAAAAAGGCAAATATTAAATTTATACGATTTTGCCAACCTAGATGGATTCAAATCTTTGCCAGAAAATAAACAGTGGTATAGAGTTGTAGTTTGGTATGTTTTCATTGTCAGTGAGTAGAGTCATATTTTTAAACCTTCCAAAATTAGAAGCCAAAAAATTTTTAAATTTTCACCAGAAGTAGGAATATCAGACGTTTAATTAATGGTAATAATCGAAAAAAATTGCATGAGTGGCTGTTTGTGCATAACCTTTTTCAAATAGGAAATATATATATTACCTAGTTGTTCCATGCTTGATAACATACAGTAACAACTCGGATAGTTGTGGATCTTCATTTAAATTAACGAGATTAGGAAGTCTGTTGTCAACTTTAAATGAAACACCTGCTCTCTGTAAAATAGAAAATGAAATTGGACTAATGCTACGATTTAGTCTTCAGATAGTTTCCATGAAATGCCTAAGTTGATCAGAATTCCTGTATTCAATTTCATATAGATGTTGGCTTTATAAAATCCAGATATTTGAAACATTTTTGCTCTGTAATACTTGTTTGATTTGCAGAAAACTAAATTTGAGCGTTTCAAGACAAAGGGACAAATGTTGAAAAAAATTTAAAATGTCACCAAGAAATATAAGCTCTTTAAGTTAGTATCTAATCCTAGGATTCCTAGGTAGGAGGAATATTTGGTCTATATTTCAATAAAGCATAGGAGTTTAAAGATCAGATATATGTAAGATTCCCAATTTTTTCAAAACAGCTTCTTTAGGTTTTTTTAGGGTTAAATCCCCCGTAAGGATTTTAAACAAATATTAACGAATTCAATTTTGGAATTTGATAGATCTCTTCAGCATGGATCAGTCAAATCAACTAAGTCAGTGGCTCCCAAACCCCGGCCCGCGAGACAATTACAACCCCCATAGCTATTTAATATGGCCCGCCAAACTTGAGTGAAATAAATTTTTTTTTTTCTTTTTGCATTCTAGATACAGACAATTGTTACACCAATATCACAGTTTAAGCAGATGTATTGTCGTAACAATTCAATTACGCTGGTATCTTAATTATACGTACCGGTATCCATCCCTTGCGAGCGCTCCACCCTCCTGGCCCACGAGTAAACTTCCGCTTCTAATTTGGCCCCCAGTCAATCAACTTTGGGAACCACTGAAGTCAAAAGTAAGATATTTAAATATTTAACATATTCATACCTTCAATTCCTGTATCTCTTCTGCTTTTCTTTTCTCACTTTCTTCTAATTTTTTTAACCACCTGATGTTGGTTTCATTTTTATCATTTTCTGCAGCAGATAATTTTTCACGAAGTTGTGCGATTTCTCTCACAGATGCTTGATATTCTTCAGCATTTGCACTCGATGATTGATGAGCTGCTCGCAACTTAGCGATCTCTGATTTGAGTTCTGAAAATAGCGGAATTCCCTCAATTAGCTTAGCGGAAACTCAAACTGTAAGAACTTTGCTCAACAGGAGACATATTTATATGCATTTCACTCTGAACTAGGCTCTGCACAAGAATGGGTGCTCCCAAAGTATGTCACCGAGATGGCGCACAACCTGAACCCTAACCTGATATAACACTATGTTCAGGTTGTGCACCATCTCGGTGCACATACTTTGGGAGCTCCCAAGCATGTAGTTTGGAAGAATCAAAATCTTTCCGGTTTGGCATTGTCTACTAAGTATATTACACACCGGATGAGGTGATGGGTAGCCTATGGAATTTGAACCAGAGACTCTGACCTCTGATGGCAAAAATATTAATAAGTTGAAAGCTTTATATGCTAGTCCACCGTTCCAAAACAATTTACAGCTAAAAAAAAGCTTGAAATATATTTTTACCTATTCACAAATGGTTTACCTGTAACACTTTTTGTCTCGACTAGAAGGAATACAAAATAAAAATTGAATATTTGATATCGTATTAATTTACATTCACAAAACACAAACAATTATCTGAAATTTCAATTCGAAGTCAATTCTTAGATTATCCATATATATGAAATATGACAGTTGACAGGCATCGATAATTGATATTTTGGTTCAAAATTCCATGACCACTTCCTCAGTCAGAGTGTGATAAATTGGTTAGGCAATGCCAAGTTGGAAGGATTCAGAGCCTTTGAAACTAATCCCTATTTCTCAGTGACTGCCTCTACAGAGCCTTGTTTATATGTCATAACTCAAAACCTTCCACCATAATCCTCACTAATTTTTGCATATTCTATTTGCACAATAATAATTTATGCCTGTTTTCAAATATTAGCCTAATTCAGACAATCCACTTATATTTTATGGTATATTCACCTGAGCAATAAACAACAAGATTAAGAAATTTAAAATAAACTTCGTCTTTTACTTTTTTCGAATCAACGTTAGAAACATCCATCTCAACGAATGCAAAATTGGAAATGAATAAAAATGCTACAAGACATCAATGTTTTTATTTAAACAACTACTTGGGATCCTCATAAAAACTTTATTTGTGTTTCTAAATATAATAAACCACATAGAATTTATAGAGAAAAATATTGTTCACATTCTTTCTCGATGAATACATAAGATCTATTAAGAACAAATTGTTTGTCCATATTTGTTAAAAATGTTGATTTAGTACTTTGATAGGCGATGTCTGTTTTGATCAAACAAAAGTGGAATTCACGTCTTTAATACAGTCTATTTGTTAAGCTTCTTTTGTTGAGTGTAATGAAAAATAAACTTTCACCAATGGAGGGCTGGGATGCTGGAACGAGCCTCGATCATGTTTGAATCAAATATAAATAAAGCATCGAAATAATCTGTAACTTAGTATATATAAAGAAAACTGAAATAGGCAAAGTTAAGATTTTGATAAATAATACAACCCCAAAAAATTCTAATTAAAGTCAGGATGCAAAGTGGATGATTCATCTTTCAAGTATTTCAACCATAACCCATACAAAATTATGCTATGCAGAAATAAACTAAGCTAATTTTGTTAGACAGTCTCAATGTTCTAACAAAAATTGTTTAACAAATATTCCTTTTCGAAGCATTGGAATGAAGGGAGAATAAACATTTTCAAGAAAATTGCATTTTTTTCCAAATTTTCCCATATTTCCTACCTTTAAACATCACATGTGACAATTAAAAAATTAAAAAAAAATTTTTGATGGAAATCAACTATTCTAGTTTTTACCAAATTCCAATTGCACCAAAACAGTGTTTCATTTAAACATTCCATGCAGACATTTTAATGTTTTAACAAACCTCAAGATTTATCAAAAATAAATGCTTGCAAAACAAACCTCTTATAATAGCAGCATTAGGATCTTCATTGATTTTGACCATGTTAACAATAGTCCGAGCTTGTGCCGCATATCTCAATGTACTTAATGTTTCTTCGATATGCATTTCTGCAGGACTGACTGTTGCAATCATAGCAGTTCTGGAATTTCCACCAAGGCTTTCTTTCAATAACCTGCAGTAAGCAATGTTGAAGTATATGAAAATGAAGCTTGCGTCATCAGTATCAGTATGCTAAATAGATCGATGGTCAAGCAATACGGTAGCAGTCAAGCAATACAAAATAAGATGCCTTGCCCTTAAATTAAAATAGAGCAACATTTTTGAGTCTGCAAATTCCCAACTTTTTCACAACAATTCAGTGATGAAAATATTTCTAAATTAATTATAGAGGGTTATAGATAACGACACACTGTTTCGATCCATTTCAAATTTGATTGCTTGATTTTAACAAAAATCTTCATGTAAACCCCAAATATAGAATCAACTTACCAAGTTAGTGCAGAATCACGATAAGGTATAAACAATCGGCTCTGTCTCCTTGCACTAACTTTCGATCTTTCAGAAAGAGCAAATATTACTTTGCCCAATGTTAGGAGACTTTTATTGATACTTGCTCCCTCCTGGAAAAATTTGATGCAAGTGAGTGATCCCTAGCTTGTATTAAGGTTCACGGCTTCACCTAACACACATTGGGATAGGCATGTAAAATTAGCGAGATTATGGTTTTCTATATGTGATATATTTATTACCTTATGTGGCTTCTCGTGCAGAGTCACCACAAAGATACACTTCACAATAAATATCAAGTCGGAAAATGATAAAAGAAATATAGAAAGAATGTAGCTTGAAAAGTAATCAAAGCAAAGAAGATTTATATAGAACGTGTCCCATATGATATAAACTAAATTAAAAAAAAACTCAACTAAAAAAAATTTGAAAAATGTCAGGAAACAAATTTTACCAACACTGACAAACTTAATTTAATACAGACAGAAGAAAGTAAGAAACTAAAATAAAAATAAAATGTGAAATGATTTGTGCTAAACATCTACTTACAAATTTCTGAATATTCACATGCAAATGAAAAGATTATGTTGATTTCATTTCAAACATTACAATGAGTGAACATACATAATAAACATAACACTCTCAAAAAATAAATAGATTTGTGACTGAAGAGTGTTGATAAAATATGAAAAAATAGGATGACCATGAGCAACCAAACCTATGAATTATTTCAAGAAGAGAAAGTACGTACATGCATTTGAATAGTTGATATGATTATGCAATATGCATTAAACTTCACTAAATCTAAACATGCTTTATTTGAATTAAAAAGTGATGTTTTAGCAGTCATGCAGAAAAATCTACCAAAACAAGACATGCTATTACCAATCAAGAAAACTAAAGCAACCTGTTCGTTTTGTCTCCATTATTTACAAATGTGTTTAGTAGGTACAGAACAGAAGGTACAGGAGGTTCAGAATTATGTACCTACGGTAAGTATTTTTTGTCGTTGTGATTTGCAACACTGGGATTTGGTTTTTCAAACCATCAGCCGGTTACTTTAAAGTTACATCAAGCGACATATCATGTCAAATAACAGGTGAAAAGGTATCAAATGAGATTGCAATTTGCAATTTCATAGTGGTAAGTAGCCTAATAATAATTACATAACAATATTAAGGTAGAATAATAATGAAAATTATACATTTAAGTGAAGTTTCATGGAGATTTCTACAAACCTTCAGTCTTTGTCCGGAAGTTTGTGCTGTTGAAGATCGTTCTGAACCAGCAAGATCAACCAAATTAATACGACTTCTTCTACCAGTAGCATGGCATTCTCCTTCCAATTTTTCAACCTGTGCAAAATAGTTTTTTATATAGGTCAAACCGTCAAGTCCTCACTTATTTTATTCAGACAAAGAGGTGATGAAAGGCTTGAAAACACGAATTCTAATTACTTTTTACAACTCAATTTTGACGAAAAATATCAGTTAATTTAACATCGAGAGGACAGTTAATCAGTCATATATTAAAATTCCGAAAAATTGATAGGATTTGTAAAATTTTTTAAAAAATTTCGAAAAAAGATGAGTAAAATAAGATTAAAAATAATTACACACAGATAGAAATATGCATGTACACAACAAAATTGCAACATTAATTACGATTTTGACAAGTGATAGAATATTTGTCGTGATAATAAGCATCCATATGAGGATATGAGAACATAATTTTCAATTCCATTTTCTATTGTAAAACTATATAAATACGTCATTCGCGACATACCGTGGTTCTTGTCATGTTAAGAATAAACACCGAATGAGATCTTGAACTTTTATCATTCATCCCAGTAGACGCAGTGACCCTCTGTCTGTTACCAACGTCTAACCAGGATTGGATATCATCAAATGAAGTTACGACAAACCTGGGAAACCAATCATCATAAATTCTCCAAGTTTATATTATATGCTTTGTGGGCATGGTGGCCTGGTTGTGAAATCATTAGTCTTAACTATGGAAGCATCACAGGCTAAAATCTCAAGTTCAAATCCCCTGTCCATCATCTCACATAGGGTGTAATAAACTGAATAGGCAAAGTCTTGCCAAACCATAGCGTCTCCTTAGCTTACAGTGGTAGCTTATGAAGAGCCTTGTTCAGAGCAGAAGGCTGTAATATTTACCATAGACACCTGCAAAAAATTTTCAGAATAGAAGTAGACCTTTTATTTATTTTGTATCAAAATAAAGTAAATGAAAAGTCTATAAAAAGCGCAGGAAAACAAAGAAGGAATGAAGATACACAGCACCACTACGTTCAAATTTCTTAGTATCTTCAAGAACTTCAGGGCATTGCAATATTCATTGTTCTGAGGAGAGTTTACTTCCTGTCACTGAATTACCATGAAAACATGAATGCAATTCCCAGGTATAAATGCCAAAACGACTTATATCCTTGTTATGTTGTCTACTAATCAAAGTATTATATAATGCAGGGTGGTCCAAAGAGTTTGATCACTTTTGGGTTTTTTCCGAATGCGGCCCGCGAGACCTTCCTAAAAGGTTTTGCGATTCCTCAACCTCGCAATATTAGCTCACCCTGATATAATGCATCAAAAATAAACTAAAATGAATTTCACATTTCCACTCACTTTGAAAGGCCTTCAACATAAGGTCCATCTTCAGGATGCTCTCTGACTTTGAGCTGGAAACAAAATATAAAATTTCTTCTCATATTTCAAATATACATAGATGTATTCACAGTTGTGGCATCGTGTATTCATTTGCATATGGCAAGGAAACTTATTATTCGAAAAATGGCTGTATGTTGGAGTACATATGGCGAAGTGATAAACAAATGATGAATAGCAAATTTTATCTTGATAAATACCGATTAGGATTTTATTAAATAATTACCATGAATCAAAAGAAGAAATTGCCTCAAAAAAGACAAGCCATCACAATGGTAAATTTATAAACTATGTCTATTGTCAGACGTCACTCAGATATATATTTATTGCTTGCCTCGAAGAGCTTGATTAAGCAATCCAATTTGCATTACTATAAACTAAGAGCAGTCTCTACACTGCAACCAGTTGTCGTTTTTGTTGGTGCAATCGCTTTGCAGCTGAAGTATCGAATTAGCTGCAATGTCGACGCATGCTACCACTTGAATTCAAATCCCATGCCCACCACCTCACCCAGAGTGTAATAAATTGGCTAGGTAACGCAAAGCAAAAAAAAAATTTCAAAAAAATAGTAGCTCCTCACATATTAGTGGCTATGTACAGTGCCTTGTTTAGAGTGAAATACGTGAATAACTAATTTATTTTTCTGTACTACTTTTTCACTCACAGCTTGTTTTTTCTTTTCACCATCAGCACCAACTTGACTAGAAACTAGAAGATCATGAATTTTTTCATTGTATATTTCAAAATAACTCATTTCAATATGAAATTGAACCTGTAAAGATGGAAAAGTAATTAGAATTGAATAGTTGAAATCAAGAAACTGTGTTGTGTGTTAAGATAGTAAAAAATAATTTATCAATTTTTGAGAATTTCATGAAAAATATAGATATATAGTAGTTTTAAAATTATAATGCATTGTAAAAATCTTAAATGAAAAAACGGACTAAAAATTCACTTAAAAACTAGCAAAAAATTGCAAGAATGTTGACCCCTAAAATTAGCAGTTTGTACATTACCATAAATACTCACCATTTTGTCTTTAGAAGTGATAGCTTTCACGCCACCAAACATTTCGTCACAAAATCTAGGGATGACACCAACATCTTCATTGTTTCCCATTATACTGCAATAGATCAGAAAATATGGTAAGGAGGAGGACCCAATCAGTCAGACAACAATCAACCCTTTCATTAGAAATTTTCAGTATGATACAAAGAAGTGATATTTAGCAGCAAAATATAAAATAAGCTTTAAACTAAGTGCTCTTAAACACAACTATACATACGTGTATGATTTTCCACTTCCAGTTTGTCCATAGGCAAACAAGCAAGTATTATAACCATTGAATGCAGCACTCAGCAATGGACGAGCTAGCTTCTGATATACGAATGATTGAGATGCAAATTCTGTACCTTGAGACATTGATAATTCACAAATTTAATTAGATTCAAGAACGAGTCAGAATATGAATAGGTAAACTGTAGAGATTAACAGTGCAAATTAAACTATTATCGAATGAATTTATTCCAAACAATGTTTGTGTAAATATTAATACATTTATTATACTTCACAATAGCGAGCATAAAATATTTGGATAACAAAAATTACCATAATACATTTACATCACTAGAACAAAGTTAAAACCCATCATAGCCATGAAGCAAATGAAATATTCTTACTTTCTAAACATAAATATAGTATTGATTCTGCAAAAAATCAATTCAACAAATTCACCTGATGACTGTTTTATAGAATCAAATGAAAAATCATAAGAAAAATTATGATCATTCGTTCCATCTGAAACCAATGTTCCATTTTCGTTCATGAAAACCACTTGTTTTGCATTCGCATCTTCCTCCCTGTAGGTAATAAAGCACTGTTTTATAGGTTTGTCCAGAACAAATTGAATACCTGTACATTTCAATCAGTAACATGAAATAGGCCCATTTATATAAAAGATTTTTCAAATTGAAGAAATTTTCTATTTGGTGTGTTCAGCATTAAACTTAACATCAGTCCAAAAAAATTAAAAAAAAACATTAATGTCTTTGGCATTTCTACATTTTAGGGATACTTAAAAATCATAGTTATTGCGCACTTTCGATTGCTGAATTGAAAAAAAAAATTTAGAATACACTCAAACTAGCGCTCGTGAACATCCTCGATTACCATCTCATTTCATCACTATAATTTTATTTTAATGATCCAGTCAAATATGCCCGTATTCTCTAAAAATTTGGTTTCAATAAATATCCGTATACAAAAATAAAATATTTACTTCTGGCTGAACGGCCGCACTCTGACAGCAACAGTGACGGAAAAATCTTCTCGTAAATTTTCTCTGTCTACGTTCTGAGCGAGACCTGTAAACGTATTTTTAAAAATATAAATGTGCTAAACATTTTCATCTAATAATAATCCTGTCAGCAAGCAAAAAAACAAGCGCCGCGAGCATAATGAAATATTCTGAAGACAATGCTTTATACTTCAGACTGTTAAGAGCATCATTGAACATTTACAGGAAACTTTTGTATTTGTATATCTCTGTTTCTGTGAAGTACGGTATGTATTGGAAAAGCATTCTAGATTATACGAAAGATGGAAAATAAATTGCTACAAAACTCATAGAAAAAAAGTCGACTAATATAAATAAAAATTAAAAAGTCATCATCATACTTAATGCAAAAGATGATCTTCCTCTTTTAATTGAGTTGCTTCCACCAAGTCGACTTGCTAAATTTTTTCGAACAGAGGTGGGCTTGTTTTCCTGTGGATTATTGCGCCCAGTTGGGTTCCTAGAGCTCGGAGAAGGTGGTTTATCCTTAAAGATATCATGCGATTAATAGGAAACATTAATTACCATAATCAGTTCAGTGTGTAGTACAAGGTAATTACGGTATGTCATTTTAAACAAAAACACAACTAAAATTTCGTCAATCAGAAATACAAAAAGACAACGAAAAACCACAACACCCAACTTATGACAACACAGTGCTATATCAATCAAGAAACAATTGATTTATTTCCCCAAAAACTTCAACCAATTCATTCACTCCAATCTACTTCTATAATACGAGGTTGAACTTGTAACAGAGTAACCAGAAAATATCTGTTTCATTGTATTTTAAACTGGAAAAATATCAACAATCGATTTCAATTTTCCAAACAAATAAAGCTGGTTTCAAGATCCAACTTTCAACCAGGATCCAAAACAGCTTGCCTAAGGCTATAATGTACCTAAAATAAAATAACTATGTTAGACTTCTATTTACCTGAATATTTTTAACCATTTTGCGAACCATGTCGTTTGGAATCGATTTGAATGAAGGACTTGCAGTAACTCCAATTTCTGTTTCAGGTGGCCTACGTTTTGGTGGCGTGCCATGATAAGGGCTCATACCAGGTGTCATTTTTTCGGGGAGATGTTTTTTGATATTCCTTCTAGCTATAGGAGAGCTCTCATGGTTGTCCTTAGTGTTTGCTTGATCCGCATGACTTTTTCGATGATGTCTTGCAAGTGAGCTTGTAGTTGTCGATAACACAGACGATGCACACATGAAATTTGTAGGAGGAATTTTAGGACTTTTCGTTGTACCTGAGGTACTTGAATTTTTCTTATCGACAGATAATTTTGTGCTCAATTTTGATGAAGTCTTAACAAACCCAGTGTTTTTAGAAGTTGTTGAAGTCGGTGTATTGTTATTTTCCTTGTCTAAATTGACTTTAAAAAACTTTGGTGATCTTGATAGATCTAGTGCATTACCGGTATCTGTTCCATCACTATACTTAATAGGTGTTGATGTCAGAGATGATTTATATTTTCTGTTTATTGTTAGGGAAGTGTGTGGTGATCCTTTTCTGCTAGAAACATCATTTGTGAATGCTTTGCGTTTTTGAGTTATCGCTCTTGAAGACATTCTGTTTTTCAAGGTCTAAGCAGGTAAAATCATGTAAATATGATTTTTGTATATTCTTTATTATGAGCAATCAGATTTAACTCAACCAGATACATATTTTTAAATCTAATTCTATTTCTGAAAAATGTTCATTTAAAAATAATTTCATTAATTACAAAATTAGTGGTGCAAATAAGAATTTAAGGAAGCAATCAATTATGGCGTCCTGGGAGGCTTACTAAAAAAACGTGTCCATTAAAATATATCTGGATTTGAAGCGGTTGAAAGAAATGAGCAATGATTTAACTTAATCCCCAGCAAGATTCGCACCTGCCGGGCATATCACTTACGCAATAGTTAGCGCAATGCACCACCATGCCGAGTTGAAACATGGTCACCAAGATATTTTACAATTTGTAGTTCATTTTGTTTTCACTGTGCATGGTATCGTTTAAATTTTATGAGCATAATGCGCCGCACGAATTTCCACATGTCGTCATTTACGATGTGTGTCATACAGTCTGTACAGTACAAAGAGAGTGCAGAACCCCGACAGTCTGGGCCTCGATCTACATGCTGACATGATTAAGTTAAATTAGGATTTTATGCATGTAAACATCCATGTTCAGATGTAGTACAAATAACATTTTAATCAAAATTTTCTTTGAATTGTTAGATCTTGTCATAAGGCAAAATCAGCGTTCAAAGTTGAGCTTTTTTGGGAACAGGGTCGTAAAATACTTGAACAGATTACCATTAAATGTGAGAATAAGTGCATCTGTGAATATTTTCAAACACATTTTGGATAAATACAGAGATTCCCAGGTCAGTGTCCAACCCAAGGACACTTGGACAATATTGCAGTAGGCCTACTGCTGTACTGCAGTACTGGGAATTGTCAAATATCAGAATATGATATTGGAGAGAATTAGATAATGGTTTTCGACATTTGTGTATTAAAAATGGGTTAGCACTACTATTGGGTAATTGTCTAATGTCAGAATTTCCTTTCCAGTGCTTTTACTAGTCATAATTTGTCTAGTCTTAATTGTCTGATTGTAGTAATTGCCAATTTTTGTGATACATTGTTGTTATACAGGTGTTATAGATGTTTATACCCTGGTGTATTTATATTGTAGATTTTGTAGTACTATGTGTGATACCCAAAGAGGTACCGTATTATTTATTTATTAATCTGTTTATCTAACTTACGGTACACAGGTACAGCTTCATAACTTTTTTTGCTGCCTTTTTTCTCTGAAATAAGCAATCAAACATAATAAGTTGAATATCTGCAACAAGGATATAACTTATATGTAGGTTATATTCAGATATTGTTTCAATCTATAAATGTCTGAATGTGGAAGCGTTTCATATTTCCAGTATTTCTGTATTTAAAGATTTATCTAACTTCAGAACTAACTACAGAACTAACAGAAACTTCAGAATGATAAAACAGCTAACGGTAAATCATATTAGTGAATAACGACCTTTTAATAAGCTTCCTAGTTCTTAAAACGACAGCCTAACCTCCCAAATGGGTGATCAGATTTGAAAGAAAATGATACCCTAACTAACACCAACCAACAGAAAACTGGAAAACCACCGAACTAGGGAACTAACTGCACGAACAAGATAAACTTTCAAAACATCGCGCGGCCAATTTATTTAGGTCGCTCAGCTCTAATGATTGGAGGATTGCCACGCAATGATGCGTGACTCCTGTCGTATTACTTGTAAAGTGAATGAACCGTACCGGTAGGATGTTTCACTGAGTATCGGTATTCTTGTCCATTTCCGTAACAATTACAAATCAACAATAAGTTAACAATGACGCAACAATTGCAATTTGTGCCGTAGCTCAGACACCTCTTTTGCTCAGGAAGATATTCAAAAGTGGTTGTAAACAAAAACTCTTTTTGGGTGTTTTGAGTGGTATTTGTGAGTTTTTGGTTGTGTTTCTGAAAAATAGTTGTATATCAAATAACTCAGAATTGTCATTATGTCTTCCAAATATCTTTAGTTTAGATGCAATAATCAAAAATTGATACCGCAAACGCTGCGATAGACACTCCTAAATTTAGATACCGCAGTACTTGTAGGCGGCACGGGGTTTGAGTTTTGAATAGAAATGATAGTTTCGGACATATGACCCAGTTTGTAAGCGCCCACCATCCAAAACACTCTCAAAATCAGCTTTGATCAGCTGAACATAATATGTGTAGCAGGTTAGGGTCCAGGTTGTGCGTCATCTTGGTACACATACTTACGGAGCGCCGAAAATTTTAGGTCCATATTGTTAAGTTCGTAGAACATTTTTCGATTTGCTTCTAATCTATCACATACAAATGCAGCTACGAGAACTACTAGTTGGTAAAAATGAGTTAACAGTTCTGGTGTCAAAAAAGCTAGAAGTTTGGAGAACCGACTACTCTTGCGTATATTTTCAATCTGTATGTTAGTCGTTGTTTGCAATGCACGATTAGCAAGTACTCTTTCTTTAGCCTTCCCAGAATCGCCCACATCCACGAATCTCAACTTCTTATTCAATGTACACCATGTTTTTTTTATTATTATTATCAAAATTATGTCTATTGTGATTGATAACTGCAACCGAATTCAAAATATATCAATGTGTTACCTGTTTACTTTTTCTTATATAAGACTTGTCACTTTATCTAGTTTAAGAATAAATAAAATCTCGCATCATATGCTCAACATTTTTCACTGGCACCTCTCAATGTTATAGGAGTAAGCCATTTCTGTATCTCTCTGTAACACTAACTAAAGATGTGCTAACAAGTCTATTACTTTTTATTTCATCAATAGATTAAACTAGAAGACGATCCATTCTAGACATACTAGTAGGATAGGATAGGATTTACATATTTATCCCGGGGGAGAGAACCTGGGATTCGAACCTGCGAACCCGCGGAGGGTAATCAAAGATGCGGTGGCGAGCGTATTCCTAACGCTTAGCACGATGCGCCATACCGCCGAGCCGAGTATTCTGAATTCCCTCCTTCTTAACCCCTTCAAAAATTCCGGGGTTCACAGTGTAAATATTTCTAAATGAAACAGCCAATGCGAAGCACGATTAACCTCGGCAGGTAAACCTCATCACAAATCTATCACACTCGAGCTACTGAGTTCAACCATTGATAATGCATGAATTATTACTTTTAGGTCATATTGTTGACAACCCATTGTAATCGATTGAAGTTCTCTGCATAGTAATATCAAAATTCCAGAATCACGAAGTTCATCATAAGCAATGGAACTTTCCATTGCGAGGCTTAAACAAAATATAGAATTGAAGAACAGATTCGTTACAAAAATCAAAACAAGATTATAAAAGTAGTTGTCATATGCTTCAAATGGTTTTGGGGGAATCGGATAAAAATCTAATAAATCCGGTCGTCCTGTATATCAAATGAAAACTTCGCATTCTTTACTTTATTTTTATATACGAATTTACGTGTTTTATTTTACAACTTATTTATTTATATGTCATATCAATAACCTGACTTTATCCTTCATCAGGACAATGATGTCATTGATCAGGATAACGTAACGTTTGCCATGCTTAGCTGCTGGAATTATCAATACCGAGTGACATTTTTATGTACGAATTTACATAAGTGTTTTATTTTACAACTTATTGGATCTCCGCTATAGGCATAGCATAGGAGACCCTCATTATCAGTCGTTCTGTATGTTTGTCTGTCAGTTTGTCCAGCTGTAGCGCCCAAATGGCTGGACAGTTCCGCATGAAATTTTTCACATGTGTTATCATGTCACCCTTAGATTATGTGTTTCATCCAAATTACGGATTAATCATCCGTTTTCATGGTGACAGCGAAAAAATGCGCCGATCCGTAAAATTTTTCCAGGTTTCTCACAATATTTTGCCAATTTCTAGTTAACTAAGTCTAATATTAAAATTCTGAAAACGCTGCCATTCGCATGAGAAAATACTCTTTCCAACTAGTCGTCTTTGGTCTTGATACTTCTTGAACTGGAGGAGCCGTTTGAAGATTTTAGTGAAAAAAAAATCAATTTTAGTCACATTATATCAGTCACGCGAGTATGTCCACAAAACGCGCAACGTTTGAAATGAACTGACCTTTTTGACAAGACGCTCTTATTTTAATCGCGCCGCCGTTAGAGATCTTCAAGTTTCCATTGATGGCAACCGGTTGCTCGAGTGCGGGCCTCAACTATCAGCGGAGATCCTGCGCGATGGGCGCCTTCCGGCTTGTTTACTTATTTATATGTCATATCAATAACATTCTTTATCCTTCATCAGGTCAGGGTGGTAACGTTTGCCATGCTTAGCTGCTGGAATTATCAATACCGAGTGACATTTTTTTCAAGAACCACAGAAAATGATGTACCATTATTTATCAATGAATACAAGTCTTCTGACATTTCGAAATCGACGGGTACTTAAATATTTATATCTCTCAGCATATTTGGATTACAGGCATTCGAATTAGGCTACTGACTTTTACCTTTTTCATTATCTGCATAATGTTTCAAAAAAATCTTCACGCTATAGCGTTTATAAAGATCTTTGATAAAAGGATCGTCTCTGATGCCCAACATGATTCTTTCCAGCTAGTTTACCAACTCGAGCTTTTCACCTGAGCAAAACCGTTTCGCTGGCACCGCACACAAATTTGGGACTATACGTAGAGAAAATGCATATTGGCCAAGGGGAACGGGTAAGAGTGCGCGAAGTATGTGCATCGGAGCGTAGCATAAAGTACAAGCCCGTTGTTTTATGGCGTGACGTCACAGTTGCCTATCATGTTGTTTCATTTACACTTTGCTCCAGCCCACAATTTCGGTTTCGAGTTTCGGTCGTATTTTTCTGTTCGGGTTTTGTTGTGTATTTTTGTGCAATGCTTCGATAGGTTGCTAGATTATCTAAAAAGGGATAAGAAGTTATTTCGGACATAAGGGAGAGAAAGAGAGAGATGTTATTATTTCGTCAACCAAAAAATACAATCATCAATAAAATAGCAACAGCAATTAAAATTGTTTTGGTATGGACAGGCAGACAGGACGGTACGGTCATCGAAGTCAGCTCCTTGAGAATCGGTATGCGCGGATGTGATTAAGATTAACACTAAAAGATGACAGATGTCCAGTGGCAAAAATTGGTTTATTTTTTAATTGTAGCTAGGATAGGATTTACATATTTATCCCGGGGGAGAGGAAAGTCGATAAGACGGCATAATCATATGGCGAACCACGGCCTCTTGTGGGGTTACCAGTCCAGGTCGTTTATAAGATTAGTTAGCCAGTTATTTGTTTTCGGGAGCATGGACTTGATGGTGGAGGAAACCGTAACCGACCAGCAGACAGCGGTTACGTAAACCACCCTACGGCGGCGAGGGGTCCAGCAATCCTCTCGCACGTGATCATCCCTGCACGGGATTTGAACCTGCGAACCCCTGAAGGGTAATCAGAGATGCGGTGGCGAGCGTATTCCTAACGCTTAGCACGAGAGGCACAGTTCTTACTTCTTACCACTTCATGCAGTCATGGCAGCTCCTGCCACATACGAACCGCGGCAGCTCTTGCCATGGTTATATAGCGCTATTCAGTAATCAGTATTAACGGCATATTCACAAAATAATATACCATAATATATATTTCAACGGATCATGCGGAATTATATCTACTTAAACCCTAACCCCAAATCCATCAAAACTTTATCCATAAGAAAAACGTTCCAACTTACCCAATATTTGTTACCATAAGGGACAACCCTATCTTTACGACCCACCTCCCGTGGTTGCAGAAGCAAAATTTTACCTGCCATTGGTTTTCAATTTGCTGCCACGGTAACGGCAGCTCGTCAATGGTTTGTGGCAGCTTAAAAATCAGTCGCCATAGGTTTGGCTGTAGCGGCCAAGGTATGGAAATACCGCCATGATTTTGCTGCAGACGCCACAGAATACTTAAAACTGCACTTGTAGCACAATGCGCCACACCGCCTAGCTGAAATCTTCTTTTTTTAGCATCTTCTATATCTGTATACCGGTATGCACTTGTATCACGAGATAAGTCACAGATAGCAGAGGTGTGAATTTGGAGATAAAAGCGGCGTGTTCCATCTCCCTATCTCCGAATTAGATAACTTTGAAATATTTCTGTATCTACGATTTTACGCCAGTTTCGATAGTATTGACAATTTTCAACCTTAAAACGATGATGGACTCATTGAAGGTTTGCAGCGCATGCAAGTCTACTGTCACCAGCAAGCAAGAAGACCTCATCTGCGACATTTGTGTTCGGTGGTTTCACCGTAAATGTTTCAACAATGTTACGTTGTAAACGTACGTTTGTCGTATATTTTGCCACTGTATGCAGTGCATCGTGCTCTGCCTTGCACCCAATCATTGTAGACCCATTATTACCCTTTGTTTGTAGCGTAAATTAGTATTATTATCTATTGTCTGGTTTAGCCTTTTCCTTTCGGTCATTTGCATCACGTATTCGTCGTGTATCGTCGTGTAAAGAGTCGCAGATATTTGTCTGTATTGTGGACTGTTTATTTATCTGTTATATATTGTAATTGTATTAGCCTCCCGGATCGGAAAACGTGTGGTGAGAAATTTGCCTTTGTTGTTGTTATATGCTTTGACTTATGTTAATCAATTTTGTTTTATTTATTTAAGAAAACCGCCGTTCTTTGCCAAGAATATAAAGAAGTGATTTATGCACGTGTCTTGTTTGTGGACAAAGGGGCTGAGAGTGGCGCGTTCGATACGTTTTCATTGTGTCTCGTCGATATAGATTCCGGGCTATCAAAAGACGTGACACAAAAGTTTTCAAACGGGCTTCAAAATTCAAACGATTTCAAGTCTCCAAACATAATTTGTGAAGTTTTCAATGATATTAACGTTAATACCAAAATTCTCAAGTTTTCAACCAAAGGGTTTCAAACATTAATTCGGGTTCTCAATAATGGCAACCGGTGGTAGGTCGGATGACCAACATCAGGCAATGATTAGCAATGCTCCTGGCAGTTTTAATAAATTTAAAACTCATCTAGATGTTTGCAGGAGTTCCAGTGACGTTAGCGACGTGAGTTCTTCAGCGTCAGCTACTTTCTCCGTCCGGAATGCAAGAGTGAAGTTGGAGCTGGCACGCCTAAAGGCCCGTCAAGAAGAAGAACTCTCAGCTTTAGAAGACGACTTGCGTAAGCTTCGGACAAGACACGCTTTGCAGGCTGCTGAAACAGAATCAAAGGTTTGGGAAATGAGCGATGACGAATTTTTGCGGTGGGTAACAGTAGATAGAATTAGGCACGACAATAGCGTGAAATCCCGTGATTTCCCACCTAAATCACAGCTCATTGATAACGGTCGTGAAAATACTCCACGGCGTTTGCCGACTTTGCCTACACACACAGCTGATAGTAGCTCAGCTAATCCTGAGCCTCCACGTTTGAACCATGCTTTACATCACAGAACTGTCGATCTACCCAAACCAGAAATTGCAAAATTTTCAGGTGATCCAATGGAATATTATTCCTTTATCCGCAACTTTAAGGCCCATGTTACAGATCTTGTGAATGATGATAACGTACGTCTGAGTTATTTGTTACAGCTGTGCCAGGGCGAAGCGAAAAATGCCATTGATCATTGCTCAATGATGGAACCGAGTCGCGGATATCGCGAAGCTATGAGAGAGCTGAAGAATGAATATGGTAAAGATCATGTCATTTCCCGCACCTGTTTGGACAGGTTGAAGCGTGGTCCGAAGTTGAACTTTGACGACGCGAAAGGTATGCAAGCGTATGCGCGACTGATGCGGAAATGTGGCTTAGTTCTTGAAGAAATCAGTGAGTACGACAATCTTAATAATTTTGACAATTTGCTGGCCATTGTTAAACGATTGCCACCAGAGTCGCAAAACGCTTGGGATTTCAAAGTGGCAACAATTTTAGAAACGGAGGATCGTGAAGCTAGTTACAACGACCTCTCTAAATTTGTCACCGAGCAAGCTAATGTTTCAAGATCAGACTTTCGTTTTGCCCGTAGAGATAGAAGGCAATCAAATTATTATGAAAATTCTAAGGCGAAAGGTAGTGCTTTTGCTATTTCTGCTAGTGGTTCAAATTGGCACTGCCCGTGTTGTAATTTTTCTCACGAATTATTCAACTGTAAGAAATTTAAAGTTCTTTCATGGTACGAACGATATAACGTGGCTAGACGGAATCAGTTGTGCTTCAAATGCTTAAGACGAGGGCATATGTTTAGACAGTGCACCCAGAATGAAAGTTGCCCCATTCACGATTGTAAGTATCCGTTCCATCATGTTTTGTTGCATCGCGATTTCGAGACACCTACACGGCGAGATGGTATTAGTAAACAGACTTGTTCCGTCGGTACCTCGATGAACCATGCGGATCACGACGTTCACGCTAATAAATTGGCGCCCGCAAAGCAACAAGGGAACACCGGTGTTTACATGAATATCGTCCCGGTGACAGTAACTGCTGGCAACAGGGCTTTTGATACATACGCTCTTTTGGACTGTGCTTCTACAACCACCATGTGTAGTGTGAAATTGATGAACAAATTAAATCTAACCGGGGTGCCTATAGATGTTACATTGCAAACTGTTGGTAATCGTCCCAAATGTGTTAAAGCAAAGAAGTTGTCCCCTCTACTCGTTAAAGAAATTGACGGACATGACGATTGCATTGAATTGCCCAATGTATTGTGCGTCAGTAACTTGCCCATAAAGCCCAATAAGCTACCCTCGCGCAGTTCCTTGCGTAAGCTATCCTATTTGTCTGATATCGACTTTCCTCGAATACACGACGGTGAAGTGACTTTGCTGATAGGAGCGGATGTTCCCGAAGTGTTTGTGTGGGAGGAATTTAGAAAGGGTCGGAGTCAACAGCCGACTGCGGTGAAAACCCCTCTGGGTTGGTCTCTTATGGGTCCGTCTCTGACCGTCTATGAAAACACTTCCATTAATTTCGTTGATACAAATCCTTTGGCGTCGCAGATTGAGCGACTTTGGCGTACGGATTTTGCTGACGTCCCCAGTATTTGTGACACTAAAACTTCCCGCGAAGATAGAATAGCGCGTAGTTGCATGGAAGACAAACTCAAATTTGTTGATGGACATTACGAACTACCTTTATTGTGGAAAATCAATCATCGCGAGTTACCATGTAATCAGAAAGTGGCGGAGAATCGCCTTCGTCAGTTAAAGCGACGTCTTTTAAAAGATGACACATTGCACCAAAAATATATTCAGACATTGAATGATTATGTTGATAAAGGATACGCTCGTATAGCTGACAGTCCTAGGTCGCCGAACATCTATCCAACAAAATGGTTATTGCCACATCATCCTGTGATAAACCCAAAGAGCCAGACGACTTCATTGACGCATTGAGACGCTTTACTGGACGCAGAGGTCGTCCTGTTCACATATATTGCGACAATGGAAGCAATTTTGTAGGTGCTTGTCGCGAATTGAAAGAATCAATTAACAAATGGAACGAGCAAAGTATTGCAAACTATCTGCGTCAACGTGATGTAGAATTTAACTTTAATCCTCCATACGCCAGTGGCGTTTTTGAAAGAATGATTAAATCAACTAAACGAATTCTATCTGTATTGTTGACAGCTCAATCAATTACTCATGAGAAGTTGGAGCCACTGCTGGTTGATGAATTCTGAAGTCGATGGATTAAAGAGTACCTGCCAACAATAACACAAAGGTCAAAATGGACGAGAGGACGTGATAACTTCAAAGTCGAGATATGGTTCTGCTAGTTGATGAATCGATTCCTCGCGGTCGATGGACTGTTGGAAGGGTTATAAATACCTTCCCAGACAAACATGGACTCGTCCGCTCAGTGTTGGTGAGAACCGGCACAAATGTTGTCAGACGACCCATTACTAAACTATGTCGATTTCTAGAAGACCAAAATTAGTGGATCGAATTATTGTTTCATTTACAACGTTTAATTTTTTAGAATATATTCCCTGGGTCATATATTCGGGTGGGGGTATGTTACGTTGTAAACGTACGTTTGTCGTATATTTTGCCACTGTATGCAGTGCATCGTGCTCTGCCTTGCACCCAATCATTGTAGACCCATTATTACCCTTTGTTTGTAGCGTAAATTAGTATTATTATCTATTGTCTGGTTTAGCCTTTTCCTTTCGGTCATTTGCATCACGTATTCGTCGTGTAGTATCGTCGTGTAAAGAGTCGCAGATATTTGTCTGTATTGTGGACTGTTTATTTATCTGTTATATATTGTAATTGTATTAGCCTCCCGGATCGGAAAACGTGTGGTGAGAAATTTGCCTTTGTTGTTGTTATATGCTTTGACTTATGTTAATCAATTTTGTTTTATTTATTTAAGAAAACCGCCGTTCTTTGCCAAGAATATAAAGAAGTGATTTATGCACATGTCTTGTTTGTGGACAAAGGGGCTGAGAGTGGCGCGTTCGATACGTTTTCATTGTGTCTCGTCGATATAGATTCCGGGCTATCAAAAGACGTGACAACAAAACTGAAGTAGAAATGTCCAGATTGCTGAAAAGTCAGGATGTAACTTTTAATTGGAAATATTTAGGCTGCTACGCAAAATTAAGTACAAAAGATTCTGTGTCGAAAAATTCTAATAATCTTGTTTTTTTGTAGGTAGAAAGTCAATGGAATGATTCTTCAAATTGTGCAGTCCCACCGGCAGATATTCCACGACTTGTTGATTACTCAGACTCTGAATGCTCAGAGATTAGTCCGATACCCATGGTAAATATGCTCTCTCCCTACTTATTTAGAGAGCTTAGCATTGTTGCACCCAGTAAGACATATGACAACTTGTTGCTATATTTTACAGAAAGAAGAAATCTTTGCATTCCCTGCAGGATGTTCCGCGGTGGTAGAGTCATCCATAGAGGCGTCTGGACCCAGAGACCTATCCAGCGAAAATGCTGAGGCTACTTTTGTGGTGGAAGGGGGCCTCAGTCAACGAAACCACCCCAAGCTGTATGAGAGGCACGGGTATTCTTATACGGTGCTTCGAACTAGTCTAAACGGAAGTGGTGAGTTATTGTAAATCGCATGTTAATTAGTACAATGAAAAGGTTATTTCCAATTAATATTTTTTATCTACAGTTACCTGGAGATGTTCCGTGCGAAGAAAGGGGAATGTATGCCCGGCCAAGGTTTACCAAATAGAAGAGAATTTCAGTCGAAATGATTGCGAGCATACTCACGACCCAAAACCAAACGAATGGCCATTCTGAACAGGGCTGTTGCGAAGCGCGGGTGGGAAAACCCATACACGACATGTGGGATCATCTATACTGATGTGAAATCACATTGATATCAAGCTTCTAGCAAGTGGTGTGTCAAACTTTTCTGCTGCCCGGGGCGCGTATCTCATCGAGTCTCCTTGCTTCTGAAAACAAATAGGCTTAACCCATACCTGACACATGAAATCCCATACCTGACACATGAAATGGTAACCGAACGAGAGGTCGTGGTTCGCCATATGGTTAATAAGCCGTCTCATTGGTTTTCCTCTCCCTGGGATAAATATGTAAATCCTATCCTATATGCATGATTAACATTCTGAACACCACGAATTCTGGCAAATTGTTGGCTGTAGTAACCTTAGTTAAAAATCCTATCCTAATTCTGTAATTGATCCTCATCAATCATTTGATGTATTTGCCAATCTTTAATTAATTTAACTAAGGTGACTTGGCAAAAACGTAAGATTATTTAAAACCCAGCTACAGAGCTATTTTTTATGTCTGTATGACTATTCTTTTATTTATGAATGATTTATAAAATAGAAGTTTTAAGATTTTTTTATGGACTGATATCGTTTTATTTCTAACAGACTAATTATATAAATATATTAGACTAGTGGATAATATTATAAAATATTCGTAGCTAGGAAGACATTGGAAACTATTAGCGAGCCCTGTAAGAGGTTTGCTCTTATTTACTGAGTCTTATTCTGATGTTTGCTATCAAAATTGAATCAGTATCATGGCGGATAATCTCAAAAAAGGCAAAAGCAATGGTACCATAAAAGTAATCTCACGCACCGTACATGTTGTTCTCACCCTAGCTATTATGATTGCTCTCATGGGAACACAAACTGGTAAGTTTTATCAGTTTATGGTTTATCAATGATTACCAATTTTTGTGTTAATGGTTCAAAACACAACAAAAAGTTTTGTTAACATTTGAATATGTTCAATAAAGGAAATATTTTTTGATGTTATTTAGCAGTATGTATCGTGGATGAATTGACAGCAATTACATTTCTCTCCACTTTGTTTGTTGACACGTTCGTGGGTGTACATGACTCATAATCTCATAGATAATTGAATTAAGCTTTATCAAATGTGATAATATATTATATTTTTTTTAAATCATTGACTGCTAAAATCCATCCACCGAAATCGGTTTATGGTTGAGTAATATCTTTGCTTCAGATTTACATATTGCGCATTGGACAAATTTTTATTTTATTTTTCAATACAACTTTCCTTCAACATTTTGTCATTCAATAATATAAAATGTTATCAATTCTTCATCTAAATTCATTTAAGACTGTTAAAACTCAATATTATTGTCTCAGTCACATTTGTTAACGAAGAAGCCAAATATATTGGTGATGGTTATGGTGACTTTTAATGACTTATGGTATATTCCCTAAGAAATTATCAAGGATGCATAATAACTTTGACCTTTTTAATTATTTATACTGGCACTTCTTGTCACGTTTTTTTTGGTTACGGAATTCCAAATGCAGGAGGTTTTTGCTGTATTTTCACTCCAATCTGCACTACAGCAATGATGACCAACATATTTATTGTGTCTCACTTGATTAATATTGCTAATCTGTTAATTAGTTTCTCAAGGAAGTTTGAGATTGCTATCAAAAAATATTTTTTGTTGATTCTATAGTAACTAACAAGCACTCCTTTCCTCAGCCATATGTTGTAACTTGTAAGAGCATATTGATTTTTAATTTAAACTTTGTTGAATATTAAATTAAACTAGGAAGAAGTTTTAGTTTATATGGATTAGGGACGAGTCAAAATGGTTCAATTTTTTTTTAATAGAAATAGTATATAAATAGTTCAATTGGTATGTAACATACCCTTGCCCATGAGTTATTTAGAATTGATTCCCCTCGAAGACAAGTTAACCCCTGCTTCACCTTCTATTGATTTCCTGAATTATTCATGCTCGACTTATCATGTGTCAATTTAAATAATTGCTAATTCAATCAGATTAGTTGGCGTCCCTCTACATTTCATTTAATGCAACGTAAGGGAATTTATAAATTAAATCATAGGGCCTGTTTTCATTCTTTGTTGTCTAAGTATAGCGCCATAGGCATTAAAAAATTCCAATGTAAAATTTGTATTGAATCGATGTGATAAAAGCACTTTATTTTCATCATTAAACAGCTGTGATTAACTAATTATGCTTTGATTCAATTAGTGAACATATTGCTTTTATGTTTCAGTACTACGATCACATATTGATTCCGGTGCATATTCACTTCCTATTGCATTTGGTTCAGTTACTCTTGCATCATTAGTTCTGTATTTCACTGTATCATGTATGGACCCTGGGTATGTGAAACGTTCCGACTCAGACGTGAGAGAGGTATGATAAACAAATAAAAAAGACATTTAATGTTTGCATATGGTCTAACCGTCTAATATGATATTTCAATGATTATGAAAAAATTGAGCTTGACTATTACAGTGGCTTCGTGGATGCTGTAAATGTAGAATATGACGAATTTGTGATATATTATGATTTTAAAATTATGCCATCATTCAACTTTTGACTGTAAAAAAAACTACGGTATTCTGCACTACCAAATCCAATTTATACAAATATGCAATGATTTCTGTGAATGTCTATTTTTTACTTGACCCAAAATATAAATATTCGAAAGACCATTAGTATAGTAAATCATTTAATTTTTGGCCATCGCTGAAGTGCTTTTCAAATCTATCATTTTACTAGACTTGGCTTTATACTGTTATTGACCTCTAGTAGAAGTGGGTTCTTATATATCGTATCACATAGTGTGTGATGATGTGAAAATACAGTGACAAACCTGCCAGAGACTGAACTGAATTGTGGATATTAGGTTTCTTTAATAACTATTTATAAAAGCAGACAAAGCGTTATTAACATAACTGTATAGCATAAAAACCTAACTGCAAAACAGATTCTTCTGTTTGCCCTGTAAAACTCAGGTTGGATATATAGTATACAAATTGCCAAAGGTTAGATTGATGCAGCTGCCATTTCTCGCGTCGGTAGAAATATGCAATCTGTGAATTGTTCGAATGCACGCAATTCTTCTAATATTAATAAAATAATCTTGAGAATGGCCCATTTCAGTCGCTTCGTTTATTACTTATCGATAGGTATTTGTCTGTCTGTTAGATGCACGCGATATCTCACGAAAGCGACATTGAATCTGCTCCAGATTTTGCATGTGCATTCATCATATGTCGAACCAGAAGCCTATTGATTTTGAATGAATTATGTCGTATAATTAGCTAGTTATCAATTAATTAGTGATGGGACACAAGGTGTCACTATGGAGTAAGAGCCCTGTTTTGGGGGATCCCCTAACTTTCGATCGATAGGTCTTCGGTCTCTGACCGATATTCTCGTTTCAATTTTCACAAGAAATCTATTATCAAGAAGGTGTTGGTCACTTTGTGGTATTATTTAACATAAAGCAGTGTCTCTCAACCTACCGTATATTCTTTTGTGATTTTTCTATTAATTACCTGAATTATTGTTTTATGTACTTTCAGTTCATTTGCCAGTAACCCTGGCCTCCCCCGCTCATGGGGGCAAAAATGCTCGGATGTCAATGCCCAAACTAATCCTTGCATGTATCCATCAGGTCAAGTTGAACTTCCAAACTTTGTTCCAGATTCAAGCTTGAATCTCCTTTCTTATGGGCAAAGGAATCACATTGAGAAACACTGATATAAAGTACTGTTATACTATTAGGTTTACAGATATTCTGTCATAATCTTTTACAGATCTCTCTTGTGATGGATGATAGTGATGATGAAGTTGAATTATATGAAATGAGATCGCACAGACATGAACACGAAAACTCTAATTTTTCATCCGAAGAGGAAAAGCAAAGCATGTTACCAAATAATGAACCTGAATCAAGAAATCGAAAAACTGATAAAAATCGTTTCAACTTGGAACCTCATCAAAGATGTGGATTTTGTGGTTTAGAAGTTAGTTGTTGTTTTCATTAAAAATAACCTGAACTGATGAATAGTTTTTTGAACAATCTTTCTGTGCTTATCAAAATGATAAAGGCAACAATAATACTTGGTTGGCATGGTGACCTAGTGGTTTAAGCTTTAAACTTGACCATGATGGTGTCGCAGATTACCATGCCATGCCCACCTCCTCATCCAGGGTGTAATACATTCCAAACTATAGTAGTCTTTTTCATCCCAGTTACTTCTTCAGCATAGCCTTGTTCAGTGCAAAAGGCGTATAAATATGTCATATAGCCTACTGGTAATAAGTAGTGCAAAAAACGCAAATTAAATTCTGTAACATTTCATGTATCCAAAGTGACTATGTGTCAGGCAAATAATAGATTCCGCATTTGAATACTCAGAAATGATATCAGAATATTTCAGTTATCTTATTTGGTTGCTTAATGAAGTTGATTCATTATGTAGGTAAATTTGATCATTAAGTCACAACAATATATGAACTCTTTATATGAATCGCAGTACCACAGTATTTTTTGTCTGAGAAATTTGAGAACTGTTTTCATTTCCAAGTTCTGCAAGCATTTTCTCTGCTAGGGATACAAGAGTGAATACTCTTTGTGTTTTCATCTGGTATATATTGACCAAATTTCTTCATTGATTGACATATGCATCTTACATGAAAGCAGGTTTTTCAGTATAGATTACCATTTTTTTATTCAGAGACCATTGAGGGCACGTCATTGTCGAGAATGTAAACACTGTGTGAGAAAATTTGATCACCACTGTCCGTGGGTGGCAAATTGTGTTGGAGAAAGAAATCACAGATGGTTTTGGGTGTTTTTAACATATGAATTTCTCTTAATTTCATGGAGCATTTACATATCAACGTAAGTGTTATCAACTCTCCATTTTGTGTATCATTGTCATTTTATGCGAGAATTTCCGATGCCCAGTGCTCAACTGGTTCTAACTCTGGCACGGTAACACATTTAGTAATTTGTAATGTATTATTACAACAAACCCTTTGAATTTTTGAGGACAGAAGCTTGGCCGATCTTCTAAAATAACGCAATTTATCACAGTGAATATTGTGTGACAAAATTGATATTGGAACGGTTTTGTCATAAATCATATGCTTTGATATAATCAGACTCATACATTGTAGCTATATCAGGTCTCACTTCCTATGCTGGTTTACTAATGTGATAATATTAGGTTATCCTAGTCCGGTGTTTCCGAGGACCCCTGTTTGTGGACATTATTTTTGATGGACCCCCATCTTATGCTGTATCAATTTCTGCGCCTAACCAAAGAGGGAGGATAATGTTTCATTTACATCACAACACAAACAAATTAATGTGATGGATGAAGTTGCTTTTCACTGCAAAATTTAACTATTCTCAGAGCAATTTGTGACAAGCAAACTTGTAGGTCCAATTCTGTGCCTCATGCCCCACACATGTATAATTAATTGTCGTTTCTGACAGCAATGGATATTTATCCGCTATGATGCAATGGCTTTTGGATTGAAATCAATCAGACTCTTTTCATATAGTTGCGGACCCCACGAGCAGTCAACCCTGTCTTATTGAATTGCCCTGGTGACAATTTGAATATGTTTTATATAAAATTATTGCATTGTTAATATAACAACTTATATACTATAATTACGAAAAAAATTAGTTGAATGAATATTTAATCAAAATTTAATTTCATTTATTCAGTACTGGATATAAAAGTTCTTCAAGTTCCAAAGAATGGATTCACAACAATGTACTCTTATTATTGGTTGATGTAATATTAGCCATATTCTTGTTTGTCGTTGGATCTCTTTGTGCGATACACACTTACATGGTTTTCTCGAACCACACAACGTGGGAGAGTATGAGCAGACACAGGTAATATGAATCTCTGTTATATCAAGTCTTCCCTCATGTTTGTCAATTGAGTTTTTAGCATGCACAGTGTAAAATCTGATGTTTACGTATGCATAGAACTAACATTTTTATTTATTGGAATCTCCCGACAATCAGTTACAAACTTGAGTCCTGTATTGTCGAAAATACTGCAGTTAAATTAAAAATTGAATTGCGTCTATGAAAGAAGTTTCTCCAATCTCCATCATAGTTAATAGGCCACAGCTAACTTCTCTGTGATAAATGCTACACCAACATGGCCACGGCTTATTGTAATAATGACTTAAATTTTTTAATGGTCAAGTCTAAATTTTCTATGGAAACTACAAGAATTTTAGCAGACAAATAATGAAGGCTTTCCAAAGTTTTATGCTGAAAATTCAATTTTGGAGGTGGGAGCCAAGTTTTTTTTCGAGCCGGCAAGTTTTGAACAAGTCTGGTGTGAATTTTTCCAGACTCCTCAGTCTTGACTAGGGGCGTACCCAAGGGTTTGGAACCCCCCATTTGAAATGTAAAAAAATAAAAAGCATTTTTCTGTATCATATATATCAATTTTTCGTAGCTTGAAATTTCCTGGCTACACCCTTGACCTTGACCACAATAATGCCAGATATTTTTGACTATTTTCTAGAATTACATATCTTCAAAAGATTCAAGTTGACAATCCCTTCCATCTTGGGATCTGTCGCAATATATATGTGTTTTTTTGCTACTGCAAACCTTACAACTGGCTCAATATTTACGAGAAAAATGTCAAAGAACAACAACAGCACGCTACAAATGATGATGAAGATGTGAGATTAGAAGAAGTCACATATGGAAAGGATGAATACAAAGGAAACAGGAATCAAATGTAGCTTTATAACCCAAGATTTATTTCTATTTTTGCGAAAAGATTAATCTTGTATGGACCGTATTCTTCTGCCTTCGTTTTGTTATAAAAACAAATTAATATTTTATTCAATGAATGTAATAACATTCAAGTATCAATTACATTAACAGACATTTATTCTGCTTTGAAAGCGGAGCCAAGTCGCTCTAAATGTTGATCTTTTATAAGTGCTACTCAATTTTCTTTACATGTGGACCAAACCATGTTAAGCATACACTATACATACCCAAATTCTGTATTCGATTTGACGATTTTTCACCCACGGGGTGTAATTCTGATCGAGACCTTGGGACTATGGGCAAATTTTAAGTCATTATTTAGCTTTAAATCGGAATATGTAGCATTAATAATAGGCATCAGTCTATTTGATATGGCAAATTGTTTTCGTCCAGTTATGTTCATATATCTTGTTTTTTCCATTTGTTTGCCACTGTGAAAGAACGTCATTACTGGTGAGGTAACTCACCCAAGCCTGATATCCATTTTCTTCAAACGATTACATTCACTTTTATATTGAATGATTAGTCTTTAGTGAAATTTCAAATTGTCTAAATGTTTTTTCTCACCTTGATATATTCCAATGAAGCAAAGCACTTAATATCATAATATTTATTAATGTATCTGTGGTGGGAAGTGTTAAAAAGGTGCCTAAATCTCCTGAGAAGAAGGAAAAGAAGTTTCTGTGGGTTATTGAATAGCCATTTAGCTTGTCGCTGAGAATTCAGGCAGACGCAGACTTACTTGTGTGAGGCAAACTAGGTTTCACATTATTTTTTTCCGGGGGAAAGGAGGGCGGCTTAATCATATGGCAAACCTCGGCCTCTCTTCCGGTTAAGATTATAGATAGCCGATAGCCAGAAGTTGATGGTGGACAAAGCTGTAAACCGAACGTTACGTTATGTGGACCACAATCGTCTCTCTCTCACATGTGATTAATCCCGCAGGGTAATCAGAGGTGTGCTAGTGAACGTATTCCCAATGCTTAGCATGATCTGCCAAGCATATGCCAGATAAAATTTGAAAAATGGCTAAGTATGTAATCTTCTATGAATGGAAATAAGGCACACTACCTATAATCAAAAATAAAACATGTGCAACTTTGAAACCGAGACCAAAAGATGGCACCTGTTCAGTTTCTGAAAATGTGTGACGCATGTTACTTGATTTATATATATTTTAGGTGTATAAGTACATATGATATAACACATTGGTTTGAAGCAATTCGCACAAATAGAATAAAGACAGTGGGCTGAGTTAAAACAAATTCTTCATATGAATATTGTCAAAGGAAGCGAATACTAGTAGAAATCACAATCAGCGATATGCTGCATTAGATTAACCGAGAACAGACTTGACAACGGCTATAGGCCTTGATCCTCTGAGAGGCGGTTTAAATTCTTGTCTTCCTAATAATCTGTCCAGCAGCTTTTGCTGGTCTTTCGGCCAATGATACAATGTTGTAGTTCGCAAAATACTTGGAAGATCATCATCTGTAGCACCGTCCAATAATATAGGAATATAGCGTTTATTCCAACAACCATTATGAATAATTTCAGACTGCAGTCTGTCAAATATTGACCCATTATAACTTCTATTTGGGTCATCAGTATCATCTGTGCTTTGATAGCTACATGTGTATTCTGTATAACCTTTACCAATGCCCACCAACACAAAGTCTCGCCCCAAATTGTCATTTATCCACATGTTGACGTTCATGCTTCTGGTTCTCAAGTCTTTGTAGTCAACATGGCAATGGATAGACTGTTCGGTACGGAGATAGTCATGAATTTCTTTTACCTTTTCTACGGTCCTCTCATCATGTGGACCGTAAGTGAGAAATAGTGATGGCATAATTAATCACACCTATTACTTAAAAAACTAAAACAAATACATGATATGAATAGATTAATAAGCACCAAAAATAGGTGAAGCACAACTTTGAAGAAAAAAAGACTGGAAAGTTATCACGATTATTGAAATGCAATATATATCTAATTTAGTCACCTCAAATGAAAGGATGAGTCGGAGTTGATTAATTGAATACATTTCAAAAATTATCAAGCCCATTATTTACAAGGATTACAGTGTGGCTTTAAACATAAATTTGCAGGTGATTTTAAAGATGCATCTAATGGATAAAAAGCTAAAGTTGTGAAAAAGTTGTTTAAATTTTAGATATGGTATATCACAATTCTTTGGAAGGCAAAATTAATATTTAGAAAGCTGATTGGAATTTCATTACATTAAGGAAACAGTACAATAGGGGCAATCACTAGGATATATATCTTTTATGAAACATTTGATACAGGACTTATATATTGCAACAAAAGAACAACTATATTGATGTAAAATCATATTGATATTGAGCTGGCCATATCTATTTGTTACTATCTGTGCATTAACATCATATTACACAAACCAGAATTAAGGATTGTGAATAATGTCGTGCCAAATCTAAAAAAATAACTGTATCTAAGATGAAAAAAAACTCATTTACAGACCATCAAAGATCAGCAGTTCCCAAATGATCAGTTGGATGGGGGCCACAATGCTATGTGCAAAACTTATTTTACTTTTCACTTTACATCTTCCTAGTTTCATTGCTTGTTGAGCATGAATTGTTTAAACATAGCGGGATTTGGAATAACACAATAAATATAAAAATACCACTGGAATGATAAACAGGGGGCCATGAGTGCTAAAATCCTGTGGCAAAACAGAAATTTAAAATAATTCATATTGTCCACATTTCACTGATAAAACTAATACGTACATATATATTCATCTGCTTCCAAATATAGAGTAACCCAGGGGTTAGACCCCAAATTGGGTCGGTGGGGTGGTTGAGGTATGGTACAGGATGGATGTACAAATCATCTACGATTTAATAAACCTATTAAATTTGGCAGTTACTACTATCACTGTTTGGTTTTAGCTTATTTTACTTAATACCACCACATGACCAAACTCTAAAGTCCAGTGAAAGAAGCTCTAAAGTTTCATGAAAAATATATATATTGTCCTTGGGGTGGTCCTGAAAAAAGCTTGGGAACACTTTGGGAAATAAATCAGTACCCAGGTTATTTGGAACATACTCTAGAAAGAACAGAATATTTGTGCAAAGCGTAATAGGTAACTAAAACTATAGGGTACAATCCTATACAAGTTGAAGTGTTAGATTAAATTTCTCTCATTTTTGTAATTCAAAAGAAGTCAAGAAATTTATGGGTGAAATTATCTTGGGTCACCCTGTATAAGATTAAATATGTTTAGAAAAGTTTTTGAAAATTCTGTCCAGTAATTCAACCCTTTTGTCAGGCCATCTATAGACATCTGTACTTTGAAAACACAGTGGCAAGCTACTAAATACTGCACCATCAATCAAAACTGGTATGACTTTGTAATTCAAACAACCATTATGGATAAACATGGATTGAAGTGCATTAAAGGTATAAGCTGCATAACTAGCATCATCATTGTCAGCTGTCGCCATGCACTTATTAACTATTTGATTGTAGTTTGCATTAACACAGACAATAATAAATGAAGATTCTCTTATTCTATCGTTAGCCCAAACATTTTTGTTGCAGTTTCTGATAGATTGCTCCATAAAGTCTACGTGAGGTTCAACTAGGTTTTGTTTCAGAAACTTATAAATCTCAATAACCGATGGTATAGATGCTTCGTCGCCATATGTTAGAAAAACAGAAGTTAACTTGTTATTCATGAGTTGTGCATTGTTGTCTTCAGGAGACACTTCTCCATTGTATCCCATCATCTCTTTCATATAAGGTAATGTGGGCATATTGTAAACATTTTCAGCAACATGCCTATCGTAAGGCATACTAGAATTAGATTCCTGCTGAAAAATTACAGCATTTCCATTTAACGAAGTACTCCCTGTTGTTCGAGCAACAAGTTCGTCTTTTGGTAAGGTTTCCGAGTTGCTTATAGGACTACATCCTGAGACATTAGGCTTGATCAAATCTTGGGCATGAATGCGTTTAGGATTTGTTCTCTGGTACGATCCACCAAATCCATTCTCAATCAAGCTAAATGCCATTTCCAACACAGATTCTCCCCGCTCTTCATCGGAATCCATTTCCCTGTTGAGTCAACTAACAAATCATGGACAACTTGCTGGTTCAGTAACTATAAATCAGTCGTAGACCTAATTGTAATGCTGTAACTGTGTTGTGTAATAGTAACCAAAATCTTAATCAGTCTCAATACTTACTTGAAACACGGCTAAGTGTGAAGCTAATGGAAAACAGGAGAAAACAAGGCAATATTCTGCTTGGTGGTATTTTCTCCCCATCATTTTGCACTGTCTTTCTGTTGCGCAAAACGTTGCAAATGGAACAAAACAGCATAAAACAGAGCCCGAGAGGGTAACAAAAAAAATAGCAAGATGAACAGAATAAAACAAAATAGACCAGAAAACTAGCGGAGGAGTAATAACAAGACAGTGCTTATGGAGGAGTAATAACAAGACAGTGCCTATGGAGGAGTAATAACAAGACAGTGCTTATCGGTGCTGGGGCACTGCCCACCTACAGACCTACACCAATGGTTGCATGGAGGAGATTCATAATTTTCCAATACTTCATGCATTCACAAATAATAAAATATACGTTACCGTACCGGTACCTAATATTAACACGTCTACCATTTCTTTTGGCGCTGGCCTTTTTTGCAGTTTGCAGTTCAAATATTGTATGTTTCTCAATGTATTCATTCAATTTTTAGTATTTGTTTTAATGTACAATGTTTTTGCACCACAGAAAATAAATATGTGAATCACTGCCTGCCTTACTGAAGGTTCTACTTTCTTTCGTGATTTCTTAATCCAGTAATCAGTTTTCATTTATTTGTTTTTATCAATTATTTGATCTTGTGTTATGCTGATTATGAAGTCAAAATAAAATTAATATTTGGAATTGAAAAATTTCAAGTTAAATTTGCCCTAGCAGACTGTCAGTTAAAAAAATACGGAAACTTACCGGGTACCGTACGGTACCGTACGGTACTTACCGTACCGTACGTTACGATGAAAAAAACAGCTGCGGGTAGTCTGATATGTCGCCTAATTTTAATGTGCAACAATTTTTTCGTACCTACTACCAATACCACATTACACTTAAATTACTAAATTAAAGGATTTATCTCATCATACCGTACCTTAACCTGTCCAAAAATGCAAGAATATAGGCTAGCACTAATTTGATTTTAGGGAACTTGAACGGGTTGGAAATTTTCTCGAACCTAATGCTTCTCCGACCTTTAACCTCACATAATATTTTGCTACATTGTCACAATGAGCATATATACAATGAGTGGAAACTTGCAAATATTTGCTCATTGTGGCATTGTTCCCTCAATGACATTAAACAACATGATAGGCAACTCTGACGTCACTCCATAAGGCTACGAGCGAAAGATTGTATTTCATGATACGCTCCAATGCACATATTTCTCGTCGCCTTTCGCGACCGTTTTCCGCTCGCTTTTGATACTCGGCGTCTTCTTTACGTGTAGTACCTGCCTTTTTGCACCTGTAACGAAAGAAAATAATCCCTATATCTAAAAAGTTTTGCTAGCTTGGAAAGCTGGAATGGCAGACAAGCTGTAAAGAGCAATTTTGGACACCATAGACGTTTTTTTTTTATCAGAGAAGATTACAAACGCGATAGCGGAAGGATTTGTGTGGAACATTTTGCAGATAATGACAAAGTTCAAAATTAGTAATTTTGATGTTTGCGCTTAAACATTGAAATTTCATTTAAAGAGGGTGTCATACAAAACAGCAAAACTGTTCTTCCTCCCCCTAACGGTGCTGTGATACAATTCCATAACACAAAGTTTGCACCTATCGAACTTGCTTTAATAGGTGAATTTATTAGACATATTACATATTCAGGTAATCGTAGGTCACATCGATGGAACATAATGCTTCGTAGATAGGTTTGTTTAAATTTAGGAATTTAGCTCATAGCCCACTAATTAATATTATCTTCTATGCAATAGTTTAACAGGGCTGAATTCAACTTGCAGCCTTACCGATCACCTGAAGATGCTCATTTAGTTTGGCTCGAGTAAGTCTTCTTGAAAGACTTGTGTGGATGGAAACTACCTATATATGTTTTGCCTTCCTCCGATTTAAGAAGACAAATTTATTCTGGGGGATTTTGCATATAATTCTCATTGATTGTTGGCTGTTTATAATTCCTATTAATTGTGAATTTTGATTATAACAATTACTGGCACCTTTTTCTTGTCAATACTCCAAGCTGAGGTAATAAACAAGACAATACATTTATGTCATCTGGAAGCAAAAAGTGCACACTAATTAATAGTTTGACACATTGAGATAAAACATCATGACAGAAAATACAAGTTAAAGATATGTATGACCATCACATGGTAATTAAAATTGAAAAAAACTAAGAGGGGCTGTGGAGTATGAAAAGTTCAAAACAAAGAAAAGAACAAAAGTTCATAGCTCATGAACTCTCAATTTTGCCTCCATTGCTTTGTGAAGGCCAATATATTCCAGTGGCTGAATTGGTTTACCTTTATGAGAGCAACGATTTTGTATTTAATACAGTGAGATTTTTTTCAATTTAATTGAAGTGATATTATTTCCCAAAGCAATGCTTGAATCGTCTGGAATAGATCAGTGGTGTCAAACTCATGGGTTTTTGAGAGCCGCATTGCATTTTGGAAATTGTAAAAAGGGCCTCAAACAGTTTTTGATAATGTATATTTGAAAGATATTTTTAAGATAGTTTTATTGTGATGACACTAAACAGTTGGATTAAGTTTTATTATTTTCTTTAATTTCAAATGCA